CCCTCCCTCCCTCCCTCCCTCCCTCCCTCCCTCCCTCCCTCCTCTCGAGCTCCCTTGCGCTCTTCTTGGCCCGCCTCCATTGTCGGATACCGAAAAATCAGTGAGCCGTTGATTCTGTGGGTAGGGGTAGTGACCCTCTACCTATCGAATTCCAAGATTTTCAACTGTGAATTGATGGAATACACGAGGGTGGGTGGGTGCATAAGTACCCCCTAACCCCTAACCCCTCGCCTCCCAAGAGACCGTTGGTAAGAGGGCAGGACCAGTACTTGTCAAAAGGACAGTTTTGTCTTGACAAGGAAAGATTCTGATGTAGATGTATCGCCAAGAAGCGAAGCGGAGAAGGGAGAAGGAGAAGATGGGTGGAAGCGTAGGAGAGGATCATCAGAGGAGAAGCAGGAGAAGGCGGGAAGGATCAGGATGAGGAGAGGAGGGCAGGGGATGAAAGGCTCGCTGCTGTGATGTGCATTCTTTCTCCGTAATTTCATCTGCAATGAGACTCGTCTAAGAACCTCGAGCAGTGCCAGGCGATCGCCGAAGACATGCTCGCTCCCCGCGGGTTCACAGTGAAGTGAACTGTATCCTCCGAGCCCACGTTCTCCAGGAGCTCCTCGCCCTGCTGCAACAAGACGGTCAGGTCGAAACCACAAGGCGCATCGGAATACCATGTCCAATGCTCTCACTGTGATGAAGTGATGGGCCTCCGGCAATTCTGGCAGCAGCAGCGTGAAATATTCGACGTCGCGTCCAACATGATTTCCTGACCCTGGAACGATTTTCTCTACCAAGCTTCTCTTGTTGATGCTGATGTTCAAAGAACCGTCCTGATGATCAAGATCTTTCGTGACAAGTGATCAGGGCGGACGCAGGTCTCACCGTGCTGGTGTAGTTGTACAGAGCGAAGACCAGAGCTATCTTTGAAGGGTCCCGGAACACGTGGTCCATCGGGGGGAAGAGTATAGAAACAGTTCCTGGCTGTAGACATCGCTTCAGAAAGTACATGTGTCAAATGGTTCACCTTCTCACCTTGGGAAGGTCAAGATCCTGCCTCACGAAAAGGTGGTCCTCGAAAACTTGCTCAGAAGGCCAATTCTCGAAAGAGAGAGTTTTCTGAACATCAAATCATATCGTGAACGATTCAAGTCTAACTCACTCCCCCTCTTCTTACTTGGAGAGGAAACAAATGGTCATGCAGGTTCCACGAAAACACAGATCGGCCAACCTGCACCAAACGTCACAAGCTACAGTCGGGGAGCAAGGTGCTACCTCTTCGTAAAACTCATATGCGGTGTATCCTTTTTCCACCAGCCCTTTGAACACCCCCTTCTTGAATTCATTTCTTGCTTCGTCACTGCTGCCCTTCGCCTCAAGAAGAATCGAATCTATCTTTCGACCCTCCAGGATCCGCAAAGCCGATCTCATGACCAGGTCTTCCGCCCCCTCCGCATCGATTTTGAGCAGTAGGATGTCGTCGTCAACAAGATCATCCAGTCGAACTTGTCGCACAACATCACCAGGCGCATCATCGTCCACGTCTGTCATCTCAGTGACATCCCAGTTGTCCCAACCATGCCTGTTGACCATCTTCACGCTACCCCCCTTGTCGCCGACGGCAGCATGTACCACATCAATCCTGCCCTTCACAAGCAACGTGTAAGACAACCAACTAGTGGTGACGTGGCATGGCACATACCTTCCATCCATTCAGCAGCAGGGAAGCATTCAAGAACACGTGAGCATGCGGCTGTGGTTCGATGGCAAGGACCCGACACCCATATGACGCAGCCATCATCGTAAACCATCCCACATGCGCTCCGACGTCAACAACCAGGGGAGCTCGACCCCCCTTCATGACGCGGCACTGAGCTTCGAGCAGCGCGTGCATAATGACTGACCCCGACGGGTTCATGACACGCGTGTCCCTGGCAGAGTTGGAGAGGTATCCTGGGTTCGCCTCGCTGGTCGGGAGTGCGAACCAGAAGGGGTAGGGAGTGTTGGTTCTGACGACGAGCATGGACTCCATCTCTGCTACCATAGCCGACGGTCGAGGAGTCGGAACGTACGACTGATCCTCGCCACCTTGTGGACACCTTCCTTCATCTCCCCTCCACGACGGCCTTGCTGTACCTGGGGCGAGCAAGAATGTGAGAGCAACGGAGCTGGCATCTCTCAACTCACCTGGGATCGGATGAGGGAGCGTTCCTGTGCTCGACTCCTCCTCCTTCCCTTCATCCAGGCCTGCATGCGCCGCTAAGAGCACCAGCACTAGTGCCAACCCCCGCCTGCTAGGCTTCATGGCGCCTCCACCGACCCTCCACTAACCCACCCCCCCTTTGCTCATCCATTTCCTGGACAATAACCGGGTAGTAACTCTCATTGTACACACTTTGAGCTCCCACCAAAGAATGGAACGGTTACAAACAGTTACAGATTCAAACTTTTCAACAAGGCGTGGGGCCATGGCGTGGGAGCGAGACGGGACGGGGGCAATGCAATGGGTTCAGAGAATGGTGAGCGCTGAGGGGTCGAAGTTGAAAGTTCCATGAGAGAAACTCGTCGCGTTGTGTGTGAGGAGCAAGGATCCCTGCAAGAGGGGATGTGTCGGATCAGCCTTGGGTCCACGGACGCACGCCAACACGCAAGGGATGTCCCTGAGTCCACTTGAGAAGTGCTCGTGAGAGATCTTTATTCTTTTGTTTGTCGTTTCTACAGCTGCATTCTTGAACAATCCATCTTGTGAGACTTGTCAGACTTCCAACGTCCGAGAATGGAATATTCTTTCAGCAAAAATGCCAGATGTCCTTCGATGGCAGGGCACCTGGGGGTACAGAGCAGGACGAGTCTGAATGCACAGAGGCCATTCGCTCTGAACCATCTCCGTGGAGGGAGTCACAGAATCAGGAATGTGTTGTTACATAATGTATGTGAAGAGTTGAAGAATCCGGAAACACCTCGAAAGCTATTCAGGACATTTTCTCGATTCGGGGTTGTATCCAAGATAGCAGTGGTATGGCTTGTGCTGATGCTCTCCTCAGAGGCAATGCGTACATTGTCGAGCAAGAATGCCATTCTAGCGGCTGGTGGTGCCAGCAAAGACTTGCTGCTGTTGCGGGATGATCCCACTGACTCTGAAAAGCAGTACGACCAATATGACTTGCACGGTTTTGAGCCAGGAAGAAGCGAAGATCATCTTAAGAGCGATGAGGATCCGGTACATGAGGATGTGGAACATCAAAATGTGGTGCAAGAGAATGAACAGATTGAGGTCGATCAGCTAGCACTGGCTGAGAACACCAACAGCGAGCAAGCGGACACAACGGAGCAGGCGCAAACTCTCAACCCTGCCGACGTCCAAGAAGCGGTCTTGACCAACCAGCAGGACGTGCACGAGCATGTCAACGTCGATGAGGACGAGTCCAGCCTCGTCGTCTCCGTACCTGACGTGGCTCCTGCCCTTGGGGACTCCTTGGATTCTTCCGAGGAGACAGACTTGGCTGCTGTGCGTGAAGGGAACGCGGCGACATCTCCTTCTGCATCGTTGGAGGGGAGGGAGACGAAGTCCTCCATGCTCGAGAGTGTGTTCAAGAGTGATGTCGACATCGAGGACGAGGACAGGCTGCGGACGCCTCCTGGCCTCACCACACGGCTGATGCCCCACCAGGAGGTGGCGCTTGCATGGATGCAGCAGCGGGAGGCCGCAGACAGAGTGTGCAAGCTCTTCTGGGAGGAACTGCATCTTCCTGCCTTCCGAGGATACTCCAACGTGATCACAGGGGAGGAGGTCGAGCTGCAGAACCCTCCTCTTGAGATCCAGGGGGGCATCCTTGCCGACGACATGGGTCTGGGCAAGACCATTACGGTCCTGGCGCTCGTCGTAGCCGATCGGACGGCGGAGCTGGAGGAGGAGGAGGGCAGCAGGGCCCTCGGGCAAGGAGCGGAAGAAGACGACTGTGCGGATCTCATCCGAGGCCTTGAGAATCTGAACCTCGCCAGCTCATCCTCCTCCCCTCCTCCTCTCGACTACTTCAAGACCCACAGATCGCAGGGGCCCACCCTCATCGTGTGTCCTCTCTCCGTCCTCCAGAACTGGAGGAAGCAGATTCAGACCCACACCAACGATCGACTCAAGGTCCTTGTCTTCCACGGGCCCATGAGGACCAAGGACCCTGAGCTACTCAAGGAGCAAGACATCGTCCTGTCTACCTACCCGGTCCTTGCCTCGGAGTTCTCCCGCCAGGCCCGGGGCGAGCAGGCCTCTGTGCTCCACTCCTTCCAATGGAGGAGGGTGGTGCTGGACGAGGGCCACGTCATCTGCAACCCCAAGGTCTGAGTTGATCTCCTCCTTCCAGTCTCTCCTCATCCTCATCCTCCTCCTCCTCCTCCTCCTCCTCCTCCTCCTCTTCCTCCTCCTCCTCATCCTTCCCAGTCCTCATCTACTCCCAATCCTTCCTCCTTCTCGGTCCTCCTCAGTCCTCCTATTCCTGCATCTGCTCCACTTACCTCTCCTCTTTTCCGCCTTCCACCAAACTCTCCTCCTCCTTCTCCCTGCCCTGAAATGTCCTGCAGGCGAAGCAAAGCCGGGCTGTACTCCAGCTGAATGCTGAGAGGAGGTGGGTAGTGACCGGGACGCCTCTACAGAACAAGCTTGACGACCTTTACTCGCTCTTTGCTTTCCTGCAGATCTATCCCTTCAAGGTGTGACGAGGAAGAGGAGAAGGGGGAGAGAGGAGGAGGAGGGGAATAGGGGATAGGAGGAGAACGAGGACAAGGATTTGGGGGAGAGGAGGAGGAGAGGATGACGATGATTGAGTTGGGGGGGGGGGGGGGACGAGGATCGGGGTGTGCTTTCTGCACGTGGGGTCGGTTATGGGGGGGGTGTTGCAGTGCAGGAGGGATTTGACATCCACCGCGTGCTGCAGGATTTCGAATGGTTCCGCTGCCTCATCAGCGACCCCGCGAGGTCCAAGGTGGCGAGCAGGAGGGAGCAGGGCCTCTCCATCGTCCGCTCCATCCTCGGTACCTACTGCCTGCGAAGGTCCAAGACGCAGAAGATAGGAGGGAAGCCAATTCTGCAGCTGCCAAAGAAGCAGGAGATTGTGAGGCACCTGGAGCTCTCGGAGGAGGAGCAGGAGATCTACGACGCTCTCTTCCAGAGCGGCAAGGTGATAGGACTCTCCTGCTCCCTTCCTCCCCTCCCCTCCCCTCCCCTCCCCTCCCCTCCCCTCCCCTCCCCTCCTTCCACTCCTCTTCATATCTTTTTCTCCTGTTTCCTGCGCCTCCTCTCTCCGCCTCCCCTTCTGCCGTGCATGACCCAGTGTGCAGGCCATGCTCAGGACGTACATCAAAGAGGGGACGGTCATGTCGCACTACACTAAGATCCTCGAGCGGCTCGTGCGGCTGCGGCAACTCTGCTGCCACAAGCAGCTGCTGCCTGCCACGGAGCTCAACCCCTCCAACCTCTCCGCCTCCGACATAGCAGAGGTGTGTTCAGACCTCCTCCTCTTCCTTCCCCCTCCTCTTCCTCCTCCCTCGCCCCTCCTCCTCTTCCTGCTCCTCTTCCTCCCCTCCCTTCCCCCTCCTCTTCTTTCCCTCCCACCCCCCTCTGCTTCTCTTCTTCCCCTCCCTCGCCCCTTCTCCCCTTCCCCCTGAGCTGATGTTGCTGGCAGGTGAAGCGGCTGGAGCAGGTGCTGGAGGAGAAGCTCTCCTCGGGCGAGGAGGAGTGCTGCGTGTGCCTTGAGCCCATCGAACGAGCTGTCATCACCAAGTGCGCCCACATCTTCTGCAAGGGATGCCTCGCCAGGTGCATCGAGCAGTGCTCTGAGCTCTCGCAAGCTCCTCCCAAGTGCCCTCTGTGCCGCGCCATCATCTCCCCCGGCGACGTCGTCGAGCGCTCGGGAGCAGGGCAGGCTGGCAGGGAGGGCAGGGAGGGGGGAGAGGAGGGAGTTTACATGAGCACCAAGCTGAAGGCGATCTTGAGCGAGATCGAGCAGCTGCGGGAGACTGCGCCGGGAGACAAGGTGCAAAAGACGGAGAGGAGCGGGGGGGCAACAGAGGAGGGAGGGAGGCCAAGAGCTGGAGCAAGAGGATCGTACGAGGGCACAGTGCAAGAGGAGGAGGGAGATGGAGATGAGGGGGAGGAGAGGTGGGCAGGAACAGCATGACACTGATCTCCCTGCTCTCAGGTTGTCATCTTTTCTCAGTTCACTTCCTTCCTCGACATCATCGAGTCGAGCCTCGTCCCTGGCACCTTCGCCAAGTTGGACGGGCGACTGACCCGAGCCAAGAGGGACCATGTCATCGAGAGCTTCCAGAACGACCAGCAGGTAGGCATCCGCTCTCCTCGCTCCACTGCCCCCCGCTCCTCCTCCGCTACTCCCTTGTGTTCCTTCTACACTACCTCGTGCTCTCTCCTTCTCTACCATCCTCCTCCCCTGACTACTCCCCTGAAACCCTCCAACGCCTTCCTGCCTTACTCTCTCTACCGTCTCCTCCTGCTCTTGTCTCTAGTGACCGGCCTGCAGCTGCAGATTCTCCTCATCAGCATGAAGGCAGGAGGCACCGGGCTCAACCTGGTCGTCGCCAACCATGTCTTCATCACAGACTTGTGGTGGAACAGCGCTGTGGAGAAACAGGCAAGCTCCTCCTCCCCACCCTGCACTCTCCTTCACAGCTTCGTTCCTCCCTCCCCTTCCTACTCCCTCCTCCTTTCGCCTGCGCTTTCTGATCGCCTCCATCAGGCCATGGACCGGGTCTATCGGCTCGGGCAGACGAAGGACGTCCGCGTGGTCAAGTTCGTCATCACAGGCACCATCGAGGAGCGCATCCTCGAGCTCCAGCACAAGAAGGAGCAGCTCATCGCCGGCGCCATGAGCGTCAGTTCCAAGGGGGAGCTGCAGCGAGTGAGGACACAAGATCTCAACTTTCTGTTCCGGTGAACGAGCATGGGGCAGCAAGCATGTAGCATGTATGTTAGACCAGACAAGTCAAGCGCTGGTGGAAAGATCAAGTTTATTTTCTTTAAGAAGACGGTTCTACTGCAAAAAAACGCAGATGTCCCTATCTCGTCAAAAGCCAGGATTCAAGATTAATAACCAAAATGTAACTACCATGAGCATCGCATCTCTACGTCAAACTCTTTCCGTTTACAACTTGTCCTTGAAGCGGTCGAGAGGAGGAACCTCGACGGCGAGACCCTTACGCTTGCGGATGCCGGCGATGACCTCATCACGGAGCTTGCCAGGAGCAAGAGGATCACCGAGAACAAGATCCCAGTGATCGAACACGCACTGAGGGAACGCCTGACCAGCAGTCTGGGCACGGAGATCGGAGTCGAAGCCGAAGGACTCAGAAACGGGCAAGTAAGCTTTCACGTTGTACAAAGGAGTTCCAGGACGCTGGTTCTCCTCAAACACCTGTCCACGACGCCTGTTCAAACAAGAATAGATTCCTCCCATAGCCTGCTCAGGGCACTGGATCTCGACAAGGAAGACGGGCTCCATGAGACGGGGCTGTGACAACATCTCGGCAGCATACATAACCCTACGGGCGGTAGGGATGATCTGTCCACCACCTCTGTGGATGGCATCAGCGTGCATGGTCACATCGAGAATCTGGAAGCAGATTCCGCGCATGTTCTCCTCGCAAATAACGCCTTCCTTGGTAACCCAGTTGAAGCCAGCAACGACGGAATCCTTGATCTCGTTCAAGAACTGCACAGCCTTGGTGGCATCGCAAACCAAGTTGGGACCAACAATGTCGGGACCGAACGCCCAGATCTTACGAGCAATGTCGACATCCCATCCAAATTCATCAGCCAAACGACGACCGCGAACCTTGACATCATCCCTGGGAGTGATCTGTCCGTCATCGATGATGTTGGTGAGCTCCTCTCCGAGGGGAAGAGCCTTGAAGTAAAGACGGTTGTGCTTGTTGGGGGACTTGGACATGCACTCCTGATCAGTCTCAGCAGTGACAGTCTCACGGTAAGACACAACTGGATCAGAGATCTTGAGGGGTGCTCCGTTCATGTAATCATCCTGCAAATCCTTCAAGCAGATCTCCATGTGAAGCTCTCCTGCTCCGGCAACGATGTGCTCTCCAGACTCCTCGATAGAGATGACAACCATAGGATCGGACTTGGCCAAACGCTTAAGACCCTCAACAAGCTTGGGAAGATCCTGGGGGTTCTTGGGCTCAACGGCGCAACGCACAACGGGGGACACAGAGAACTTCATGTCCTTCATGGGGTAGCCATCCTCAGCGGTGGTGAGGGTACCGGTCTTGACAAGGAACTGATCGATACCAATCAAACCGCAAGTGTTACCAACAGGAACAGTGTCAACGGGGTCCTGCTTCCTTCCCATGAACAGCACAACACGCTGGATAGACTTGATGTTCAAGTCTTCCTTCTTTCCAGGAACGTAGTTGGGTCCCATGATCCTGATCTTGACACCAGCCTGAACAGTTCCAGAGAACACACGTCCGAAAGCGATGAACCTTCCCTTGTCCGCCGATGGAACCATCTTGGAGACGTAGAGCACCAATGGGGCCTCAGGGTTGCACTCGCGGATTCCGGTGCAGCAAGCATCATCAGCAGGTCCGGTGTAGAGCAGCTCAGCACGATACTTCTGAGCAGCGGCGGGCGAAGGCAAGTGAAGAATCATCATCTCCAAAAGAGCCTTGTGGGCAGGGATCCAGGACTGCATAGTTCTCTTGAGCAAAGCCTTGCCCTGCAGCACAACATTTTCAGGTGGATATCGTTCAATGTGACGAAACAAACCTTGAGCTCGAGATCCTCCTTCTTCATCTTGATGTTCAAAGCAGAGAGCATCTTCTCCAGCTTGTCCAGCTGGTCATTCATGGTGGCCTGAACAATCTTGCCGATGGGATCCAAGATGAACATGTTGAATGCGCGGTTGGCAGTGTCTCCCTCCTTGGTCCACTTCTTCTCAGCAGGGTTGAAGTAGTTCTCACCCCACAATCTCTCGCACATCTGCGAAACGCACAGGGCTTACTTGCGTCATTCGGTGTCATTAGTCATCGAGTACCTTCTCCTCACTGACACCGAACTTCTTGGCGTACATACGGGCAAACTGAGGGAGGGTGAAGGCCCATCCGTGAAGACCAGCGGAGAAAGAGACAGTTCCCTTGTCGGGATAGACCTGATACAGATTCATCACAAAGGGGAACAACCTTCACAAAAACTCTACCTGCAAATCACCCATAGCCTCGTCCTTGTAGGTGGAGATGATAACGTTGACGTTCTCAACGTGCTTGGAGAAGTTGGTGTACATAGACTCCCAGTCGAGCTTTGCAGAAAAGAAATTCAGAAACACACGGCGATTCGAAAAAACATTATACCTGCAACTCAAGGAAACCACGATCCAACTTGTTGACAGTGAGAACGGGCTTGATCCTCTCACCGAGAGCCTTCACAACCATGTGTCACGTGGAAGAACAACCTTGTGATGTACTATCACACCTGACGCAAAACAGTCTCGGTCTGCACAGAAACTCCTTCGATGGAATCCACAACAACCAAAGCGCCATCAGTGATACGAAGAGCCGCAGTAACCTGTCCTCAAAATCACAACCGGCACACCGAGTTAGGTGGGAGTTTGCCTCAGCGGAGAAGTCAACGTGCCCTGGAGAATCGATCAAGTTGATAAGGAATTCACGTCCCGCGGAATCCTTGGGCATCTTAGCGTCGGGAATCTCTTCCTGCGCGATATTCAGCATTTCTCTTGTTTCTCCTCTGACATCAACCTCGGAGATCTCGTTGTAAAGCGAGATACCAGTGGACTTGATGGTGATACCACGCTCAGCCTCGTCGGCACGAGTGTCGGTCAAACGCTGGTCACCAGCAGAAGCCATAGAGATAATGCCAGCAGCAGCAACCAAGGAGTCGGTCAAAGTAGACTTTCCTAATCAACGCATCAGCATGTGCTCTGATTACGAAGACCTCGATTCTTACCGTGGTCAACGTGAGCAATCACGGACATGTTACGAATGTTCTTCGGCTTGTCCATGATAGCACGAAGCTGGGGAATTGTGAAGTTCACCTGTAGGGATTGCCATGTCACGTGGAGCGAAGCAACGGTTGACCATTCGGAGGAATTGAAGACAGCACAGGAAACAGGATACAAGAAAATGACGCCAAAGCGAAAGCCGTTCAAGAATACAAGGGGGAAGCGAGCATGAGAGGACGGAGCGACCCTGCATCGTGCTTACCATGGCGACTGGAGACTACGGCGGCGGCGCGCGTGCGTGGCGTATTTTTTAGACGGTGCAAAACTCTAGTACTGAATGTTCTACACTATAAGAATTTGGTACAAATTTATTTATAAAGTTTTATATTCCATCTCTGAACATACAAAGTGATCGGTACATCTACTACTATATTTATACAAAGTCATAACGTTACAGGGATTTGTGCTGGGAATTTTAGTACCTTATAATCAGGTGATTGTAGCATAAGACTCTCTCGCTGTACTTCTTTTTGGGCAATAATGCTTTCTTTGGTACAGATATAAAATTTCCTATATCACTTGTACGATGTAATTTAGTACCGGCCCCTGCAAACGACAAGATTCGGCTCAAGGAGGGGTGGGGTAATATATCCCTACCCTATGGTGCACGGGGTGTATTGCATCCTACGACGGTCACAGCGGGATCTCGAAAAAAGTCTTTGGTCTAATTATAGAAAAGTGAACCTTGAGCTCAACGATCCAGTTGAGGCAAAGGTATGTCCAGGAAGGGTACTCAGGATGCGGCTAGATGACAGGGGTTGTACAGGTGGGTCCTCCTCTAAGCGCTTTTTGTTGGATCGGATTTCCTGCGATTCTTGGGGGTAGAATGGTAGAAGGGTGGTACCTTCCTAAGGGAAATGATGTAATGATACTGTAGGAACTATGTTAGACGAGTGGGTACCCCACCTCCTCTCACCACTTGGGGTGTAATTGCATAGGCGTAGCAGACCTAGGTCGGGGGGTGGTCTATTTGTGGTGATAAGGGGGGTAGAGACTGCATTAGGAAACTGAAAGGAGGCCGAGTCAGTAGAGGCAGGGGGATGGAATTGACAGGGGGTGGGGCAACGATGTTTTAGGAAGAGGGGTGGTAGGGGTGTCGGATTAGGTACTACGATGAGGGTAGTACGACAAAAGGTACAAACTGCATTTTGAAAGAGAAATATAAGGGGGTGGGTATTTTAACATTGTTTGGTCATTTGATGGTGGGGTGGGAGTATTGGATAGGCTGGGGTGGGACAACGCAGTAAATGAATTTATGGGTAGGGTAATGCCAGTTTAGGACTATCAGCTAAAAATAGATTTACATGTATATTTGGATTAATACAAGTTGTTGATGGTACTAATCATTTATCAATATTATTATTCTGGCAAAGAGAGAAATAATTTTAGATAGTTGTATGGAAATTCATTGCCTGCATTATTAGTGCTCTTTAAAATATAAGTAATATATCATGTACGTTACGCCGATGACATTTGTAACGGTTTGTATGGCACCAGGTGAGGCTCAACTCGCTCTCCTCCTGCTCATTCTCCCTCCTCCCTCCTCCCTCCTCCCTCCTCCCTCCCTCCCTCCCTCCCTCCCCTCCCTCCTCCCTCCTCCCTCCTCCCCTCCTCCCCTCCTCCCCTCCCTCCCCCCTCCCCCTCCCTTCCCTCCCCTCCTCCCTCCTTCAATGTGCACCAAAGCGTGTCCTCTTCTTTCCTTCCCATTCTTGCTTGTTTCCTTGTATGTGTTGACAAGCTCAAATATTCTTTGCCTCATCTACAAAAATCGGAGCGTCTCTCCCCTTCCATTGCTTTTATCTGCTCTATTCATCTGCTCTATTCATCTGCTCTATTCGTCTGCTCTATTCGTCAGCTCTGTTCATCTGCTCTATTCGTCTGCTCTATTCGTCTGCTCCCTCTCCCCGTCTCACTCGCTTCATCCATTGGAGTCCTATTCTTCGATCTACAAAGCCATGTTTCCACCTCCTCTGTCCTGCCGCCTTCAATCATCTTATTTCGACGGCCTTGCTGTATGTTTTCCTTTTCTCTTCCATCCTTGATGATTTACAGCGAACTTGACGACCTCTTCGCTTTTCTGCGTCCCCCTTCTCTCCTCCTCTCCCTACACGATGTCTCTCTCCCCTCTTTTTTTCCCCACCCCTCGATCATTTCGGCTCCTTACCTCCTATTCTTCCGCCTCTGTGCGAGGCTCAGTGAATGCATCATTGGACCTTTTTGAGTGGCTGTGAAGATTTGAACTGTCTGATGCTATCCTGTCCTCTCCTCGTCCTCCCGAGACCTCTCTAGCGCGTTCTCGCCCTCGGGCTTGTAGAGCAGCGGAGAGGTTCTGAGCGAGTCTGACGGGAGAGGAGCGTGAAGACATTAAGGCGAATCGTAGCTACTCTTTTGCAAAGATCCATCCTCCGTTGTCAGTATGTGATTGCTCTGACTGAAAGGTGCAGGTTTGGCGTGACGAACTCAGTAGTACTTTATCTTCAAATTTTGCAATTCAAAGAATTTCATCTGTGTAAATGTTTCCTGTCCTGTAATTACTATGTGCTAGCTTTTGTGAATAAGTTATATATACTTATTTATTGACAACTATGTTTGACAATGATAACAAACTGTGAATTTTCACACTTCCTCCAATGGCCCGTCATCTTGCCCGAGGCTGGAATCTTCAGCGGTTTGCTTTTGTAAGTTCCGCAAGGACTGCATACAACTCGTCAAAGGGTATCTGCAAGCAACCGCGCGAGCCCGAACCTCTCTTGCCTCATTTACACTCCTGGAGAGATCAAAGGGTTTGATGCTCGACGCTGAGCTGTGAGAAATTTCATAACCATAGCAGATCACAAGTGTTTCTGCTTGTGTTTTACCTCATGCTGAAGTCTTGCATAGCACGTTCAGCATTCATGTCTCTGTGACCGTCTGACGCGCATCTGAGGACATACACTCTGCAGCGAATTAGTTTGAGAGGGCGACAGATCCTTCCCCTCTTGTTACCGATACTCAACGCCATTGCGCGAGATCAAAAGCTCCACCCTTGTGTCCTTGGGGCCCATGAGGTGTTTCTTGACTGCCTCCACGTTCCAGGCCACCGTCCATCCGTCGATTGCCTTGATCACATCCCCTACTTCGATCCTCTTCATGCAGGTCAGGATTTTAACAGGATTTGGGTCACGACAAGACCTGGAGGTCACCAGAAATGACCTGACAAGAAGAAACATCAGAAAACAGCAAGAGGAAAGAGCGAGAGTATTGCAAGACTTTTGAGAAGGCAACAAGGAGGAATCAGTTCAAGAACATGGCTGTACCCGGCACCACGAAGCTACTTCTGTCACTTGGATTCCTGATTGCGACGAATTGAGAGCGAGGCCCAGGCCGACGCTCACGTTCTGCTGCTGTGACATGAACTTGAGAAATACTGCGAGGTGGACAAAGTGGCGAAAGGCACCTTGGACTCTGGTGGAAACTGGTACTGTTTCTGCGAGAAGGAGGATTGGCTTGCTAAGCTAGGGAAGGCGCGGGAATTGAACGCAGGCTGGATCAAGTTTCGAGAGATGAAACGGCGACTCTGTTGAGACCTTGGGCTGTTCGCTTGCGATCGGATTCCTCCCTGCTCCACGTTTACACTCTCTTTTCAGTATCGCACCAACACGTGACTTGCCTGCTCTCCTCCCGTCGCACGAAACCTGTAACCCTCCAGCAACAGCGAGGTCTCAACCAGACCAGTCGGCTCCACGACTTCAGCCATGTCCTTTCCCTGCTCAGTTCGAATCAAATCTTTGCCATCACAAGGATCTTCGTGTACATCAATCTTGGGGAAGCGCACATAGTGCATAGCATTCGACAACTTGGCCTGCAAGGTTTGCTGGGATGCGTTCTTGAAGCGCGATTGGCCCCACCTGACCACCGCAAGAAATACCTGTTGTGTACGATCTGAGAACAAGGGCAAAACGTCTTGTTGTCTACCTCGATTTCTTGCATTTGCAGGTCATCGTTGGAGATCAGTTTGCAGAGCGCATCTTCGGGAAGATGCTCGATCGAAGGATGGGCGAAGGTCTGCGTTGCATTGACGAGGATGAACCGTTCGCACATTTGAATGACTTGACCTAGACCGAACTGACTGAAATGTCACAGGAGGAGACCGATGAGAACTGGGCAGAACCTGCAAGGCAGAGCAGAGAACCGAGTTGACCGTTTCTACAGAGATGTAGTTCTCCAGGAAGTTGAAATAGAGGCGTACAAGCGCATCAATCTGAATCGTTTTCAACAGATGAATCTTGTTTTCAAAAGGGCCGTACAAACCTCGTAATGTTGTGCTACATTCAGGATCTCGACTGCATGGTCCGGCCTTACTTGAGTTCGCCCAGTATAAACATAGAGGATGATGTCGTTGAACGCGTCCGGATCGCATTCCACACGAAGAGTTGCCTTGCCGGCGTTAGGAAGTGACATCTGTTGAAACAGATGAGAGAACACAGGGCTCTGCGCTGCTAGCATGTGCTTGTGGCAATGAAACGTTCCAGCAGAACTCCCTATCGAATCAAAAGTTCAGCCGTCCTGAAAGCTTGCTGCGATTTCAATCACTTTCATTACCTGGCCTACCAAGCTGAAGCTGCAGGTCCACGTAGGGATCTCCTTCCCTGAGGGTTCGAAGTAGATTGGATTGGAAAGCATCAAAGGGATCTGCAACTACATCATCAGGGCTGATCCAGCATGCAATTTTTAAAAATTCTTTCTTCCTTCTCTCATAGCAACTGCTCCTCTATCTTCCATCATTCTGAACGTCTTGGACCTCCCTCTCATTCATAATTTTACCTCTCTTTGAGCCCAGGGCCAGGCTGCAGGATTGCGCCGCAACTCAATGCGATCTGTCTCTCTGCAACTCTTCCCTCTTGGTACTCTGCTCTGCTCTACCATCCTCGCCCGCGTTCTCTTCCTGTATCTCCCCCCTCTTCTCCTCTTCACTCCTCGCCTACTCCCTCGCTCTTCTAGTCAATGTTACCTTCCATGGTTTTCGCTCCGTTGGGCCCTTCAGCTTTCAACATTTAAAACTATGATATAAAAAAAACAAATTTATTTATAAACATTACTTTGTGGGATACTAAAACATTGTTTCTTCTAAATATAGCATTCTCTATACCATCTCCTGTAGCCATCTGAAGAGTTAGTACTACCTTTGAATCTTAAAATGGTGTAGAAATTCCAGTACAACCCTTGAACCTCGTAAAAGGTTTGTCGTAGTAGTCCTTGAGAGTCAGTAGCAATTGGGCACTGTCTGACTTTTTTTTATGCGGCCCGGCGGCCCGGGCCCGCCGGCCCGGCCGGGCCGGCGCCAGGCCTTTCCGAAGTTCCGGGGCTCGAGGGCTGTAAACTAGGCTAGCCGAACTTCGGAAACTTGAAATCAAAGCACTGCGGCAAGTTAAAACTTGATCGGACTTGGACTAATAGTGGCAGCCACTGTCACGGTCAGTCCGCACTGCAGCGCTGCCAGGCTGAGCCCGCCGCCGCCGGGGGCCCACAGTGACTGGCCGCAACCTGACTCTGCCAGTGAACTTCAAGGCTTGCTTGAATGGCGCGGCCGGGCCGGCGGCCGCCACGACACTGAGGGCCGCCGGGCCGGACCGCGCGGCCCGCCGCCCGAGCCGGCATCCGATCGCGGCCGGCTCACAGGCGGCATGATGATCGGGCATCAGTGATGGCCGGCACTGCGGCAGTCAGTGCAGGCCCCGGAGCGGTGACGGTACGGTAAGGAGCAGACTCCGAATCGGAGCCCTCGAGGCCCACCCCGCCGCCGGCGGGTGGCCCAGCTTCACGGCCCCGGAGTTTAGAACATGAAGTAATGGCGCATAAAGAATGAGCTAGAAATCATTGCAGTGACAAGCATGTGAAAAACGTTCACGAGGCAGGGAGAATAGAGCAGGCCTATCAGTGGCAGGCAGCCAAAGCTGTCAAAACTTCAATCTCATCCTAGACTTTCCGTCAACACCATCCTAGACTTCCCTGAAGTCTTCTGCTACACTTGTCGATACGAATCCATCTCCTAAGGCTTCAACCAAGCATCCATTGATCGCAAGAACTTCATCTTGTTGAAGAAGCCCTGCGCCAGCAAGTTGTCGATGAGCGTCGAGATGAAATCACTGTCGATTCCTCGAGCAGGTAAGAGTTCCTCAAACGCCTTCTGAACACGTTCATCAAGTTCGCTCAACTCAGGAGATCCTCCACCCTGGGACACATCCTGGTCGACCATAAACGGATCGTTCTGCGGTTTCCCATCCCGCTGGTGCTTCCTCCACATGTAAGCATGATACAACAATGCAGTTTGTCCATTATCCTCACTCAGAAAGCCCGAGTACGTCAGCCCAACGTTGATACGGAGAATTTCAAATCCATGCCTGTCTCCAACACACTCAAAGAAAAGAGGTAGCTTCTGCCCTTCTTTTGCAATTCCTACGAGGAACAGCGTAGCAACAGGTGGGTCGTATCCGTTCTGCTGATCTTCCGCATCAACGTCCTCCACCTCATCGTCCTCCTCTCCTTTCTCTTGCACGAGTTCGTATGACGAGATCACATTGATAACCTCATTCCCCACTTGCTTCTCGTAGTTGAGAAGGGAGGTGACCTCTGCGCGCCCTTCCATAATCTCATCAATCTTGATTTGTGTCCAGCCCTCGGGCTTGTACAAGTCGTTCATCAGCTCTTCTTGCTTCTTGAGAACATTGATCTGTTCGGATACCACCAGCTTTACCTTCTGAAAATCAGCAGCCGTTGACTGAGCACTCATGCACCGAATTCCTGGCGCAGCCATTGCGTTTAACCATTGACCTGCGGGTCGAGCAGTTGACTGTAAGGGGGACGTGGCACGGTGGAGGTGAAGGGCTGAGACTGAGGATGGTTTTACTTCCCCTGCTCTGAGGCTCGCGTGAGCGACGCAGCGCATGCTGCGCAAGCCGCTTCTTACGGCTCGCAGCATTGCGGGCACGTGGTGGGAGGGCGAAGTGGGGTGAGGGGGTGGGTGGAGGGAGGGTGGGTAATAGTAGGGGGGTGGGTTGCAGGAATTCGATAGGTACAGTGTGGTCCAAAGAGGGGTAGTACACAATTGAAACCCATCCCATCCATGGGGTATACAAGAGGGCTCAAAGGGGGGTAGGATCAGGTAAAAGGGGGGTCATGTTACTAGATGAAGGGGTAGGGTGTAAATTTTCCCGGCAGTCGCATGGTGAGGTCAGGGAATGTGTGTTGAGATGATAGTGGGACAGAGCATGAGGCGAGCAGAGAGCGGAATGCGAGGTGAATATGATCAGGAGCAGACGATGAGCAGAGAAACTGCAGCAAGTAGATCAGTGCGAAGAGCCTATTGTCAGTGGTGTCGCTTGCCGGCAAGTCGGCATAGGCTGAATTTGTGTTTACGATTTTCCTTTGAATTGCTCGACTTCTGATTGTACTTGCTTGAAACAACAGAATTGGTGGTCCCTTCCCTTGCGTAGTTGGATCCTGTATGCTTTCACTGCAAGCTACATAGATTGTGCCCAGCGACACACTCCTATTGCAGGTATGCAATAGAACCAGGGGGTAGATGCGGAGGGGCGATACTTCGATCCATGCTAAATCAAACACGCAGGTTTCGCTAGCTTTCAGACTTTCAGCATCGCACAAAAGGCCAGGAATCACGACCGGGTTGCACAGACAGTAGTCAAGCAGAGACCGTCAGTTTGGCCTGTGCAACATCGCTCACAACGGGTCATGTGTGCATTGAAGGATGGAAGACCATCGCAAACTCAGAGTCGGAAAGTTATTTTTTGGGATGTGATGAGTACTCTGGTGTACGATCCTTTCTTCATTGAGGTGCCTGCGTTCTTGGGCATGACGTTGGAAGAGCTGTACAAGACAAAGGATTCTGCAATTTGGTAACACTGTTTTTGCATCTCCACCTCGAAGAGCTGAAGAAAATTCCCTGGCAGGGAGAAATTTGAAAAGGGTCTTTGTACAGAAGTAAGTGTATGCGAAAAGAAAGATGTCTTTCAGCTTAGTTTGGTCGCAGCAAGATCTCCTGGACGGATTCTTTCTGGATCGTAGAAAATTCGATGGACAGGGAATGGTCAACATGATTGCTTCAAAGTGAGGATTTTCGAAAGGAACATGAGTGATGACATGATAGAATGATGTGATTCCCATCAGATATGAATGGTTGCCAGGAATGAAGGAGCTCCTTATAGAACTAAAGCAAAAGGTGAATTTCGCTTGCACTACTTGCTCTATTTGATTTCAGATTCTCAGGGATACGAAATGCGTATGTTGCCAAGCGCATACGAAAATTGTCATCAAGTAATTGTTCAATTACAGATATCATCTCCAATTATCCAATCTGGTTCAACCAGATTGAATCAAAACTTTCGCTTTCGACGATATTGCCGGTCACTCAATCACAAATGTATTCCAAATTCGCTCACACCTCTCCTAGTGGTCTTTTGTGTCTGCAGAAACAGGACTAAGGAAACCAGACAAAGAAGCGTACCTCATGGCTCAACGCAAACTGAACCTAGACGCAGGACAGGTGACGATTTCTGTTATCGCGATTCTCAGTTCAAGGTACCTCTGTGCAGTGCATTCTCGTGGACGACAGCAAGAGCAATGTGGAGAGTGCAAAGTCCTGTGGATGGTTTGGAATATGTTTCAACGGAAGGTGCGCTGAAAGCTTGATGCCCTAGCTTCTATTTACTGGAGATTGATGCAGCTGTGGTACGTTGAAGGAAGAATTGTATAAGATTCTCGAAAATTCTGGAGACAGTGCGACAGAAATCTAAGTGAAGAGAAAATTATGTATCAGCATATCTTGTATATATCTAATTGATACGCCAACTCCTTCTCCTACCGTTCTATCTTCAACTTCCTGGTACACTAGAACAAGCCTACGATGCCAGCATTCAATCTCAATGATCTGTTCCTTTCTAGAAAGGATCAGCAAGCATGTCCCTTCCCTCACAGACGACTCCTCCATCCATCTGCCCGTTCCCTGAGACTTCCAATTCAATCCGAGCTCTCCTCTGCTTCTTCAACAGGTGCTTCCTGAACTTGGGCCCCTTCGTCCATCTTCCTTAGCAGTGCCTCATGTTGTCGGACACGGTGGCACTCTTCAAGCGCCCAACCTGGCATCCCCTCACAGTTATACCTGCTGTAATCGTCCACCTTAGTGTTGTAGTGTGGGGACGTCTTAATCATGACCCATCTCCCGAGTTGTCCAACAGGATTAAAGACCTTCCCTCTTCCGCACTGTGCGCCAGGAGGGCAGCTGTTCTCAGGCTCTTCTGCCCACTCTGTAGCCCACGATGGCAACCGAGTTCTCTCTTCATTGTCCAGCTTGTACGCATCCCTAGCTCCTCCTGACCTCTCCCGAGAAAACGACCTTCCCCTCTGAACTGGTCTGTAGGGATCGTATCCGAGAAGCTTCACCTTGTGCGAAACATTCTGGGCAAAGAGTATGAGTCCAAGAGTGCATGCCATGGCCGTGAGGAGCATCGCGCTCCCCACCATCGCCATTTGTCCTCGAACCATCAACATGCTCCTGAAGGGGCAGGCTGCACCGTTACAGGGGTTATCACAATTCGTTACACCGCCGCCCGGCCTGCCCGGCCGCCGCCGCGCCCGGCCGGGACTCGGATCACGCCGGCCCCGGCCGGTGATCGGACGGTGAGTCACTGATCCTAGTATCCGATTCAACCGTTGATCAGTGACTCGGATGGCACAGCACGGTCCGCCGGTAACTCTGAAATTTTTGACCGTCCGTGTCACTGAGCCTTACGCAAATGGCACTGACTTAGCCTCAAAAGAAACAGGCTGGGCCCGGGGCCCCCGCGGGGGCCTCTCTGACTCGGTGTGACAACCGTACGGTGCCACGGCGCTGCTCACTGGCCCGCCCCCGCTGAGTCGGACCGCCGTGACGGGCGCGCCCCCGCGGAGGCTCAGAAGTTCAACTAGTAGACTCCGGCAGTGCCACGGTGTACCGTGCGTTTTTTCATTTTCAAGGCAGTAAGTTCAATCACAACGACGTTGAGAAGAGCGAGTTTCGTCTCGAAGGAGCATGAGGATGGAATACGAGGATATCAAGATGCCAGGCAAGCTGAACGGTAAAGGTGAGCCAGCAAGCCATCACAGCGGCAGCAAGCAAGGCAATCACCAATAGGTGGAACGGAACAGGAGAGGAAGGAAAGGCAGATGTGGCAGAATCTGTAAGCATGTCACCGCTGTTTGAGCATGTCGAGTGTTGGCCTTGTCGCCCCTACCAAAGGTTGAAGGATCTCGAGGACTTCTGGCAAGACATACAACCCAACCTGAGGTCCTGAAGTCAGGATGCACCAGCAGACGTCCAGCTGACTCCTAAGCCACAAGGTACCTGATAGAGGAAAGACACAGCCCGCGTGAGAGAACTACCGGTTGCCTTTCCTGACAAGAATGTCATAGAAAGATCGTGAAGGTTCTACACGACCGATGGGCAGCAATGAGCCAGACAAGGAAAGATGGAGGAGGCAGACGAGCATACGCAGAGCCTGCACACGTTCAGAGGACTCATGGAGACGCTTCAAAGGTTCCTGTTACCCATTCCTCCTGTCGAAAGAGGAGAGGCAGGAGCTGGGTATGCCCGACATTGCACAGGAAGAGATAAGCCCTGCGAGAGTGCATGATCAGGGTGGTCAGGTGACAGGATATGAGCTACTCCGCATGTTTCTGAGACAATGGAGCAAGCAGGAGCATCGGCAACGTTGCGTTCAACACAGCCTTCTCGTGTACATGATACCTTTAGCGAACAGCACTTCAGTCGCATACAAGGATAAAACGATCCACAAACCCAAAGAGGAATGAAGCCAGGGAGCAGTAAGCAATAAGGTGAATGAATTCCAGGCGACTCCGTGGCCCCCTTGACGCTGACCATACCATGACCAGAGCTGCTCAAGGGAACTGAAGTCAGGCAAGTAAATTCCATTGAGGGAAGTTCGAACCAGGAGCCATGGCCAACAAGGACAGTAAGATCTGCAAGTGCGCGCAGTGCTGTGAATATGCAGGGGTGGGAAGACACAGCCCTTACCGTCAAGCCTGGGGTCACGGTCGGAAGCCAAACATGCAGCTGATCGCCTACCAGTCCACCTGGAACAGAAGAAATTCTCTTGAGCCTGAGCTCAAAGGTATGTCCTGTCTTACCTGTCATTGAGCCTTGAGAAACGACATTGTTTCCTCTTGTTCCAAGGACTTTGAGAAGGGCCTTGTCAACCAGATTGTACGCGACCCAAACTAGAAATAGAATGTTGCTCAATGAGAAAATATGCACAGAACAAAGATTACCGTTCGGAGCCCAATATGCATGGCAAAGACCACGGCCAAAGGGAAACAATCGTTGGAAGATCTTGATAACACGATGATGAGCAACAGACACCAGCAGCAGTAGAAGCGAAGACCTGCTTCAAGCATGGCAGGCCTCCAGCGACGTAAAACGGTACCAGAGAGACCCCGAAAACAGAGAGGACAACCACTCCTAAAGTTGCAAACCTCATCATCACGGACGAGACGTTTGACCCAGTCCTCCAACACCTGCAGAAGGTTGACACTTGGACTGAGTTTGTGAGACGATTACCGCGGATGTGGCGAAATGCAGTGGTGTCGTAACAAGTACACAAAGTACGCGGGAGCAAGGGAGAGGTATAAATGTTTCCTGCGCACATGGTTACACTACAACTCGAAGTCCCCGCCGTGGATCACATGTTCACGAGCACGGCAAAGAGAAACGACCCCAACAGATCCTGCCCATTACTAATGCAAGAGATCGACAACAACAGCAACCCCTGGTTAGACAATCAGACGACCCAACAGGAGCACTTGAGTAAGGTACCAATAGCATCCCGTTGTATTGAAAATGTACATGATCCGTGATAAAGAGGCCCGCGTTCACAGCAGCGAGAATCACAATGGACAGGCTAGCCTGGTTCGCATCAAGAGCGAAAGCATTCCTAGAAGATGCAAAACGCGAGGTGTAAGGAAAACTCCCGACGTAGTGAAGGACTGCCAATAGAAGTAGTATCTCAGTCAGCAAGACCTGTGAGAAGTCAAGGCAATGATCAGATCACAGAGATTGAAACCGTGGATCGCTGAAAGAAGATTGTTCTATCGGAATCATAATTCAATGACTTGATGTCGAGCATCTTGGCGTCAGCATGAACGGCAAACAGAGAGAGGAACTACATGTACATGCTGAGATCAGCGGTGAGTTCAGACTTGCAGTAGGAGCATACCTTCTCAAACCACCCGAAGAGTGGAGGATAGTCAAGGGTCCACTCTGAAGTGTCTTCGAAATACCATTTGGATATGGGCAATGAGGACGTGATTGCAAGCCTGACAACCAATCACACGACTACACACATCGGAATGGCGAACCAGTTTCGATGGACTTCGAAGTCAGTTGATCGGTATGACCAGAAGGCCAACGATTTCACTATCTAGAGGGTTTGGACAAGGTGAAGTCAAGACATCTCAGACAATCTCTCTTTGCCACAAGCATCTCACCATGGCGGACACCCAGATAAGAACAACCTGGACCATGCTCCTCCCAGATTCGGCACTTCTAGGATGCTCCATGTGGCGATCTTCCTTTGCTCCTGGTACAGGTTCTCCTCCTCTGGACTCTCCAGCTCCAGCTCCTGCTCCTGCTCCACCAGTCCTCAGTGTCGACACAGGTTTCGTCCTGCTGCCATGGAAATCCGCAATCCCCTCATACCGCACCAACTTCTGATGTAGGGTAGGGGGTAGTCCTCTCAGGGTCATTGCTGGATGGCGTACTCTACTACCGGTACTTAAATTGTCAAAAGTACTGGTGAATAAGGTCATTTGCAGGGTTTCAATGAAAAATCCTTGGGGGTAGTATAGCAGAAGGGGTAGGGGTACCAGTAGCGGGCAGGGACGATGGCGGAGGCTGGAGCTATAGCTGGGATGACGGAGAAGCAGCGGAAGCTCTTCGAACTGAGGATGAGGATGGTAAGTGAGAGGAAGAGGAGGAGGAGGAGGAGAATGACGAACTGGGAGAAGATCAACAAGAGGCAATGTAGACAGAGTGGTGACTGAGCAGAACATTGAGGGTTGAATGCCAGGTTGACTTGGCGAGAGTTCATGGTAGTTGAAGATGAGTTAATGAAGTTGGTGTATGCAATCACGATATGTATATTGATGGGGTGATGTATCGAGTGAGATTGTGCAGAAGTCACCCCATGCAAGCCTTGCGAGTATTTTATCAAATGCAGCCAAACAGCAGATCTGGTATGAGTGAGAATTTGCCCCGAAGTTACAAGAAGGCCAGAGGAAACCTAGGAAGTGGATAGCTGTGAATGAGACTCTATCATCTGTGGAAGCATTGCGATGCCGTTTGAATGCCTACAAGATTGAATCACTGACCGGGATGTTCAGAACGAAGGCCGAAAGCTGAACCACATGGAGGTAGCGGCGGAGAAGCGGCGGGCGACAGATCCTGCTGGCGAGGCGAAGCGACAGAAGGAGTTGTCGGAGGCGCGAGCTGAGAAACGGAAGAAGTGAGTGTTCAGTTAGCAGCGATACCCTTGATTCTCTTTGTGAATCTGCTGCAGGGAAGCTGCTGAGGCCGATGACGATAGCCAAGAAGTGGACAAGAGACTGTGATGCTCATGGGTGTTTCTCGCTCGGGCTGATCGATCCCCTTCTCGTAGACTGGTCACTCTGGAGCAAGCTGAGTCCATGGAAAAGAAGAAGGAAAAGAAAGAGAAAGGTGATCTGAGCACCATCCCCGTCATCTGCTATCAGCAATTTCAAGGATGCTTGGTTGTCTTACTAGCTGTGGATGCAGGCAAGGCTGCGTTTGGATGGGACGTGTTCAACCAAGACACGCTCTACAAGGCCCACAAGAAGCGGATCAAGAAGGTCTCTGTGTCCTTGCCCCTTCTCCTTGCTGATGGGATGCGGAGCAGCTCCAGCCTGACATTGAGAGCTACGAGGCCGCCAAGGCCAACGACAAGTGAGAGTTGTTGGCACGTGCACGCGCGGGTTGCTGACAAGACGAGTCAGGGACTTCTTCCGCGATGCCAACTCACTTTCTTACGGTGGAGCTGGTTATCAGCCACCTACTGAGAAGGTCGGCTGCTGGGTTGTGCTTACCTGGTAAGCTCAATTTGTCGTCATGTAGGTGGAAGCGATGGTGGAGGATCTGCTGGATGCTGCGGAGAGGAGGAACAAATTCTCTCGTCGCAGGCCCGAAGTGTTCGAAGCAGGTGAGGAGATGCAACTAACGACCCATCGAGCACGCTCCTTCAGTCTACCTCTTGTTTTTCAATCCCTCCCTTTCCCCCCACCCTTCCTCTTTGCCTCCGGCCCTTTCTTCCACCTCTCTCTCGTTCTGCGATGCTTCCTCTTTCTCTTCTGAGATGTCTTGTGTTCAAGATGTCGATTACATCAACGATCGCAACAAGCACTTCAACAAGAAGATCGACAGAGCCTTCGGCGACTACACCAAGGTGGCGGTTTGCTTGTTGACTTTCCCAGCTGAGCTCGTGCTGCCAGGTCATCAAAGAGAATCTCGAGAGAGGAACAGCTTTGTAAACCAGCTGTTGCTTGTTTCTCGGAACAGACGTTACATCATACGGACTTGTTTGCGTTCTTTTCATGCTTTTCTTGTCCCGCCAACTGTTTGATCGCTGAGATTTTCACTGAGAGCATTTCCCGCAAAGATGCCACCTTTCTTAAGACATTACATCAAGTTTTCATCGTTTGTAACTTCATTCAAAGAATAAAAGAATAGTTCTGGCTATCATACAATCTTCAAGCTCACCAGACGACAACTACCACTCGCACTTGAAGAAATCCTTGAGGAAAACCCCATGGGGAATATTCACTTCCTTCTTTTCCCTCAGTTCGATCAGAGGCGCGATGACAGGATCCAGCACGCGCGCAGCCGCGTCGACCTCGTCCAAGGGTGTCTGGAAGTTGTGCCTCTCGCCATGTTTCGCCGCGATCTCCATCGGCTTCTCGTCGTTGATCCATCCCGTGTCCACCGCCGTCATGTAGATCTCCGACTTGACGTAGTCCTGCGCCGATGTCCTTGTCATCATGTTTAGCGCTGCCTTCGCCATGTTGGTGTGCGGGTGCTGGTCTGACTTGTACCGGTAGAACTTCCCCTCCATGGCGCTCACGTTGACGATGAACCTTGGCCGATCCGGCGACGCCTCCATGAGAGACTTGAGCCGCGCGTTGAGAATCGCAGGCGCAATGGCGTTGATCGCCATGACCTCTGCCATCTCCCCGGTGGAAACCTGCCAGGGGGGTCAGGAGCTGATGAGGGCCGAGGGAGGGAGGAAGTCAAGAGGGGGAGAGTTTGCCCTGAGAGAGTAGGAGGATCACAAATTCGTCCTTGAAGCACTCACGGAAAGGATCTTCATCATCGGGCAAACAGCCGAGCAACAGCAGCAAGAGCATCGCACGACAAGCGGAGCAGATCAAGGGTTCACCTCTTCCAGTCGCAGCATCCAAGAGTTCTTCCTTCGCAGGTCCAGCTGCTGCTGGTTGATGTCCAGCACGCTAGCCCCGCTCTCATTCTTGGGGAACGCGTGCGGGTCCTCATTCAGGTCCTCCTCCGTCACCACAAGTTGAGACATCTCCGCTGCTGTACTCCTCGACGGCATCTTGGAAGTCACGGTTGTGTTGGAGGCCTCACTCAGCTTGCACGAGCTCCCTACCACCTCCTCCTTCGGTCCAACATCCGCTGAGCTTGCAACAGGTTTCACTCTGCCAACATCCTCCTCGACCTCCTCGTCCTCGTCCACTTGCTCTATCTTGATGCCCGGCAGGGTCTCCTTCGCCTCCAGCAACATCCCCTGCCTTGTAGAGTTCATCGTTTCGTGCATCTGCAGCAACTTCTGAACCGCTGGCTCCTGCTCCTTGACATCCTTGCGCTCGTTCTGTAGGAGATGGCGGTAGTACTGCGCAGGGCGTCGGATAGTCTGACAAGCGTTGTTGATCAGGATGTCGAGCCTTGAAAACTTCTCCTTCATGTGACAGCAGAATTGCTCGACCTGTCCATATAGTCAGCGACACAATCAAGAGAAGTTCTTGCAACAGCAACTCACCGAGGCAAGGTCACGAAAGTCGATACCCACGCAGTGAAGTCGGTCTTTCCACTTGTCAAAGTCTGGGGTCGTCATCAGCTCTACTTGTACACACGACTTGATCTGTCGCACCTTTCTCCTGCGCGTATCTTCGTGCGCAATCAGCTGCAAACCTGCTCGTTGCTACCACGGTGCAACCACACCTTAGCAGCTTCAGGGCACAGCCTGCACAGCAAGACAAGGAAGTCGTCAGGAATGCGATCAATACCACAGGAGACGAGCTTACGGAATCCGATCTTGACCCTCGCTCCTGTCACAAGAGCTACCTTCCCGTCCATCTCCACCAGCTCGTTCCTCTTGCGATAGTTGAGGCTGGCGCAGCTCGGGCAGAGCTGATCGTAGAAGAAGTGGAGGTCGACAAATGGTCTCTTGCAGATGTAGCACTGGATGGGGATGTTCAGCCGACGAGCATCCTCCATCATCGAGCTCTGCTCTTCCTCCTCGTTCAACTCGACGGTGCCGTCGGCTACCCGGTGCAGCCGGACCTGAGCCGCCATCTCCTGCACTTCCCCCATGTGCGTCAGCAGCAAAGGAGCGGACCCGTTCGTCAGCGCCGGCGCGGCATTGTTCAGCTCCTCCAGCGCTGCCAGCCTCTTGGCTCGCAGAGCAGCCTTGTTGATCCACTCCTTGTCCTGCTCCTTGAGAGACTGGAGCTCCGCGACGTCCTTCCTCTTCCGCTTCAGGCTGCCCTTCACTCCATACTTCTTCATCTGATCCTCTACGAGAGGGTGCATGGCGCTGCGGAGCTGCTTGAAAGCGGCGGAGCGGAAGTGAGGGACATTCTGAGCCAGACGGTCGATGACCTTGAGAGCCGTCTCATACTCCAGCGTGTTGAAACCGAGCTCCTCTTCATCAAACCCCAACTCATTCAGCCGCGATGCTCGAGATGCTGGGAGCTCTTGGATGTTGTCGGATCCTATCGACTCCTCTCCCTCCGAGGCCTCCTCGTTGTCATCCACAGGGTCGCTCTTGCCATTCTCTTCCTGCCTTCTTCTCTCCTTCTGTCGCTGCTTCTTTTGCTTTCGTTTCAAGGCAAGAAGCGACTTCATCGGATGGATTCAAACGATTGACGGTCGGATGAAGCCAAGTCGAAGACTCTTTCTACATGTTGTGATCTGTTTGCTTCCTTGTCTTGTTGTCTTGTTGTCTTGTTGTCTTGTTGTCTTGTTGTCTTGTTTTCTTGTTGTCTCCTTTGCTTGTTTTCGCCTCCTCTTTCTCCCCTCTTTTTCTGCACGTGTAGATCTCCCCCATCGAGGACCCTTATCACCCCCCCAAAATATACCCCTACCCCTTAAATGGAATGACTTCCCGCGATTATGCACCCCTTCAATTACATCAAAAGTAATACCCCACCCCTGCCAAATCTAAAAATTTAGCTCAGATCTCGCCTAAAAACAGCAAAAATCTCTTAAATTTAGCCGGCCCGGCGCAAATTAGTCTGACAGTGACTCTGCCTCGACTCACGAGTCAGTGACGCGGCCGTCAGTGACGCGGCCGTCAGTGACGGTCGGCCGGCCCCGGCCGGGCGGCACGGCATGATCCCAGTCCCGGCGGAGTGGCGCCGTGTGGCCGGCGCCCGGCGTGTTGCGAGTCACTGAGTGGGCCCTGGGATGGGCAGAGTAAAAACTTTCAGTCAGAGTCCGTCACTCCGCCGCCCGCGGCCCGGCATACTGAGTCTTTCGACTTTCTTTTAGTATTGACAAAGTTACACTTCAAACATCTCCTTTCAAAGCCTGTTTGCGGGCTTCTCGCTCCTTCCTGAGTCTGCAAGAACAGCCTAAGCCTCATCACAGGTTGTGCCCTCCGTGTTCACCTTTCCCTGAGTTCCTCGTACGTCTGGCATCCCAAGTCCTGATAAAGCAGCCGCCGCGATGAGAACAGCAAAGTATCGAACAGACGGGACAAGAGGCAAGAAGAAGGAGGAGAAGGAAGAATAGGGGGAGCAGGGGGAGAGGGTGGAGTTCGAGAAGAAGGAAAGGGACCTTTCCAACAGTAGCCATCCACTTGGCATCGATTTCTGCGGGGGATTCCGTCAACTCTTGCTGAGGTGAAACCGGGCATGAAAAGAATCATCACCTTGAGCAAGGCTCTGTGGCAGCTCTACTTTTCCATGCCCTGACTTTCCATCTCTTACCTTTCCATTGCCCAGCCCTGCCACCACAACCGCAGCCGAGTCAGCGGGAGGGACGGGGAGAGCGCGAGTCCGGACCAGCGCCCGGCTCAAGGCCACAGTGCACGTTCCTCTTCATCTTGGTCAGCCTGTTGTCAGCGCCGTCAACCAGACCGAGCAGACTCGTTTGGCGAGATGAAGCAGACCGTTCGTCGAAGAACTCCTTGTTGGCTGACATGAAGGCGAACGTCGACTTCTCCGTCGCCAGCCTGCCGTCATGAGATCACTGCTGGTGAACAACAAGAACAAGGCACGGATGCCTGATAAGCTCCTTGTCTGTATGATCCACTCCGATGAATCTCGCTATCTCTCTCACGTGCAACTCGAGGTCGGCCTGGACCCGGGGGTTCAACCCTTACTGCTCGCACGCCCAACTCATAGCTTCACCTTCATATCCTCATAGAACAAGAAGAGCACGTTGTCATCCCATCTGCCCACCGTCAAGACATCCTCTCCCGGATTGCACTGTTGCTACCGGTGTTGCCACCAAGATATGAGGTGATGGAAGTAGGAAGCGTTCTGCATCTTGGATTCGGGGATCCCCCGAGCAAGCCAGAAATGTTTGACGAACTCCTCCAAAGAAACCTTGAGCACGCACATCAGTGATCGTTCCACTACATCTCTCTCTCCCACCTCCCCCGGTTGGAAGTACCATCCCTCAAAGAAAGTGAAGAACGAAACAGCCACGTCGTGGGGATCTCGCACAACTACGATGTATTTGCACTTGTCCCCCTGCATGATACAGGTCAATGAAGTAGTACTACCACATCCAAGATTGGCAAGGCAAGACAAAGTGATGACTGACACATGCAGTCGTGATGTTCATGTTTCCATCTAGTTACTCCGATAATTTCCCTCTTACCTTCGGGCAATGATCGTACCAACAATGAGTCTTGAATGCTCTTGGCGAGAAAGCATGGTCAGCATCCAGGTCCTGTTATTCGCACTGAGCCAATGGTTTGGTACATCCTTCTATGAACGGTTCCCACCTGCCCGAGATCTGCTGCCATTTCCACCCAGGGCACAACCTCGCTGATTTCAACGAAGTCCATCGATCCTCGCGAGCGCAGCTGCGGGAGACGGTGAGGTCAGATGCAGGAGGCGGCGAGGTCAGATGCAGGAGGAGATGTGAAGAAGATCTACCATACCTGGTGAACGATCTGCTGCAGCCAAGTGGTCCCGCACTTCGGAGACGTCACTACGAAGACGTCACCGTCTCTCGGCCTGACAAACAGAGTCAGGCCAGGGAGGAGGAGGAGGAGGATGAAGACAGGCGAGAAGGTACGAGGACTGCATGGCGGCAGCATCTTCACCTGAAGTTGAGTCCCTTGATCCTCCCATCCTCCGTCTCAAACCCTCCCAACCTCTCCCGCAGCTTCCGGATCCCCTCGCTCGTCGCCTCTCCAGCCTCCACTGGCATTGCTGTATGACAAGAATACCCCCTACCCTGCAAATGATTACCCCTACCCCGTACATTTTATCAATCACCCATTGTTTTCATACTATAAAGAGGGGTTATTTTTACTGATATCTGGGTACTTCAATGACCCTACCCCGACAATTGGTTCTTTGTCGGGGCGCCGGCATGGCGGTCGCCTTGCTGCGAGCGACATGGCTGGCAGTGACATGCGCGATGGTTTTACTCAGCGACGGCAAGGGCTCGAAGGTTCAACTTCTCCTATCCTTTCCTCTCCTCCTCTCCTCCTATCGTTTCCTCTCCTCCTCTCCTCCTCTCCTCTCCTCCTTTCCTCTCCTCCTCTCCTCCTCTCCTCCTCTCCTCTCCTCCTCTCCTCTCCTCCTCTCCTCCTCTCCTCCTCTCCTCCCCACTTCACCCAAAAAACAGCATGTGTCATGACGTCATGATTCTGACGGGCGTATCAGTTCCTCAGGTACCTCAACGATGTTTCCTATTACGGCAAGTTGAGCTCCTTGCAAGACAAGGAGCATCGAGAATCAGATGTGCTGAAAAGGAAAGAATCCTGCTGTGTTTGTTTCCATGCGAGTGAATCCTGTCTTCTGTGTTGTACAGAGTGTACATCGGAGCCAGGACTGTATGGATCGCCTATTACGCATGGGGGTTTATCTTGAACACTTTCTTCGTCTACACCTCTGCATCAACATCTTTGATATGCCTAGAGGTGAAATACTCTGCAGTGTGGGACGGAATTTTTGAGCTGTGAGAACGCAGGTCCACCTCTTCAGGAGGTTGTACGAATCCGTGTTTGTCACCAAATTCTCGGCTGATCGGAAGGAGCATCCGATAACCATCATGGTGTCCTCCTCGAACAATCTGTGAAGTGTTTTGAGTGCGATGATAAGATCGGCCTGTTCTTCTACAGCCTTGTCAGCGTATCTTTCGTAGAAGAAGAGCGGTACACTTCCCTGCCCTTGCCCTGCCCTGCTATCCATTCCTTTTGACGACTTTTTCAGTCTCCTGCGGGATTCCGGCAATGATCCGTCGGCGCTGAGCGGGTTTCGACTCGTCCTCATCGCCTTCTTCTTCCTGTCGATGGCATGCCAGCACATGGCGTAATGAGATCCGTATCCAATGATTGTGATGAGCTGAGAGCGATTTTGGTTCAGACATGTAGAACTAGCCTCATTGCGATCGATGCAACAGGTGAGACAGTCTTGGCATGTGAAAAATTGCCTACATTTGCAGCAGCATTCTTCTGTCTATGTGGTGCCGAGTGGTTGGTTGTTCAGGAATGTGTCTACATGCCCTCATTACACCGCCGAAGTGATGATGTGAGTGTAGAGGCTCTAGGAGACATTTCTAACGCTGCCAATCAGATATCTGAGTCTGGTGAACGAACTTTGTTGGTTCTTCTCTTCACATCTGATGACATTTCAGGCGCTGTTTCATGGACTCTACTTCAACTGCTCTTGGCTCATCCTCGCCTTCACCGTCACCAACCTCAGCATCACCGCAGTCCGCACGGTGAGCCGCCGGGTCTGGTTGACATTCTGAATGTGAATTCATCCAATCCCAGAGGAGATGGTATCGTACACTCGGTGAAGAGTCTTCACGACTTGCAAGCGTACGATGAGATGCTGTTCATCCTGCGCGCCGCCCTGACTTGTCTTGTATTGCAGTTTGCCATCATCCCCGGCCTTTTGTAAACTAGTGTTTCATTGAAAGAATCTCTGAAAGAATAATTCGTCTCCTCCGCTTTCCTCACATTCTCCCGAACCTTCCCTCGTCTCCTCCGCCAACCTCAGACCGACCCCTCCCTCACGTCCTCCGTGTCGTCCAGCTCTCTCCTCATGGAGCACAGCATGCAACTTGAGCCATGGCGGTGTTAACGATGTCCTCGATGCTCAACGGCTGCGTGCGAAGAGCTTGTTGAAACCTTCGAGATGTTGCTCAGCACGAGAAGGCTGGAACAACAAACATTCTTACAGCGCTTTGCTCAACGAATCCGCATCAGCCCTCTTAGCAGCTTGAAGAAATAGTTGAGATGTGAACAAACTTGCACAAGACTGAAGTTCACCTGCAGGAGAGAAGAATTCGATCGCCTCCACCGTCACGTCTGGCGGCCCGCTGACGGACATCTCATTGCAGTTGTCTGGGTATGTGATGCTGATCCCGGCGATCTTGAACAACGCAAGCTTGTCAGAGTTTGTCTGTGGATAAATTCCGTCACATCTTGCATATTCAACGTGTTTGTTCTCCACCTGAATGATCTGTTTCTGCTCATCGGGCGCCCTTGTAATCACAACAGCAGGATCGTCGCTCGTGGTCAATGCTCCATCCTCCATTACTCGTAGGCAGACGACCTGACCTTGTGGGTCAGAGATGGTGAGGAGGGAAAGGAGAAGGGAAAGGAGAAGGGAAAAGAGCAGGGAAAAGAGGAGGGAAAAGAGCAGGGAAAAGAGGAGGGTCTATTTACTTGAACAGATGGGTCAAGCCCGGGATAGCTTTCTGACAAGTATGTGCTGCCTGCATGGAATGTCAACAAGACTGAAAATGTCATTGATCCACCACATTGCATGTCTTTCCACAGCAGCATTAAGGGAGTGAGTCCAATCTCATAGTGGCTTTCTCTGTGCAGGAACTGCAGACACAAGAATCATCCCTCCATGGCAGGAGGGAGAGTGAAGCCAAACCTGCAAACCATCCCTGACGAATGGACAACTCAAGGTCCTAGGTGGCGCATCAGATCCCAGGAGGTTTGAAGCAAGGTAGGGAAGACCTATACGCTGATTCGATCCCATTCATATCGCAGAAGTACCATGGGAGGATGTGCAAGGGAAACGGGTTGTTCTAGAGCGAGCATGCTCTAGTCAGGAACGTTCTTGTGAATAACCGTGTCCTCACGTGCTCGTGGAATTGAGCGGCAAATGCAGCATCCTCCGAAATCTTCTGCTGTAACCTGAAGAAACTGTCAGAACTCATCCATGTGGGAACCTCCTATCACCAGAACAGTCTGAAGTCTGCAGAACAATCGTACACCGCATGACCTTTCCAGCACCTGCTCGGATGATCACCACTTGTACTCTTTGCAATGATCTGCTCATCGTGACATACATCACATCACAGATGAAGAAACAGTTGAGCTCGTCGACAAAAATACAGTCGAGGATCGTCGTATCGTGTCCTCCTATCCTCCCTTGCCTGTTTGCTAACACCTGAACATCACATGAAGTCAGCCAACACGATCGGGATCAGACGTTCAAGTGCTCAATTGATACCCCTCCGTTCGGCAGGGCCGATTGAAACTGTTTGAAGACTTTCCCGGTTCCTGATGATCAAGATCACGACTAAAGAGATGGTTGACTAGCTAGCACTTAATCGCGCTATGGTTCTCCCGCCCGATGATAAGACCAAACATCTTCTCCTGTCTCACGGAATCAAACTTGAGAACGTGGACAAGGGACATCGAGGAGGAGGAGAGGAGCAGGAGAGAAGCAGGAGAGGAGCAGCAGCAGAAGCAGAAGCCGCAGCAGCAGGAGGCGTCAAAAAGGTTCTTGAGCTCCGCGACGTGGAGAAGAGGGAACGAGATACAACGAAGACGAGCGGGAGGAGAGCGATACCCTTGCGGTCTCGGAGCAACGAGCCACTTGTTCTGCAGCTCGTCAGGGACTTCTATCATCCAATCCGGCATCATCATCTTTGGTCGAGTCAGCACCGTCACAACCCTCGCTCCTCCTCACCTTGCCCTTCCATGTGTCCTCGTCGAGATCGACCTGCTTCCGGTTGTGTGCTCTGCTCGCCTTCGACTTGGAGTCTGCCTGCCCTTCAGGGCTGCTGAGCAGAACACCATCAAGGCAACGTGGGCATGTACAACTTCAGCTCACGCTGCTGGTGCCTGCCTCTCATCTTCCCCTTCCTCCTCGCCTCCCATCATTCTTGCCTGGAATCAACTTCACTCTCCTCCTACACTCGAGCTGCGGCACAGCTGACCAGCATGACCCGGTCCTTGCGCTCCGATCTCTGCCTGTCCAACATCTGCCGCTGCCTCCGGCGCTGGTCGATCGCCATGGCCTTCTTGACATTCCTCTCCCCCTTTGCGTTCGTTGCCATGCTGCAGCCGCAGGTGTCTGCTCAGATCTAGCGTCACAGACACTCCTTCCTTGCTCTGACGATCTCTTTTCCCGCCGTCATTTCCTTCCACTCCCGGATGCTTTCCTTCTTCATTACACTCTCCCCTCCCCCTCTCCTCCGTCTCCATCCCGCTCCCTCCCTCCCTTCCCTGCTTGCTTTCAGATTTCTCTCCCTCGCTCCCTGCCTCCCTGCCTCCCTGCCTCCCTGCCTCCCTGCCTCCCTGCCTCCCTGCCTCCCTGCCTGCCTGCCTCCTTGCCTCCCTGCCTCCCTGCCTCCCTGCCTCCTTGCCTCCCTGCCTCCCTGCCTCCCTCCTTCCCTGCCTCCCTCCCTGCCTCCCTGCCTCCCTGCCTCCCTGCCTCCCTGCCTCCCTGCCTGCCTCCCTGCCTGCCTCCCTGCATCTCCCCCTGGCGCAGGGCGGGAGCGGAAGTGAGGGCAGCGGGAGGGGAGGGGCAGGAGCTGGGAGGGGGCGAACTAAAATTTCGCAGACTACTGCGGGGAACAGAAATTAGGACGGGGAATGAGCGGGCGCATACCAAGAATGCTGGCGTGCAGGCTGGGCAAGGCCATGCTGCGCGGCTTCTTCTTCCCTCCCTCCTCCTTCTCCTCCCTCCCCTCCCCTGCTCCCTTGTGCGTCCCACGGCGCTTCTTCCGGTCGACTTCATGGCCGCGCATGGAGGCGACGGAGCGGTCGGGCGCGTCGGAGGAAGGTGACATGGAGGAGTTGCGGTCAGCAGTGGAGGACACGATGAAGTGGAAGAGGGAGGACATGAGCTCGCACAAGAGCATGAACGAGACCTGGAGCAGAGTCAAGCTGAAAGAAAACATGCACAACTTCGTGGAGCCGACGGCGATCGTGTACTACGAGAGAGACTACGAGGAAGAGCTGATCAGCGTAGTGACCACTTACGATGTCTTGCGAACAGACGCCCCCCAGCCCAATCATCCGGCTCGTATCCCCCCGAAGCATTACTCCACCACGTTTCTCATCGGCATCTCTAAGAAGCGAGCGACGCTGCCCCTCTTCTTCGAGTGCGAGGCAAGCTGGAGCGAATTTCGAATCCTGCGGTTGAGCTTGGGGACGGCGATGAACAGCGGCTTCATGGCGAACGAGGCCAGCAGGTCCGCCATGCTGTACAACCTGTTCATGAAGAGGAGCGACGAGCGGGAGGGGAATGAGGACGCGATTGCAGAGTACGAACAATTCGAGGGTCTGGACTCGAAGCGATTCAGCAAGCTGGATGCTCGGCTGCAGAAAGGGTTCAGGGAGTACCTGGAGGTCCGGGGGATAGATCAGCAGTTCCTGCGAGACATGATCCAAGAGACGCTGCAACAGAAAGATCGCAAGTGCATGAACTTTCTCAAGGACATCAAACGGTACTTCAGGGTGAAAGAGGATGACGTTTGAACATCATCGTGGAGATTTTTTGGGCTGTGATTTTTCTTCTGGACACATCTTGTTTCTGTAGTGATATCACTAATATCACTATTTTATTCACGCGTGTTGTGCGCGTTGCTTGTGATACATATCCATGACATTGCAATACACTCGAAACTCACTATCACAGAGCTTCTGGATGCTCCATTTTCTCCTCACAAAATCAGCAACCTGATAAACAGAGGATGTTTATGATGATGTATCAAATTTGCAAACACCTTGAGCGCCAGACCTTGTAGACGCCGAAGATGAGGCGCCGTGTCATCCAAGAGCTGAAGTAACATCAGAACGTCGATGTCCATCAGTTGACTACCTCGAGTGATGACTGGATCTCCTCTGATAGCGCGTCGATCTAGACGAGAATGATCAGTGAGCAAACGATAACATTCATGCCAAAGTGCTTGAGCAGCGTGGAGGCTGGAAAGCAGGAGGCTGGAGTGGAAAGAGGAGGAGGATGGAATGACGGGCTGAATGTCAGGGGTAATACATCTCCTCGCTCGACGAGTCGCAGTCTTGTGAGAAACGCTTCTTCTCCCTGCGATGAGTCACCAGGGCCTCTGATGCCCATCATGACTAACCTCATCTCGCAAGAAATCCCTTATCTCTGATATGCCTCCTCCTTCGTACGCCACGACGATCTTTCCCATAGCCAGGGCTTCGATGACGGCTCGACAGAACGTTTCGTCCGTTAGAGAGGGGATCACTACCTGTACCGTGATTCAGATGGAAACGAGCGGATGCAAGCAATCATATCCAACCACATCAGCACATAGTAGAGCTCCAGGCATCTCGTCAGGATGGATTTGTTCCTCCAGTTGGCAGCTCAACCCGCACTCCCTCCTCAATCTCCCTGCCAGGGGCATGAGACGTTCTATGTTGATGATGCATGGTCTGAACACCAGTTTCATCAGCAAGCATCCTACTGAAACGGTTCGGTCTGACTGGCATCCCCAGGATGACACCCTTCGCGGTCTCCTTGAATGTTGCTAGTCTGCATCGAAGAGGTCAAGGTATCAGCAATGGAGATCATGACTCTGAAAGGGCGGAGAAAGATAGAAACTAACGCTCTGATGAAGTCGAGTTGTCCCTTTATCCTGCTTACTCGCCCTGTGATAGAAATTCACAAAAGTTGAAAGACAAACAAGGATTAACCTGGAAGAAGCACTGTTCGCAACTTGGAATCATAAAGGTTCCATTTCATTGCAAAACATTTTGCTACACTTATGTTGTCTTCTGTCATATCGTATCAACAGGACATGTCCACTTGCACGAGAAGATTACCTGAAATTTGAAATTGTGACGTGTCGATGCCCCTTGGTATAATCACTGCTTTCGTTTCTACCAACCGCCCTTTCCATAACACGATCTTGAGCTGGCCTGAATCGGAATCAGGTAGAGCGAACTTTGGTAGCCCATGACAGGTTGTAGGTGTTGAATCCTCAGCACTTAAATGCTGCACAAAAAACTCAGTACAAGCAAACACTCAGTTCGAGCAATGATTCTTTCCTGGTGTGCCATCACATAGGAAAATAGGAACTTGGAAGGAAGGACGACGAAAGCACCCCACAACATTGGCCTAGCCATGGCGCGTTTCCAAAATCCTTTCGTCAGGCTGTAGGCTCCGCTGCAGCGAGAAAGGATCAACAACTTGCACTCTATTCCAGCAACCTCACTCACTGATGCGTGGTCAGGTATCTTGTCCCAGAAATCCGACAAGCTATCCAAGTGCTCCATGCCGATGTCCGGGATCGCGCGTGGACGATGTGTATCCCAAACCTCCGGATGGCTTGGAGGAGCTTCCATGGGACAAGAAAGAAGATGTTGATAGGGTTCTTGGACAGAAGGCAAGGCTCAAGTATCACTTCGATGCCCTTTCCCCTCAGAGCTTCTGTCAACTTTCCCCCTGCGCACATGATGACTGGCTCATGGCCCTGTTCTCTCAGTCAGAAAACAAGACAGACGACAGGGCGAGAAAGATCACCTTCTCCTTCAAATACGAGGAGATCTCTAGCACTCCGCGCTCTACTCCTCCCATGGACATGGACGGTATCACCTGAAGCACCTTCATCCCTCTCCCACGCTCCAGTCTTTCTTCACTGCTGAGGGAAAGAAGGAGAGATTTCAAGGTGTCTTTCTCCGGGACACCGGATAGAACTCAGATTCGAGTTCGATTCTTCCATCTATCTGCCGTCCTTCGTCGTCGTTCTCGCCTGCCATAACCATTTCACCCTGTGAAAAGCTCCATGCTGATTGGACGCTTCGTACCCTTGTTCACCACCCCTCGAATTCAAGGAAAAGATACCCCTCCCTTGTCGACAGGTTTTCCATTCCTTTCAATAACGGAAGTAACCGGAAAGAGACGGATATAGCTTGGGATGGCAGGGGAGGCAACAGAAGGCGGGGAGGAGGTGCGGCTGGTAATGGCAGACTTCAGGACGTTCGAGCCATGCATAGTAAGGTATGGTGAAGTATGATCATTGTTTCCTTGCTGCTTGCTGGCAGTTATATCATGATGTGGAGTTGTGATGAAGTGAACTTGATCCCCCGGTCCCTTGCCCCGAAGGGCTCTAGTCGAACGCTCGTCTGCCTCATGATGCCTCTCAGTGTTGAACTCAGATGTGTGATGTGGTTGGTTTCTTGTTGCCTCTAGAGTTTTGACGACATGGAGTACATATGTCATGTTGATCCTATGGATGTTGATTGGTTTTCTTCCCTGGACTAATCTGTACCTTGTAGTCAACGGTCAGCGGAGAAGCAGCAGAGGACGAGGAGGGGTGTTCAAGCTAGCGTTTGTGGCGCTGCCATAGCTTGTGTAGCTATCTTGCTCTTGGCATCTCATCACAAAGGAGCTCGGACTTCGTTGACTCCGGTAAACCTCAGATGTTGGGAGGTATTTCAATGTATGAGAGCCTCACCAGCCTTGTCCAGGAGGAATCGATCACTGTTACAGCTCAAGACATCGACCGATTAGGCCTGTCTGCTCCACAGGGATTTGAAACCCCAAACATTCAAGTCACGGATGCCGATATCGAGAGGCTCGGATTGAAAGCACCGGCAGGGTTCAATGTCCCCGCCATCAATGTCACCAAGGATGATATTGAGAGGTGGGTTGTTTGTGTACAGCATCTTGAGGACTGACGTGTGCTCTTCAGACTCGGGTTGAGTGTACCCACAGCTGCAGCAGGCGGGTACGGTGGAAACATCCAGGTCACTCCCGAGGACGTAGAACGATACGGGCTGGTTGCGCCGAGCGGGTTCGAAGACGTTCATGAACCTGTGACGGGTAAAACGCTGCTGGGGATCAAAGAGTTCAGTGCTGACATGTGCTCCAGCGGAAGATGTTGATCGCTATGGGTTGCTTGCGCCGTCTGGTTCGCGCCAACGTGACGCTATCGATGTCACCGACGATGATGTGAACAAGTAGAACCTCAATGGAGTATGGCATTCTTCTGACAGTCCGAATCTATCAGATACGGCTTGAAGTTGGATCCTGTAACAGACGACGACATCAAGGTAGTGCACCTTCACTATTTTCCCGGTAAAAAGCTGATAATCTAATGACAGTCAATGGGCGTTGCACCTATAGCCGTCACTGACGATGATATTGATCATTTGGGGTTGAATTTGGTATGTATTCCTGCTTGAATTCTGCAGTTCTGACATGAAACACCAGTCGAAAGTCACGAACCAGGACAAATCAGACTTGGGCTTGCTTGGAACCACGTACAGGCTGACAGCCGATGAAGCTGCAGGTTGGACCCGATGAACCAACTTTTTTCTCAGAAGCATCGCGCCTGATATTTGCTTCTCATAGCTCTGGGGCTCAGTGGACCAATCACCCTCACGGCAGAAGAGGCGGTGAAGTTAGGACTCAAGTGATGAGAGGCTTCTGCAGCTCTCGCCCGTCTTGACTTTGTTGGTGCAGTGTGCCTTCGGTGACTGAAGGAGACTTGGACAAGTGACGAGCAGTGCCTCTTGATCGCACTCAACCTGATCCTTGAACGGCAGGTACGGGTTGAGAGATCCTAAGGGGTGGAACGCAACGGGTTACAAGCACATACCTTAAATGCTAAAGCATGACATATACTCGCGAAGGCTCAACTTGACCGTTTTAAATTTTACAAGCTGATGAATCTGAATCGCAGAGCATGCGGAATGATTGCACAGAGTTGATTTGTATCAAAAGCTATTACAAAGACTTGTATTTGCCAATCAATCCTGTCTTAAACTTTGTCACATCGAACATGATCATGCCCAGTTAGACTGTCTGCATAATCCCATCCGTGGCAAAATCCTCAAGAGCTACAAAGGAACATGTTTCTACACTCTATTGTCGATCTATCATAATCGCGTATAACCCCTCGATCCATAGCCGCTAGGGTGCATCTCTGTACCAGAAGTAGCTTGCGCTGCTTGTCTTCCAAGCAGCGAGCTCCCACTTATCATTGTCTTCCACCTGTCATGGAGCTCATCAGCATCCTCATCATGCATAAAATGAATCTGACCAGATATAGATCAGGATTAGTGCTAGGAGGAGCAACCACGGGTTCAAGTGTACGTTGGCGGCGCCGGTCTCGATGGGGTTGAAGTACTGCCGAGTATATGGGTGGCCAAGCCCTGTGCGATATCCAGCGTCCATGGGTATCCGTCGCAATGGAGCTTTCCTAACGAGTGCGTCGCCTTTGTGCCTGCCTCCTCCAACACACGTTTGGCGTCTTGTCGTGCCAACTAGCAGATGCTTGCTCCTCCTCCTACCTCCTTCAGCCCTTGCTCTTGGTCCACACAGCGTTCTCCCTTCCTCCTTCCTCTTCTCCCCTCGTCTGCTCTTCCTCCCCAACGCTCTCCCTCTCACTTTGCCTGCATCTTCCCTGCAAGCATTAGCAAGTGGCAGGGAATGATGGCAGACCACGGAAACCGGAGAAGCTGGTAGACCTTTCACCAAACCTTGCGGAAACATGCGGGAAAACATGTCGGAGGCCTGACTGGTCAGTATGAGCGCTTGAGGAGAGGAGGAGGGGGCAGCGATCACGAGGAAGAGCATCGAAGCAAGACGTTGCGAAGGAAAGCTATAGAGAAGCATCAAACAAGAGCAGGAGGAGGGGAAGGGAGACGGGGACTGAGCAGGTGGGGTCGAATCGGAGACTCGTAAAATCGACCCGTATGCTCGAAGTACACATGTAGATTCGAAGAACGGCAGTGATTTTACACTTTCTTGGACCATGAGGATGGCGACGATGCGTGGGGTTCGATGTATTTTCTTGTATCTCTCCCTCCTGTATGTGAATTTGCCCGTCCCGTGTGCTTCTTTCGACGGGCTCTGCCTCGTCGACGATTTCAAGGTCAACTCGGTAAGCTCAACTCCACCTCTTGTTCGCATGTTGATACAAAGAGCCAGTGGAGTGCTGATGATTTCCGAGGAACTTCTGAAGAAGTCTTGGGTAAACGGAACTTGTGTTGCCAAATGTGCCCGAGTAAGGTGGTTTTGTCAGGGACAGCATACTTCGACCATAACAATTCCCTGATGGTGATCCATAGAAATGTAGAGGTATTCAGTTATGCAATTACTTCTGTTTGTCACCAATGCCATTATCGTAGAAAGGAATGGAAATCATCGAATACAATCAAGGTTATCAATGACCCCTTCGTTTCGGCAGCACGACCGGATCTTACTTGTTGGCCAGGAGGCAAAATCATAAACCGACGTAGAATGGTAGGCTTTGGGAACATTACAGGTGTTCTAAGACCTCATTGTTACCTACTTGACCCCTGCGCTTGACAGCCCTCTCCTACGTTCGGGATTCAATCTTTGGTTACGTGGAAACTTCCATGCCAAGGTGTGGTCGTTTGTCTGGCGATGAGAAATGTTGACTGGTCTATCATGATAGAATCACGTTCGTGAACTTGAGCAAGCAATGGCTTCTCGAAGACACATTAGAGTATTCGAAGATCCTCCATGAAACATTCCAGCTTGAGCCGAAAGAGGTGAACGTAACCATCTCATTTCCATCACTCGCTCGAATTGTAAAGAATATCTTCAGAAAAATTCCGATCTTGATGGTATTGCCTTCGACTGGATGCGAAAGGATTTCTATGTTGCCAACAACAAGCCACGCGTGATCTCGAAAGTGCGGCATCAGCATGAAGGCAATCAGCACGTGACAGATGTCGTCTGGTGGGCAGACAGACAGTCAGACACAGCTCTCGCAATCGCTCATGAATTGTGCTTGCAAAAGCATGGAACGCTAGGAGGGGAGCTACTGGAGGGAGAGAGCAACAAAGCATGTGAAGAGCGGGTTGCGCTTGAATGGGGAGGAGGTGGCTCGTTCGGCAAGATCGGAGACCTTGGGTTCATCAAAGGTGAGGGTGGCCAGAACGAGCATGGATACGTCCTTCTTCTGCAAAAGCGATCGCCAGGTGGACTGTTCCAAGTGGACATGGACGGACGGACCTTGTTGAGGCTCTCAGTAGGAGGTTTGTAGCCTTGGCCGGACGTTTCTGGAAGGTGACGATCTTGCCCAGAGAGCAACGACAAACATTTTTCAGGACTAGCGGTCTCTAAAGATGGTCTTGATATCTTCCTTGCGTACCTTGACGGGGACATAATGCGGTACACTTGCGTGCATAAAATAAGCTCGTTGGACCCCTCTGAGGTCATCAAGGTATTGCACACAGTCACGTGCATCTGAGGGAAAATCTGATCATGGGGAATTTTTTGCAGAATTGGATCGTGAAGCAGGCGAATGGAACTTCGATTGAGGCAACAGTGGACAAACTGTCAAAGTGGCTCCAGGTATAATTCTCTTTCGACCATAGACGCACTTCGCAGTAACCAGCATGCCAGTCTGGAAACAGTTCTTTGCCAGACTTTGTCGGCAGCTTTGGGGATTACATCGCAGTGAAGGCCTATCTCCAGGTAATATTGAGATTTCGTCTTGTCAAGGATTGATATCTCTTCAACAGAACACATCCATCCACAGTCTCTTTCAAGATATGATCCCATCCAGCTTGAAATCTAGGTGCTTGCTCAAGTCCAATGGAGGACCCTGAAGTACTAAGTGTACTGCAGCAATGGGTTACCGTTGGTCGACCTGCTGCTACTGCTGTTCGGGCTCGCAGCTGGTGTGCTTGACTACTCGATTGCTAGCAGCATATGACGGAGAATTCAGTGTATTGCTTCTCGCTCTGTATCCTCAGAGTTGGCATGGGGCTGAGATCCGGCAGCCATCACCTTGTGAACCTCGTTCGAAGTTACCTTGCTGATGTCAAGGTGAGGGCGAGAGCGAGAGTTTGTGATGAGGGAGAGAAGGAGTGGGGGAGTGAGGTAGAGGGAGGAAGGGTGAATGTGTATCATCCTCCATGACGTTGAATCAGAACTACTTTGCTCCCAAGAAACGCGAGACCAACCATAGATTTCGTTCAGCACCGCACGTGAGAAAATTTTGTCTTGCCCTCCTTGGGCAGGTTAAAGCGTGACCGCAGTCTGAATATGATGCAGTATGAACCCATGTGTGCATATGATGATGAGATCGAGCTTGGGGAGTTATCGAAGCTAGAAGACTAACCATCAACACCATCTTTTCTCTTTCTCCCGCTGCCCTCACCTTCCATGATTTTATCGCATCCTCCATCAATCAGTTTCAAAGTAAATGCACACATAAAATTGATTCAAGTTCGATTTTGTCTGTAATCGTAAATCACAAAGCCATCCAAAACAAAGCCTAACTTGTTTCAGCTTTTTGCTGGGAAGCAATAGTGAGATCATAGAAGAACAATTCGTTACGATCACCTCTTTTGCCAATTTTTCTTGGCGACGAGCTTCCAAGGTGATGGCATTGATTCTTGCCATCTCTTTGAAATGGTGCAAGCATTCAAAGTAATCCTGTTCATATTCAAATTAAAGGAGAAAAAACGATATTCTTGACACACACTTAAGTTCTTTCAATCCTGTTTGAAATCTATTCCTAATATCCTCTAATATACCCGAATCAAACATGTCGCTTTTGAAATGATTCATATTAGTAGATAAGAAGTACATACAGCACCACTTCGTAATAATCCAAATTAGATTCGTATACAACCATTCAATCAAAATTACGACCCGCAGTACTACACTTATGATCCACAGCAAGACAACAAAACAAAAACAGCCCAGATAACCAAATGAGACAGATTCTCTCAGAGGTAAAATGCACATTCAAACCATCGCATCAGATTTCAGTGGAACCGCTGTCATAGGAGACGTTGGGGAACGGGACCAAGGAGGCAGAGAGACAGAGAGGGAGATGAGGAGCAGAAGGAGAAGAGAAACTTGCCTCTCTCGCCTTGATGCATGTGTTGGGGTCGTCTGTCTGCTTCATGCACTCATGAAAGTCCGTCCAGAAGCCATAACAGCGGCCTGTCCCGCCTCTCGCCCCGAACCCAGACGACATTGTTGAAGCCTTCCTCCTCACATGTACCCCACCCCTCCGATCAACCATGCTCCACCACCCCACGAGAACTCTCCAGAGGGTGTTGTCATGTACGGGTTCATAAAATTTCTTCACCGGTCAGTTGATGTGTAAAGTACCCCAGCCTGAAACGGCAACAATGACAGGCACCCTACCCCTAGAGTACAATTGCACCAATGTACCCCCCCATAATCCATACAGACTGCCCTACCCTCAGTACTTTATCGCGGCCGAGGCAATAGCAGCCAGTATCCGTGAAGGTATCCGTGAAGGTATCCGTGAAGGTATCCGTGAAGTATCCAGAGCTGGCTTTCCCCGAGGCAGACTCGATCCGATCGACCGGGCTCATGGCCGGGAGACGGGGAGCAGGCGCAATGCTGCTGCTCCTGCTGCTCCTGCTGCTGCAGGAGGGAGATATGGAGGAGCACGGAGCTCGATTTTCCTTCTTTCCCCTCATCAGACTGATAAGACGAGCGCTGGGACAACCAGCATGCCTTGTCAACAGAATGGTGCAACTGCCTACGGAGCGGGGTAGTAGAACCAGTCCCAACCTGGGCAGGTTGCTGTCATGCGTGTCAAGAGGGATGCCTGCAGGTGCGAGACACAAGATACCTTGTCTGAGAGGAGGTTCGGGTCACATGTCGGATGAATCTGGTAACTTGGAGGGCCCGGATGCCTGCTCCAAGTCATCGGAAGTAGAGCTTGTGAGAGGTAATATCACTGATTACAGCTCTGCAGCCTGACCAACCTTCTGCAAAAAGGGATTTCCTCTCTAGAGGACAGTGACTCTGATAAAAAAGGCGGTGCTCGAAGGGCGGATTCAGGTCGAATGGACTCCCTCAGTAAGAGGCAGAAGAAGCCGACGCAGGAATGGGTGAGACTCGAACTCTGCTAGCCTTGTCCTCCTCCTGAGTAAGTGGTGTCTGATCATGTGTGTGGCAGAGAGACCTCTCTCCGGAAGGTCCTGAACAACTGTCTGCATATGAGGAGAACCTGGACGATGATTGGGAGCCCTTGAGCTCGTCAACCCTCAGTTCTGAGGACACTTTCAGCGATGAGTTGTTCTCCGCATCGTTTGAGGTACTCTCCCTCTCGTCTTACATGGAACTTGCCTGAATGAGATGATGATAGGATGCTCTGGGAGCTGTAGATCAAGAGTATAATGAAAGTTTGAACAATGGTATCGTCACATTGAGCCCTGCCCACAAGGTCACTTAACGTCAGTGTTAGGGACTTTCATGAAGCATCTTGGGAAGATCAACATCACCGAAGTCATTCTCTTCACTCTGTTCTTGCAAGGGCTTGTAATAACATCCTGCGATTTGCAGGGGCTCGATGACAATGACGAAGTTAAACAAAAGATCGAGCGTTCCGAGCTCGTTGCGTTTCTTGCCAAGTGTTCCCAACCCAACGGAGCTGCTTTCATGCTGACTTGAATTACAGGCATGGTGAAACTCGAGCATGGCTGAAAACTCTTCTCTTAAATGCAAGCACGCCACTCTCGCGTCTCTGGGATCTGTACAGGTCTTGAGAAGAAGATCTAGTCTGCAAGTTTCATGATGAAATGCGCTGTAGTTACTTCAACACTCTGGAAACCACACAGAAAGCAGACGCCAAATTACTGTCAGACGGCTTCAGCTACTCTGAAGGTGATCATTCAGTTAGACGAGAGCTGCCTATGACTTCTTGATTGTGTTCAAAAGTCAAGCAGAAGAAACCTTTCATCCAGAGCTCGTCTGTACGTACCCATTATGGCGCTGGAGCAATGCTGACGGGCTTGAGTTCAGTACCTCGGGCCCAAAAAGGATTACATGTTCACAGACGGGAAAGAAGGCCGGGGATACTACCAGCACGGGCTGTTAGAAGAGTACGTATCCGAGGAAAATTCGACAGATTTGTCTATCGTAGCCACCAGCGATCCGGATAAGCGCAAAAACTTCTTTGCCGTACACGATCCTGCAACCCTGAGGGAGGAAAGCGAAGGTGAGGGAGTGATAAAGTTGTATCCTCATCTCACTGGTGTTGGATCAGATGAAGCTGGTGACGAGCTGTCATTCAACGAAAGCTCAGTTGATCCAGGTTTGATCCCCTGCCTGAGGAAGTCTACATTGACCGCACGACAGAAATGAATGCTACTGCCTGGCGAGAGATGTACTCGAGGATCTACGCCTCAGCCTGGAATTCGGAAACCAAGAACAAGACAAACGAAGGCGACCCATCTGAACAAGAGAATGTTGAGAACGAGCAGCAACGGGAATCGGAGGTGGACGAGGACATGCTTGCTGTCAAGGACCTCTACAGGCTGGTACCTCCTCCAGAAGGTCATCCCCTGCCATCACTGTCTCGACTTGTGAACTTGGAACAGGATGGCAAGGACGCATCGAAGAAGTCACTGATAAAGACTTGAAAGATCTACCAAACATCTCGGAATTTGGTGAAGAGGTGAGTTGACTTGGCTTGCTGGCATGTCACGAACTGAGTGCTTGATAACGTCGAAAGCCTGTTTGGATGACTCCTGAGGAGATCGCTGTGGCCCATGGACAGGAACCGCCGAGGATTTTCACTGAGCTTCCCCGACAGCCTGTTCGTCGCTGACGATGAGGTTGTCTGGAGCTCTGAAACTTTGTCTTGGCAGATGATTTTCAACGGGAGCGAAATCATAGCTCAAACAAAGAGAGAGTTTTGCCCTTGCCGTTACGATCCTCTACCGTGCCTCACTTGCAAGTCAGGAAAGAGAGTAGGAGGCGGCTGCACTGACTGGAACTTTGGAACATGTAGAGGTTTGACAAGGCTCGTCAAGCATATCGAAGATATCGAGCCTACGAGGATTTCAAGGAAGGATTTCTTCAAGTTCTTTCCACGTGTGTCTGCCTCGGATTTCCCCTTGTTGGTCTGACGGGATTCATGACAGATGAAAGGGACAGGACGGAATGGCCTGCAGAGGAATGGGAAGATGTTGATCCGGACAAGATTGAGTGGTGACTTGAGCGAATACTTTTCAATCCATCCTAGTCTTCCATCTGACCCTGGACGTCTTAGGTACAATTACAATGTCAACCCGCAGGGCAACGCTAGCACTCTGGACGTGTACGATCGAGTCTATGAAAAGCTGCCGGATTCAAGTTCCTGAGATCTCAATCTTCACCTGAGTTGTCGCGGCCCGGAGCTCGCGGCGAACTCCCGGACTACGCTGGGTCAGTGACTTGGACTCATCAGAGTGAGGCAGAAAGCTGATGATGAGCGGTTCAGTGAAACTTGTTAAAAAGAGTCAACGGTTTGTCAAAGTGACGCCTCTCCCTCAACTCACTGACAGTAGAGAGAAAGTGTGTGTGACAAGAGGGAGAGAGCGAGACAGAGAGACAGAGACAGAGACAGAGACAGAGACAGACAGACAGACAGACAGACAGACAGACAGACAGACAGACAGACAGACAGACAGACAGACAGACAGACAGACAGACAGACAGACAGACAGACAGACAGACAGAGAGCCGTCCCTCTGAGTGCGAGAGTGAGAGTGGTACATGTGTGCATGACCAACCCTGCGTGTCCAGTAGAGCCAAGTGACGTGTCGCCCATGGCATGAGTGCGAGCGAGACAGAGTCTCAAGGGACAGATCACCGTGCGCATGCGAGGGAGTTGAAGCATGAGATCGAAAGCTTTCATCGGTTTGCAAGGGAATTCGAGAGGGGTGACTACAGAGCTGTAGTCACCTTGGAAAAAGATGTGACTCGGTTCGCCAAGCGAAGTAAAGGTATTGATGACAAGGCCGTTCACAACATATACCGATGTCTCGGTATCGCGTTCTTCGAGGAGAAGATGTACAATCAATCTATAAGATATCTGAAGAAATTTCTTGAATTCGCCAAGAGTGATTACAACTGGAATGGCATCATCGACACTCATAAGGTACTTGCAAGGGCATATCAACTTCTGGACAAGACAGACAAGGCGATCAAGCATTATCAGTCTCTTGTCAAGGCTTACCAGGCTACCAGCAGATTCTCTGAGATCGCAGGCGTGTCGACAGAGTTGGCACTTTTGTATTCGTCCAAGGGAAAGTATGCAAATGCCAAGAAGATTTTGTTGAACCATCACGAGGCCGATCCTTCAGTCTCACAAGAGCCTCCGAATGATCCTTTGCCCTCGTGGGGAGAGCTCGACACGGATTCTGTCGTGGACGAGTTTGCTCGTCTTGCCCTTGAGCTTGAAGGTAATCAGTTTCGTTACTTTTCTCCTTCACCTTTGAAGATACCTCTCCACGAAAACACAGGAATACAGCAAGGTGCAAAAGAAGAACACGGGTTGAGTTCGAAACCTGCAGAGAAGACTTTTGTGCGCAACATCGAGTTACCTGACTTCGTGGTTGAAGACGACGTGCTGAATTCCAAGTATGAAGAATTTATATCAAAGGTGACGAATATCTCGAGAGACGTGTGATTGAAATTTCTTGGGAACAAAGCTTCCTGTTCCTCCTCCAGAAATTCTTCAGGTGAAATCATGCTCGGCATAAATCAATGAATGATGCGCTGTTCAGATGTATGAAAACGCGCAAAACGAATCCAAGAAATACTCCATGATTAGATTTCCGCTCGTTCCGAAGATCATCATGTCTGGCGGGGTCCCTCGAAGTTCTCAACCTCACTCTAACTTCGCGGAATTCCTCGGGGAGAACCCGAACCGCTTCCGGAGGTACCGAACTCTGCTCAGGAGCATGCTGCATTCGGAGAATGAAGAGAAGCGGCAACGCGATAGCAGGGTGCAAGTAACTCGACATGACACTCATCAGGACTCGAGAGCAAAGGTGCATGAAGCTCGGCTGCTCAGGAGGAGTGATGTCGGCGAAAGAGGTCTTGCCTTCCAGTATGATGGGAACTTTGATCGATGTCGTCCATTGCAGACTCGAACTTTGAAAAGGTTCAAGTTCTTTCGCGTGCAGCTCAAAGGTCTGGAAGCATCACGTCTGAGCGCTTTGCTTCCTTGTGACTGCTGTTGTGTGTTGCAGGGATAGAAATCTTGGCCCATCGCGGCACTTGCACAGAGATGTGAAGAATGATTTGATGCTTGTGGATCGCTGATCCGAGTGAAAGTTGACTTTTGACTCCTTTCAGATTCAGATCATTTGTGTGACATGCGGGAAAGCAACAGTGTCATCAGGAGCGTTCTGTCGAAAGGTATGGCAGTGAGATGATTTGCCGAATCAGATGCTGCAATGGCTCGCTACCGCAGGCTTGTCTCGAACTTGTGACTTGAACGGAGGCTACTTGATGCCTGGCTCTGACTAACTCTGACCGTTTGTTGCTGTCAGTGCCCGGCATGTTTGGGATGGCAACCTTGAAGAGACTCAGGCTTCCGAGTCACCGTCGGTTCCTAGCCGGGCATCGCGGCGCGGTGCGAGGACTCAGCGGCCCGCGGCCCGGCGGGTCAGTCACGGTGCCACGGTAGCCGTGACCGTAACTTAAGTTAGTGGATAACTTAAACGTGACTTGCGGCTCAGTGGCGAAATACAAGTTCCGAGCCGTACGGTACGGTCACGGTCCGGGCCCGGGGTGCAGGCCGGGCGTCAGGCCGGGCGTCAGGCCGGGCGTCAGGCCGGGCGTCAGGCCGGGCGGCACTGCCGCAGAGCGCCCCGGCGGCGGCGGCGGCGGCGGCGGCGGCGCCGACGAGTCACTGAGGCCGGGCCTCAGGGCCGGGCCGGCCCCAAGGGGGACCGTACGGTACCTCACATCATGATTCGGCCGAGCTATGGTTATGTTCCGTTGCGCTACCGTTACAGGTAGCCATCAGCGAATGGTCGCGGGTGAGGGGAGGAGCTTGCTTGGAGGAGAGCAAGGAGAGGAAGAGAGAGGCAGGATGGTTAGGAGGAGAACGACCTCTCTCGTTGTGTCAACTTCAGCCCTTGCCATGGCGTCGGCTGCCCTAATCCTTCTTGTCTGGGGCGGTCGCACACAATCGGCGCGCTCTCTTGAGGAAGAGGAGGACGGGGACAAGGTGAAGGTTCGAGTGGTTGAGACGCCCTATCCTGGTCCTGGAGCAGGTTATTATCCTTATCCTGGCATGGCACCAATGTAATATGATCGATCTTCGAAGTTGATGGGTTGCTCACCGCCATTACAGGCCAAGGCCGTCGACTGTGATTGCATCCTATCCTAAGCCTGAAAAGGTTCTTCTCCCCGAGTCTGTCGCTCTCAACACTTATTCTAACTATCCGTATGGACCACTTCCTTCCTCGACTGTGCAGCCCCTGGTATGTCAGCTGTCTGTCCTCTTGAGTCTTTGATGACTCAATGGCTGGCAGGTCCCTCAGCCTCCCCCCAACATGCCTCCGTTTACACCTTGGGGCATGATGCAGCCCTCCATGACACAGATCAAGATCGGCAAGTCTGAAGGAGATGATGAGGGAGAGATTACCGTCAACGTCCCTCAACAGCCTGACTGGGTTAACTTCCCCGCGGTAAGAAACGATGTGCAGGCGCAGATGAGCGGTTGACGAGTGAACATTCAGGTGCAGTTGGATCCTGACTCAGCCCCTTTTGGTTCAACTCCAAATACTGTAGACGCATTCAAGTTGTACACAGAAAGCATCAAGCCAGGAACTACTTTCATGCCGCAGGCATAATGATCTTACACGGATTCGCTTCGCTGTGCTGACGAGGGCAACAGGTGAACTACACGTTCATGAGGAACTATCCCATCATGCCACAAATTCCTCCTCCGGTTGACCTCTTCACTGGGAGTGGGCCGAACAACGAGCCTCCGTAAGTGCTTGTTGACTTGTGTCGTGTTAGTTGATCTCCATGTAGCTATCACATCAGAGCCAGTGTCGTTGGGATGACTCCTTTGTCCTCCAAACCGCTCAAGATTACTGGAGAGCCTGATGACAAGAGTGCAAGGAAGAAACAGGTTCGGCTGAGAATTGCTTCCACCGGTTGTCCTGAAAGTTCGTCCGTGCAGCTTCAACTGCAGCAGCTTTTTCAGGCTGCAAGACCCCATAATAGGAGGGATGTGAGCCGAACGGTGAGTGAGAACGAGTTAGAACGTTTGCTTCCCTTGGAGATATTCTTGCTCATTTCCTTCCCCTTGCAGAAGAGGATGCTCAGACAGATGCAGCAACTTGAGCGATACGCCAACGGCTTGCAGAGTTCGATGAGTCGAAAGTAAGCTAGACAACTGTACTTGTCCCTGAAAGGGCAACTGTGGCAATTTATAGACATTTATTGATTCCGTGTAATAAATTCGATCTGTGTAATGTGTTGCTGAACATGTTGTTTTGTTGATCCTGAATTCATGTGAAGCTTGCGCATGCTACACTCTGCTAGCGGGAGCACCAACCAGCTGCATTGGATTACAACAAACGTTGAGTATCAATCAGTCATGCGGCAATTTCAAACGCCTGTTGACTGTCCGCTTGCGCTCCATAGTGACATGATATGGACGATCAAATCTTCCGCCTGCGACCTCGCGTTCAAACTCGATGAGACTCGGAAGAGCAGAACTCACGAGAGAAGAACTTGAGATGCACAGAACTCCCCGGACGCCCCAAGATCAACGAAGAGATTTCTCCTGCTTCAAGGTCACAGTCTGCAAGCAATGAAGCAACTAGAATACAGCATTACCCGCTGTCTTCCCCTGCACGTCAACTCCATCAATCTCTACAAGAACGTCGCCGATGTGGATGGACTTGCACTGATCGGCTGGCCCGTCCGGGCTCAGCCCGTTGACACATAGGCCGATGCCATCTGGCCCCTTGCCATCTGTGCCTGCATCGAAGATGATGCCGACACCAACGTTGTCGCGGGGAGAGTGCTGGTGGGAAGGTGTCAACAACCCAAGGGGAGGAGAGCAAGCTCGGCAGAACCATCTGAAGGTCTTGTATCCTCGGAGAATCCTGCAAGTTCGATAATCTTGGTGAATGGGATCCTATGGCGCTGAACTCTGGTTGATGCTTCGTTTCCTTGCGCTGGAAATCATGCTTTCCTCGCTGATACATGTCTACTGCAATTCCCCTTCGCATCTTCTCAGAGAGCTGTCCGCGGTCGCCGAGATGCCTGCCTTCCTGCAAATGATAAACGTCAAGAGTTGTCGAAATGAACTTGATATGCACTCCAGAACAACAGAGGCATGTGAAAGCTCGCCACACCACCAACACAAGTAGAAATCAAGAACACTCATGTGAATTTGAACCCATTGCAAGATCAGGATCGGCTCGTTGTCACCTCATCGTTGTTTCTTCTGTTCGAGCAACACTCCATCAGCGGTCCAAATAGCGACATGTTTGCACTCTCTCCTTCTTTTTTCTGCATCTAGAATGGTATATATGTCGAGCTTCTTGCCTGAAATTGAAATGAGCTTCACTTGCGCAGTGTTCACTATGTACAACAGGACGGTTGAAGGAAGTCAGGTATGATGTGTTAGTTATTTCACTTGCAAGTTGATAAGTTAGATTACACCCTCCCTGCAACAAAATCGAGATGGGGACAGAAGTAGTAAGATGGTTATCTATTCAGTTCAATGTCACGAGTAAGGAATCTTAACGGACATTCACAGTGTCTTATTAGGGATGTTGTTCATAGAAAGGTTGTATGCCAGGGATATCGGAGTGGCCGAGACTTGAAATGGTGCCAAGTTCAATTTCTCAGCTATGATCGAGCAATCGACTCACTGTCAACCGGACTTGCCCTTGAAGTTGACAAGCAAGGTGATCGGAGATCGAACCTGAAACACCAGGCAGATTTCAACAACAATGACCGTGACAGGAACAAGCAGCCTCGGAGTTCAAGGAGACGCCGGGTCATGGCGCCGCCAGCTCAGCCTCGTCACTGGCATCTGCTGCCGCGCCCGGCTCTCACGCCGCATTCGGGCCAACTTGGTTCCTCACCAGCCGCCCCTTCGGGATAAGCTCTATCCGCAGCTGTCAGTAGTATCCGGACGTTAGACGGATCTACTTGCCAAGTAGTAGAGCCTACCAGGGACTCAGTACGGTAGGCTCTTTTACTGAGTCCCTGGTAGGCTCGGCCACTCCGAGCTCAGCCGCGCGGCGGCGTCCGGTCGCCGCTGTCCGAGCGGCGGCGAATCACTGAGTCAGACCGGACCGACGGCCCCGGGCGGCCCCGCCTGGGGTCTACTAGTGACTAGGCTTCCGAGCCTCCGAGTGTGGCCACCGCGGGCCGCAACGCCGACCTGGTGACCGTTACCGGGCGGCCAGTACGCCGGGTACGGTACGAATGAGTCCGATCGGCCCTCGGAGCCGGGACACACCGAACGGTACGGTCCGACTGACAGTGACCGGGAGCCCGGTGAGTCACTGCCCGGCCTGTAACTTGAACTCTTACTGTCCCTGCCCTCAGAGTGTAGTTTCGGAGTCACGAAAAGGGTTTGGCAAGTTGAGTACCGTCACGGGCGGTTGCCGCGGCGTGGCATTCCGGGCCGAGTTCCTTTAGAAAGATCATCGTGACTGAAGATCAGCACGACAATCTCACAGAGTCACTGGGCGAGAACTTCCGGAAGAGAAAAGGCAAAATCCACTGCCATCACTAAGTTAAAACAACGCGCAGGGACAGGCTTCGGGGAACTTGACCGTACGTCTTGCAAGTTGGGCCGCGGGCCAAGTTTGCCGACTGACGGTCCCGCGATCCGCCAGCCACCGTGAACAGAAAGGCAACCGTGCCGTTACATTTCATGCCAAATCAAAAATCCCGGGCCACCAGTTCAGTTGACGAGATGACCCCACCCCCAAGGGTCCGGGTCTCTCAGTGACTCATACTACCCACCCCAACTTTACTCGAGTCGCATATCGTATCATCATGGTGCTAGTGGTTGCCACCGGGTGACCCCCCTTTCTTTACTCGAAGTCCTTTTTATTCCGAGGCATATCCCCCACCCACCCCCCTGGTCAAACTCTGCCTCAAAGGTTCAGGAGTGCTCACTGTCCACACCATCCTCCGAGACCACCCCTCCTAAAGCCCAACCACCCGGTGACCCACCATCTAGCTTCCAATGCCTACCGTGGCACCGTCTTTTATCAAGTCCGAGGCAAATGGACCCCTCCCCTTCAGATTACTGACCTACCCTCCACCCCAATCCACACACCACCCTTTTCAAAGATGAGCACTACCCTACCCCCACTTGTATTGCCAAGTTACCTCTGCCACCCTCTCGCCCTCATCATTCAGCCGCTCAGCCGCTCTGGCGACATTTCCCTCTGCTATTCCCCCCGCCCATTCCTCTGCTGTTCCTCTCCCGAACCTTCCTGCTGCTCTTCTGAGTGCCCTACATCTCTTGTCTGTCCCATCCCCAGTCTCGACCCAGCTTGTTGCTCCTCACTCAGCCTTTACAGCTTCGACCTCCACGGAGCTAGACTTTTACCTTCTTGCTATCACAAGAATACTGAAGAGGTCAAGCTGTCCGTTTCAACCTACAGAGCAAAATCCCGTCAAGATATTACCAGGAGGATAAAATTTTGTTGTCATATCTGACACTTCTCGCCTCTTGAAATGTCATATCTGCGCTATGATTCTTACTATGGCGCTTCTCGCCCCCAAGCGCCCACACCCATCGGGGGCGTTAGCCCTCCAGAAGAGCGGTACCAATCGTATCAAATGCAATACCAGGTGCAGCCTCAGCCAGAGCCAACGCAGTTTCAAGCATTTCAGTATCAGCCGCAGGTCAGACAGTTCACATCGCCTTCATACATGCAACCACAGCCAGTTCAGCAGGTTCCGAGGAGCCAGTCCTACGGATACGATAGGATGGCCTCATATCAGACAGGCAACTATGCTTATGACCGTCAGGTCCCTGTATCGCAAATGCCCGTCGCTCCAGCTGCACAACCTGGGCAGCCTCCCGTGAACGTTCAATCCTCGTATGTCCGAAAGGATGAAAGTGCCTTGTCATTTGAGCGCCCTAATGTTCTTCTACCTCAACCTACCATACATATGAATCAGCCCTCCTTCGTTCAACAGCCTCGCAACGATGATTTGTACAGTTCCCAGGATCGAAGAGCTGCTCAGGAATCTGGTTCATACAGACTTGTGTCAAGGGATGAAGGTTATCGTCAAAGCGACCCAGTTCAACAACCCAGCGATCGTTCCAACCTGTTTAGTCCCTCTGGAGTACATGATCGCATCAGTACCTTTTCCCCTTCCGGAGACAATAGAAATAATGGCATGACAACCCCAGTCCAGAATGAAATCCACAACGACGACCGAGCAGCGGCTCTGCGTCAGTACGATCGTCAACGAGAATATGCACAGTCCGATTTGTTGGGAAGAAGACCAAGCGAAGATAAGAAACAGTCAATCTATAATCGGCCAATCAATTCTGCACCTTCTCCTGCCCATGAGCGTCATCATGAAATCAACCGGATGGCCAATGCGACACCCACCAACGTGATTCCACCCAGTGCGTCACCACTTCCTACCTCCGCTTCGAACTCAACAGGATTAGTGGGGATCGGCATTGTTTTTCAACAGAAGAACGATGGAAGAATGTACATCAAGTCTCTCATTGAGGTAAATCTTTAAAGAACTCAGCAAGTTGCTTAGAACTGTGATACATATAGGGTGAAGCTGCCTCTCTCGCTGAACCACGTCCGTTGGAGGGCGATTGCATTATTGGAGTAGATGGTAAGTATCTGCTTGCACACATGCACTTGCGCACTGAATAATTCTTGCCATAGATAATCCAGTAGAATTTGGATGTGATTTAGCCAAGCTTAGAACATTCATCATTGGCAGACCTTCAACAGCTGTCATTCTTCGATTGAGGTGAGTCCATGCCAGAAGAAAACTTTCTGCACGTTTCCATACTTGATATGCTCTATGCCAACAAGTGTTCAAAATTGTGGTTCAGTAAGAACGAATTCAAATTTCTGTTGCAACTGTCAGTTTTTTCAAAGTCCTTGATGCTTTCAACTATTTTTGCATTAGAAAATACGGCAGGACATGCCTGTTGAATGTTTCTTTACAGACGAAGCCCAGACCTCGAATATCAGACGATTATCATCCGTGGGAATAGATCAGCAAGTGTTGCGCGAAATCCTACTTTTGTGGTATACATCTGGACTAGGTTTTGGAACATGTTTTTCAATGACATGCCAATGTCTGCAGCCACAAAGCATAAGCAAGGCACCTGTGCAAATTGTGGAGCCAGTTGCTCAACAGATGGCTAGACCCTCTAGGACACCCTCTGAGGGATCCCGATATGAGATCAACTCGACTCCTGACTCAAGCCTCAATGTCGCGAATGCTGATAACCAATCGCTGTATGGCTCCAACTCGGGAATCAAGGTAACCTGCATTGGCGTTTCACTGTACACATTTTGTGTTTTTAATGTTTGGTGTACTAGGCTAGATCTGGCATTCGTCCTGATGAAGATCCTGTTGAACGTGCAAGGCAAGATCTAGCGAGAGCTCGTGCCCGGCAAGCCGAAATTCAGGTTTCCCTCTTTCGCGCTTCCAAACACCATCCCTGACGGTCTGAGCTTGATGTCCAGGCACAAGCAAGCATGTATACTGCTGGCACTTCTGGACTTTACGGCAGCAGGGAGAGAGCAGAAGAATCGAGTGTATGGAAATTTTTATTTCAAGGTCCCATCGTATCTTAGATGTTTGCAGTCATACGGCATTGCCAACCGCGGGATTTCCATTGCAGCATCTCGGAATTATCCGGTGCCTGGTGAGATTCCTTGCCTGGTTTGCTCTTGCTTGCTCTTTTGGAACTGAACAATGCAACACAGAGGCCTCCACACGTAGTCGTAGCGCGGACCCACCAGCACGGCGAGGGGTAGAATACACGTCGAATGCGGGCTCCTCCTTGACTTCTCCTGCAGAGTGACGAGGCATCCCGCCGCCCAGCTTCCAGTCTCGCAACCGCCATGCAACGACTTCAGGTTTTATTGCTGTACTCTTTGTCATCAGTTCCCGTTCACATTCCCACTTTTAGGCTGAGCTGGACGATAGCCGTCCTCGTTACGTTCCCAAATCCAATGTAAGCTCTCTCACTTGCTCTCCACGCAGGAAATAGTCTTGTGATGCAAAGATGCAGTTGGCTGCGATGCCCGAAGGAGGTTCCTTGTACAACAGTCGTGATGGATCTGCTCCAGCTGAGCAGCCTGTACGAGGTAGCACTTGGAACACGAGAGGATCAGTCAATTCGCCACCTGACTTGAATCAAAGCAGATCTAGGAATGCAGCGATCTTACGACCGGGGAGGCATGGCGGCTAAATATGGCAATCAAGGGGGATACACTGCTGGGATGGCAAGACCAAATGCTTTCTCGCCCACGGTAAGAACATAGACGTACTGTTGGAGCTAACGGCGGCTCCCAGTACTCGCAAGATATTTATGGCTCTGCTGGCTCGCGATACGGCCGTTGAGCATTTCAAGTGCCAAAGGACATGGAACAGATAATGTTTTGATGGTGGTGGACGGGGAAAAGATCTTGATCATAAAGCTGTGAAGGATTAGATCTTAGCCTGTTTGTTCATACACAGTCGACGATCATTGCGGAGAGCAGGAAGATTCTTTAGCACAGGTCAATGAGGAAATTCCATTCAGGCTTCCAATGAAGCAAACATGTGCAAAAAAATTTATTTGTTGAAACCTGCAGCTTTGTTTTGAGAGTTGAGCTAACAGCATGTGAAACTCTTCTCCCACAGGTACAACGATCTTCCTTCTTCCTGTCGTCAGCTAGTGACCTCTGCCTCTACAAATTCGACACGCGCTGGACCCACCCCATTACCAAAGTTGCCACCCTCTCAGCTGCGAGCTTCGTGAAGTGCAAGGTCTCTTCGTGAGTAATGTGCTGGTCGGTCATCCCTGCCGCATAGTTCACCACCACAGAGATGGCACATACTCGGAGGTCGCAATGGCGAGCAAGGATAACTTCCCCGACGGTTGACATCCCTACCACATCTCCTCCTAGTACTCTGTACGCCTTGATCTCAGCAGGCGTCTCGAACGAGGGCCCTGACGTCCCCACGTACACGCCCTCGTGCACCTTTACGTCCTTGTCCTTTGCAATGTCCAGGAGGATCGACCGAAGCTCCGGGTCGTACGCATTGTACAGGCTGGGGAAGCGAGGCCCCATACCATCACTGTTCGGCCCTATCAACGGGTTTGCTCCGCTAAAATTCATGTGATCTGTCAGCGCCACAAGCGCACCCGGCCCCATCTCCTCCCTGAGCGATCCCGATGCATTGGTGATCATGAGGTACTTGGCGCCAAGGAGCTTCACGGTGTACACGGGGACAACCATTGACCTAGGATTTCCCTCATAATAGTGTACCCTTCCCTTCAATCCAACAATCGGTACTCCCGCAAGATGCCCGAGGATCAGTTGTCCAGCATGGCCTTGCACTGTGCTCACTGGGAAACCCGGGATATCAGAGTAGTTGATGACCTTCACAGGCTTGATAGCATCTGCTACATCTCCGCATCCTGAACCAAGTGTGATCGCGATCACGGGCGTAAAGGCCTCTGTCAGGCTCGCGCGGATCGCCGCCGCCGCCGCTCCTGCTGCCTCCTCTGCCATGGTGAAGAAGCCTGATCCTCTAGATGGTACGGGGTAGCTTTGGTCATTCCAGGGGGTAGGGGTATATTACCCCATTTCAACCGCCTGATCTAAGGTGGGGTGGTATTCGGGGTAAGAGGGGGTAAGGGGTACTTTAGTTTGTTTTATGAAAGAGGGTGCAACAAACCCGAGGGGGGTAGTTCAGTTATTGCGGTGGGTAAGAGGAACATAGATACGGGTAGGGGTGTGTGGGGTAGGGGATATTCACGGGGTCCAAAACCTGAATTGAAGGGGTAGTTGGTCACACCATGGGGTACGGGGGTACACGACCCAGTCAACACAGAACAGTACCACCCCCTCCAAAAATTGTAGTCCTATTCACCACCCGAAATGTTTTCCAGTACCCGTCTATCTGATAGTGCTTTGACCTGAATTAATGGGGTAGGTCATACATGCACCCCACCCACCGAAATCAGCAACAACCGAAGGGTCGCAGTCTCGCGGCCCCCCAGAGTCTCTACACGCCTTTGCACGCCTAGACGGAATGCAACGAAAACGTAACGGCGTAGACACGAGATGGAACTGGTTTCATTCACATGGCGGCCGACAGGGCACAACATGGCAGAGGAGGGCAAGCGACGCTGAAGAGCCGTCGGGGACAAACAGAGCAGTTGGATACGAACAATGATGAAGTTGCAGAAGCAAGGGGATGGAGAGTGAATGTCTCGAATATCCCTTCCTTTGTGCTGTACCTGGCCGGAGCCATAATAGTAGCTGGGATACTCCAAGAAGCTACAGGCATGGGGCTTCCCTTTGCCCTACCCGCAGGTCTCTTCGTGATGGTACAAATCCAGAAAATGATGTTAACACCGTAAATATCATGAGCTTGAATTCAATTCCTTTACCAATCTGGGCAAACCATTTCGAACGATGATGCATGGAGCCAACACACACCAAGAATTCAAATGTCAACATGACAAATTTATGATGAGACAAATTTATGATGAGACAACACGACAGTTTGCATCAGAAAGCACAAAAAGTTGAACGTGGAGGAGGTGGAATTGATTCTGTGTTTTTCCAACAAGCGGTTTGGAAGTTTTCAAACGCATGCCACAGATGCAGTGTTAGACTGGATTGGCTTCAGTTTATTAAGCTAGTCCCTCAAGCTTCTACTCCTGCTCAGTTGTTCAAGCATGCATGGCTGAGGACTGGCATTTCTCTTCGAACCGCTAGTATGCATCAAAAAGTCCAGAAATGATCTTCTGAGCGATGTGACGATATGAAGTTCTACTTCGCTTGCTATCCGCTCCCGAGATCGCCATGGCCTCCGATGTCCTATCAGCTTGTTTCAAGATTCCGCTCCAAGGAGTGAGGCAACAGCAGTCAGCTTCAGAGAGCTGCTGCTTCACCTGTCATGCGTCTGAGCCACATCGACTCGAAGATCTGTGCTGGAGGTCACGCACTCTGTTTGCATATCTCTCGCTCTGGTTCCCTGCTACAACAGTTCTTTTTCCTTTGAGCACTTCGCTGGACGTTGTAAAGACCTCCGCTCACTCCCGTTGATCCCCTTAAATCCCCTCACGATGAATCAAGAGGACACTGAACGACGAGGCAAGACTGCCGAGAGATACATCTTCCATGAAAGCAAGCAAGACTTAATCGTGTCATTTTTAATTATCATCAAACCAGGAAGCGATATTGACTTCATTTCCTCTTCGAAATGGAGTTTAGGCATCAAATCTTTCTCATGGTTCCCTTGATCTTGCAAAGTTGGCCACTCTGCACACTCAACTTAGCATACTAACACCCTGCAGTAATTACTCTCTCTTTCTACCTGGTAGTCGAGAAAGGCTTGCCTGATCTCTTCCTTCGTGTTCATCACAAAAGGTCCATACCGCGAAATGGGCTCTCGGATCGGCTTCCCAGCCAGGAGCAGGAAGCCAAGTTCCTGTAGTCGTGGGCATTCAGAGGAGGTACAAATTTACGACAAGCGCCACCTCATTCTGACTTTCCTTAAACCAAACCTTGGTGCCTCCTCGAGGATCAAGCAAGCAGGTGTCCCCCTGAGATATTGTAAGATATCTTAAGAATAACAAGCCAAAAGGATGCAAAAAGAAGCAATGATAGAAGATGGAAACACGAAAAGAAGCAGGGAGAGGAGTGAGATAAATGAAGAGATCGAGGAGAGGAATGGAGGGGAGGAGAAAGGCAATCAGAAATTGATAGCACCTCTTTGGCCACGACTTGTTCGGGGCCTAACATGGCCGAACCCTTGTAGACATAAAAGATGACCGTCTCCATTTCAGCCGGCACATCATGCGTGAATTCTCCGCCCGGCTGGACCATGAAGTCGATGTACTGTACGGGGATGATGGTTTGGCACACAGCATCCTGACCAGCGCAAGACCCAGCAATGACTTTCGCCTTGACCTTGTCGTTACATGTGACAACCGGGATGGAAGAAGATCTGATGTCCTGCAAGAGCCAGTCAGGCCAGCAACATTCGAAACTGCACAATCTGCAAAAGGACTTACCTGATAAGCCGGAGGCGTCATTTTCTTCTCTTTGGGCAGGTTGATCCAGCACTGGAAGCCATGCAGATATCCTCCCGGATGGTTTGTTCCCTCGTTGTGGAGGATACCAGCTGAAGCAAACCATGTCAGTCCTTCCAAGCATGAGGAGACTCATCTCGACCTCCTGCTGTCATCCATTGGCAATCACCATCCGTGAGCGATCCTTTGTTTCCCATCCTGGCAGGCAAGAGGATCAACACAGGACAAGAGCATGCGCCAAGTTCTCACGAGTCTTCGTGATCGCCACGTCCTTCCTTCATATACATCACGGTATCAAACCCACGGTGGGGATGCCATGGCGCGCCTGGAAATTCGCCAGGAGCATAGTTGGTTCTCGGAAGCTCGTCTAGGAGAAGGAAGGGATCCGCTTCTTGATCTGACAAGCTGCTTCCTCCTATAGGACGTCTGACTATGAAACCTGCTCCTTCTCTCTGAGAATGTGCATGGAACTTCTTGACGACTCGCTTGGCTCCGGCAGGACAGGACATGGCCTGTGAAGAATAAACAAAATCAGTCACCATGGCAAGGCCCCTTCTGTCAATGGCAGGGATGGTATATCACTTCAGCAGATGAAAGGATAAAACATGGTTACTGATCTTTGCGTAACAATCTACTGGCAAGTTTGTTCAGATTCATCGAAAAATGAACTCGACTCGCTCTCACACAAAACCATCCCCTGTTGTCAATGCGTTCCGAAACGATGAGGAACGAATTCGGTTCTTCATCTTTTCTAAACATTGCAGCCATTGACACAACTTTTGACAATCCGTGTTCACCTAGCAACATTCACCCGGGCACATGTCCTGGCTCCGCAAATTCCTTGCACTGAACTGCACCTGTCCTTTCTCTTCTTATCGCATCAGTCTCATCTGTCCTCCTCCATCTTCCTCCTCTTCTTCTCATTTTCTGTCTCTTCCTTGTTGGCTCTCCTCCCTCTCCTCGCTGTTCTCATCGCCGCTCCTTCCTGCCATGCCATCTCCGACTGGAACGTTCATTGCACCAAGGTCGTCGGGGTACTTTACCGACTGGTGGGGGTAGTAGACATAAGGAGACAGGGGTGAGAAGTGGGAAAGCAAGTACCCCCATGTAGACGGGTAGTTTGCTTTCGAGAACGGGGTGGGGGTGGGGGACGTCGTCTGGTGTTCCAGGACTCGTCATGGTTGAGCGTCCATTGGAGCCCATGGCAGCGGCGTAGGAGACGAGGAGAACAAGTCGAAGACGGCGAGCGATGCAAATGCTGCGCTGCATGGTGTTGCGAGAGGGTCCTCCATGCTGAGAGCGCTCCACGGTGGGCAGGATTGAGGCAGCGAAGACCAGCAGGAGGCGGGTCAAGGGGACGCATTGAACCGATGAGCTTCTCGGGGTCGTTTGAGAGGTATGAGGAGCTGGGAGAGGATGGCAGAGCTCTGTGCTCCTTGTAGGCTCTGACTCGTAGCCTGATGCCCCAGCGGCCAGATGAATGCTCAGCCGGAGGCCAAGAGTGAGCTCCCGATGCATGCTGCACTGCCGGGGACTAGTGACGTAGTTGCAGGGGCCGGGATCAAGATCCTACAATGTAACAACGAGTACTGCCAGTACGAGCGGCGAAACAATGGAAACATTGAGTGGGCCTCGCAGTCGAATCGATTGGTATGAGCGCAGACCCTCCGATTCCTACGCGTGAAGGCTTGTTACAGGTCAATCTCAACTTCGACTCGAAGCCACAGCTGGTCCTCATAATCAAGAAACCGAATGTCGTAATGGCAGCCCTCAAGACTGAACTCCTGAAACCATGATCAGGCTCCTCCGCTATCCCTGGCCTTGAAGGAAGTTGCTCATTTCCTTCGAGATGAGAAGAACCTTCAGGTTATTTTACTCCCTTTGCTTGCATCTGTTCTCGTTCTCTTCAGCTCAACACTTTCTGACGAGCCTTCAACATCAAAGGTTGCAGTTGAGCCGGCAGTGAAGGCCGAGTTCCCTGATCTGCCATGGCTGATTAGCCTCGGACCACGTAATGCTCTGTCCATGGACTTGCATCCAACGTCCTGACAATCGGCTCTCAGCTGGATGTACTGCCAATCAATACTGTCCAGACACTCTGCGATCGATAGACTTTGTGATATGCCTGGGGGGAGATGGGACAATCATGTGGGTCAATGGACTTTACAATGGTCCTTGCCCTCCAATAGTTTCTTTCGGTATTACTCTCTTGTTGATGTTCAAAGCAGGGTGATCTGAATATTATTTAGCAATGGGGAGCCTGGGGTTTCTGACTCCTTTTGATTTCTCTGATTACAAGAAGGTATTCTCATCTATTCTCCTGATCTCTTGTCCTGTTGAAGGAACCCGATGTTTGTGCATATCGTGCATTTGTTAGACACCCTCACGTTGTTTCTCAACGTTGCAGGTCATTACAAGAGTGATGCGCAATGAGATGAAAGTGCGGCTGACAATGGCTGTGTGTCCTCTCCGACTGACTTTCTCATGCCAAGGTCGAAATCCGGACGCGTCTGTGGTGTACGGTTCACAATGACATGAGAAGGAAGATCGCGGACTTCATCACATTGAACGAGGTCGCGGAGGACATCTCCATACATCCCAGGATGATCGTTGGGTTCAGGTCAGCGTGGACCGAGGGCCCTCTCCCTACCTGACCAACATCGAGTGCTTCTGTGACGACCGTAAGCCCGGATCGCTTCCGCCTCCCCCGCCTTCCCCTCGATTCATCTGCCCCCTCAGGATTCGTCTGTGCATCGCAAGGAGACGGCATCATCGTCGCTACTCCGACAGGCTCGACAGCGTACTCGCTGGCTGCTGGAGGCTCGATGGTCCACCCGGTAGGAGGATGAGGAGGAGCTAGAGACGAAGCTGACGAGGAAGGGCAGGACGTTCCCGGCATGCTCCTCACTCCTATCTGCGCCTCGGTCCTCTCCTTTCGGCCGATTGTGTTCCCCGACAGCGTCACGTTAAGGCTCCAGGTCTGCTGCCCGGGAGGTAGAGAAGGTGCTCAGACGTGAGTAGGTCCCCGTGGACTCCTCGGTCTCAGCGTGGTGCTCCTTCGATGGAAGGAACGCGATGTCGCTGAGCAAGGTTGATCCTCTCTCCCATCCTCCTCTCCTGCTCCAACTTGTCGCCAGCACTCGTTCCTCTCCCCGTCTCCCTCCCTCCCTCACTCTCATGTACAAGTCACATCTGCATGCACAGGGCTGGTCGGTCACAGTGATCACGTCCAAGTGGCCGCTTCCTCTCGTTGCTCGGAGTGGCGGAGAGGACGACTGGTTCAACGGTGTCATGGAGACTCTGAACTGGAACAACCGCAAGGTGCAAGGAGGGTTCGCCAGGTAGGAAGATGCTTGTTGTGGGCTGGTCATTCTGATGAACTTGTGGGGGCCAGGACCTGCAGCGGCGACTCGATCCCGGGGGAGAAGTCGAAGAACTAGGGGCAGCATGCAACATCGAGCTTGTTCATGCTCAGCTCCTGCTCCTCTACGACCGCAACCATATTCTTTATTCATTCCTGAGTTAGCTTCCGTTTGAAAAGTCTTCACTTCATCCCGAGTCTCCACTCTCCTACAAGTTCATCTCTTCTCGCCTCGCTCTTCGTTTCTCTACCCTCTCGTACCCCCTTCACTCCCTCCCCTCCCTCGTCCCCTTCGCCTCCCTCCCCTCCCTCGTCCCCTTCGTGAGCTTGAAGCCGCTGCATGTCCCCTTCGTCCCCCTCCCCCTCCCTCGTCCCCTTCGCCTCCCCCCTCTCCTCCCCCCTCTCCCTCCCCCCTCTCCTCCCTACCGGCTTCAAATTTTTTGTGCGATCCAAATATAAAAAACCCTGTTGAGTCAAACCTGCATGGCGCGGTAGGGCTCGAAGATGTGAGAGGAGAGGACGGCGAGAGCAGGCGGTCCATGGCAGAGATGTCGGCAGGATGGAGCGAGCTGAACATGCAGCGGCTTCAAGCTCAGTTGAAGATCGTGAAGCTGCTCCAATCTGACGTTTCTCCCTCCGTGTCCTTGATGAAGAGCGCGGGAGGCACCGTTGAAGACTGCAGCACCGCTTCCCACCCCGCCATGGACCTAGAGAGACAGGGGTACGTCCTCTTCCATGCTCTCCTCCTCCCCTTGTAAACGGTCGCGTGCAGGTCGGACTGGAGACGCAAGGCCCAACACCCGCAGTTCTGGTCCCTTCCCTTGACGTTCTTCCAAGAGCTGGAAGCAGGGGCCTCGTCGAGATGGCGAGCGATAGAAGCAAGGATGCGGGAGAGGAGGAGAGTCCTTGAGGAAGAGCTGCAGGCTTCTAAGAAGCCTCCTCCCAACATGAGCCTGCAGGACATTCGCAACAAGACCGAGCTGGCGACTTTGAGGTTGCACTGCATACAGAGACGCCTTCGGCAGCACGTCGTGGATGAGCACCCGCTCTCAGGGCTCCCTGGAGTCGACGTCCTCCCTTTCATGCAGCGACCCTGCGCGACGGACGGCAGGTCGTTCGAGTACGAGACGCGGGAGGATTGGATTAAGATCAGCCAAGTGGAGCATCTGAAGAAGGTTGCAGTGAAGCAGACGAAGTTTCTTGAGGGCGTGATGGAGGCGCATGCTGCTTTCCGACAGCACTTCAAGGAACAGCGAGATCTCATGCGGAAGCTCACCAAAGAGATCGTCCGCAAAGTGCGAGAGAGGGAGAGAGAGAAGCAGCGGCAAGCTGAGAAGGAGAAGAGGGAGAGGATGGCGGCGCTCAAGGTTTCGCAACTCATCTGCTCTGCGCTGCTCTTGATGTACAAGTCTTGCAGGCAGACAACATCGCGGAGTATCGCAAACACATCCAAGACTCCAAGAATGAGAGGATGAAGGAAGTCCTGCAAAAAATGGATGATTACATGATCAAGCTAGGGGCAAACATCAACAAACAGACAGCGGCAGTTGCAGAGAGCGTATGATGAGCTTGCAAGTCGATCTGTCTCATGCCACTTGTCAGGTTGGAATGAACATGGATGGGATGGAGAGATCTGCATTGACGACCTACATGTTCAACATGCCGGTCAATGAAGTGATCGAAGAGCAAGTGATACATGACATGCTTTCTTGCTTTGCCTCCATGTCTGCTGAAGTTTTCTGCAGGCTACTATCATGGGAGATGAGAGCTTGAAGCTGAAAGCGTATCAGATCGAAGGGGTGAATTGGTTGGTAAATCTGTATAACAACAATTTGAGCGGGATTCTTGCGGATGAGATGGGTTTGGGCAAGACAGTGCAGGTGATCTCCCTTCCTCATCTCTTCCGTGACTGCACGTGTTCTCCATGGCCTTCATGATCGAGGCTTGCAAGTCTGCAAACGCTGTCGGGTGACATGTTGCAGGTGATCGGAATGATAACTCACCTCATCGAGAAGAAACATCAATATGGTCCCTTCATGGTTATCGCTCCCCTCTCCACCCTGTCCAACTGGCAAAATGAATTCGAGCGATGGGCCCCAACGGTCTGACCCGATGCTGGGAAACAGCTGCTGACCCTGTCCCCGTGCTCAGGTGAACGCGATCGTCTACAAGGGGACGCCGGCGGAGAGGAAGGAGCTCTTCAACACTCAGATCAAGACTGGGAACTTCAACGTCCTCATAGTGCAGGTACACAGTCGCCGGATGAAGGAGGAGGGAGGAGGAAGCTGATGGAGGCTGCAGTACGAGCTTGTGATGGACAAGGTGGACTCCAAGAGGCTCAAGGCGGTTCAGTGGGCCTACCTGGTGGTCGACGAGGGACATCGACTGAAGAATAGGGAGAGCAAGCTCTTCTCGTGCTTGACCGGACGCAATGGCTACAGGGCCAGTCATCGACTGATCCTATCGGGGACCCCGCTGCAGGCTCGTCTTCTGACCTTAGCTCACTTCCCCTCCCCTCCTCCCGTCCTCTCTCCCCTCTCCTCCTCGTCTCTCCTCCTCCTCTCCTCCTCCTCTCTCCTCCTCCTCTCTTTTTCTCCTCTCTTCCAGCTCCCTTCCATTGTTGATCTTTGCTCTTTCTGCTCTCTCGCTTCCTCGTGGTCATATCCCGGCCGTTGACTCGTGTTTGCTCCTGCAGAATGAGATCCATGAACTCTGGTCTCTTCTCAACTTTCTGTTGCCCGAGGTCAGAAGTGAGGAGAGGATCATCAGCGAATGACATTCTTCTGTCTTGTCTGCCCCTCCTACCGTCGTCTCTCTCCCCTCCTCCTCGCATCTCCTTCGTTCCCCCCTTTCTCCCGTGCGTTGCGCTGCTTTCCCCCCTTCCCGAATCTCCAGGTCTTCGACACCAACGAGGACTTTCAAGAATGGTTCTCGAAACCTTTCAGGACGGGAGACGACGAAGTTGACGTGAGCACCCAGAAGTTCTCGCTGACCTCCCAGACTGACGCCCATCCCCTCAGGTGGACGACGAGGAGAAGGAGTTTCTGATCAAGTGCCTTCACGCCATCTTGCGCCCTTTCATGACGAGGAGGCTGAAAGCTGATCTCAAAGACATCATGCAGCTCCCGGAGACCCGCGAGAACATCCTCAAGTGCGAGTTCTCCTCGTTGCAGAAAGTTCTCTACCTCCAGGTCGACCAGCTCAACCCCCTGCGCCGTTCTGCTGCCGTCTGCATGCCCACCTTCTGTCTCACCCTCTCTCCTCATTGTAGACTACCTCCCTCCTCGCTCCTCCCTCCTCCCTCCTCCCTCCTCCCTCCTCCCTCCTCGCTCCTCCCTTCTTCTCTCTGCATTTTTCATTCTCTCTCCTTGCTGCTTTCATCTTGTCCCTCCCCGTCTCCCCGCGCCAACGAGCGTTCACTTACTGACCGCGGGCGTGTCGATCTGCAGACGGAGAATCACGTCCTCATGACACAAGACACGTACGGCAACGCGAAGCAGAAGAAGATGAACAATCGAGTCGCCCAGCTCCGCAAGGTTTGCAACCATCCCTTCCTCTTCGACGAGTACTTCCTCGGCAACGAGTTTCTCATTCGCTCCTGCGGGAAACTTGAGCTCCTCGACCGCATCCTGCCTAAGCTGCAAGCGGCGGATCATCGCGTGCTCATCTACAGCCAGATGGTCAAGTTACTACACATCCTCCAGGGGTAATTCTTGTTCTCCTCCCCTCGTTCATACTCCTCCTCCTCCTCCTCCTCCTCCTCTTCCTCCTTCTCGTTATCATCATGCCGATGACTCGATCACCTCTGCCTCCCCCCTCCGATCTTCTCTTCGCTCCTCTTCTCATCACCATTCCTTCTCATATCTGTCCTCGTTACTTTCATCCCATGATGATTGTGTCGCAGGTATTGCGAGATGAAAAGATACAAGCATCTTGTCTTGTCCGGAGAGAGCTCCTCCGAAGACAGGATCAACATGATGAAGCTGTGGAATGCCGAAGACTCCGAATACTTCATCTTCATGCTCTCGACGCGGGCAGGAGGCCAGGGGATCAACCTGCAGGTGAGCATGCAACACCGGTCCTATTCCCCCTTGACCACCCCTCCAGACAGCTGACACGGTCATCATCTACGATAGCGACTGGAACCCGATGATGGACGAGCAGGCAAAGGCCCGCGTGCACAGACTGGGGCAGACGAAGCAGTGCCTCGTCCTGCGACTCATCACCCCCAACACAGTGGAGGAGAAGGTAAACAAGAGGGCGCAGACGAGGCTGGCGAACGAGGACCTGGCGATCGAGACCGGGAGGTTCAACCTGCGGACCGACGTGGAGGACACGCACGAGTTACTGAAGCAGAAGCTGGCGAAGGAGTTCGAGAGCAAGATGGAGCAGGCGAAGGAGCAGGTGCACACGGACGAGGAGGTGAACGAGCTCATTGCGCGATCGCAAGAGGAGATCGACCTGTTCAACGAGATGGACATGAAGGAGAAGGCTCGACAGGAGGAAGAGTACGCGAGGACGGGCAAGAAGCCGCTCCCACGCCTCATGACGGACGATGAAATCCCGCAATGGCTGCTGGGAGAGCCCATCTTCATCGACGACAAAGTCATCATCCTCGCTGATTCCACATCCTCCACCTCCCTCGAGACACAGACAGGCATCGTAACCACTGTGTCGAACCCCAACACCTTCATCGTCTCTGTCAACGGCGAGGAGCTCAGCTTCCCTCGATCGCAGCTCAGGCTCGTCAAGCTGGACGCGGAGGATATGTACAGGGAGAGCGCCGGGTATGGGAGGGGACAGAGGGTGAGCAAGGAGGTAGACCGGACGAACAAGTTCGACTGGTCCAACATGTCGGACAAGATGTTCGAGAGGAAGCTGATGGAGGCTGATACCGCAGAGGACTGGATGAAGGGGAGCACGAGGAAGAGGAAGAACGATGGAGGGCAGAGCAGGGGGGCAGGCAAGAGGAAGAAGACAGAACCTGCTGCTCCTGCCTCCCCTAGCCTGCCCGAAGGTGAAGCGAGCAGGGCCAAGGTGAAGAAAGTTCACTCGCACGAGCTCTTTCGGGTCAAGGACGAGAGCGCCGCTCCTCCTTGGACGGGGGGTGACCCCGTTGCCTTCCTCGCGGGCCGGTCGCTCAGTGTAGTCCATGGCGACTTTCGCTTCCGGTTTGAGTTCTCAGCGCGCATATGAAGTAGGCGAGCGTGAAGGAGCCGAGCGGCACTCACGTGTATTTTAACATGAGAAGAAAAACTCGCTTCTGTGACTGAGATGAAGCGAAGAACAATCTGAGACTTTGAGTGGCTTTTCTAAAGCAGAGGGTTAAGGAGGGAGGGATCTCGAATCTGCGTACTCAACTCCTCCACACCTTCTCCTCTTTCTCCCCGCCGTCATGCGGATTTCTTGCAGTTTGCAGCGCATGTGCTATTGCCTTTTCACGTGTATTCTAGCATATGAGACTTCAATTCTCCTATCTCCTCCCCTTGTTCTTCCATATCGCTCCTCGTTCTTTCTTTCCTCGATCCCGCTCTCCTCCGCCTCCTCTCTCTCCTTTTCAATATCTTCACTTCCATGCTTGTGAAAGCTCACGCTTGGCCTGGAACCTGCAAAGGAGTCAGCAACTGGCAGCAGCACAGCAAGGCAAGGCACCAGCTCACAACCCATGACAAGATCATGAGCGCCAAGGTGGAGAGCACGAGGGAGGTGTAGTTGAAGTCGTCTCCAAGGCAGTCGAAGGCCTTGGCTGGCGTCACCCGCGAGAAGAAAACGTCTGCTCCAACCGCCACCATCAGGCAGGTCGACTCGATACGCGCTGGTGCCACAACAATCTTCCTCAGCTGCAGGATGGTGCGGTTGTAGGAGAGGACGGCGGTCGGCATCACAGGGAGGAAGGGGCTGTAGGGCATGAGCCCTTCCTCCATGTCGTCGGGCGAAGGCTTTCCGATGGGCCTGCGAGGGTCCAAGAGCTTTTTGTCGATGCTGAAGATTTGATCCGAAGCAAGCGCGGCTATGACGTTCTTGGTGGTGATGCCGTGCATGGTATGGGCGACCGCCATGGTCTTGAACGCCGTGTGGGTGATGTAAGTCTGAGACAGCACGCGCGGCTTGTCGAGAGCATGGCTGGTGTAGGTCGTCTTGCTGTCGTTGTACATCATCATCTCTCCGGCTGTCATGATCTCGTGCTTGGTGTTCTCATACAGCTCCAAGACAGCAATCTCGTTGCGTTGCTTCTTGTTGTTCCACAACCTGCCATGTTGTCGGCCACTAGTTCACAATGACAGAGATAGGATGGCAACAATAGGGAACAAGGAAGTCAAGGCATCGCGACATGTGAGAAAGGTAGAGGAGGGGGGAAAGAGGAGGAGATACTCACGTGTATATGACAACATTCTCCGACTGAACGATCTCAACAGGTCCAGTAGCATCCTTGTGCGATGCCGTGTGAACGATGGCGCCGATCACGGTGTCGATGAGGTACACTCGTACAACAGGATCTGCTTGCCCAATCCTCTCGTTCCTCTCCTGCGTCGCGGTAGCAACGGCAAGGAGATTCTTGTTAAGGTACTTCAGGAGGACCGCGCGGTTTCCAAGGACTCTTCCCGCAGACCTGATGGCCTCGTTCATCCGCTGAGCCGAGATCGTGAGCAGTTTCTCCCCCTTGGGAAACGCCACGGTCCAGATGACTTCTCCTCTCATCTCATCGCCGACCTCGCGCATGCCAAACCCGTCGATCGCCGACCTCTCCTTGTCCACCAGGTAGAAGACGACGTGCAAAGCTCGCTTCCGGAAGGCTTCACGGGTCTTGGGCGTGTCGGGGAGCAGGTGGACCTTGTGCGCGCTGTCCATCATCATTACCATGTACGAGTGCTTCTGCGTCAGGAGTGGCACAAGGGACGCCTGGATCACTTTGACAGGCAGCACCTGCAACGTTCACCTCACTCCCAGCTGACCAGCACAACAGGGATATAAGATCATTACCTTCCTCGAAGTCTCAGCTCCTGTCAGTGGCTGCATCCAGGCGACGAACGTGTGCCCTGAGTTCTGCTTTGATCGCCCCAGCACGAGGCACTCCAGCTGGCCATCAGGTGAAGTTGCCTTCGTCAAGAAAAAGCGCTCCAAGATTGCGTCATTGCCGTAAAATTTCTTCCACACGATGTTGCCTGTCTGAGAGTGCATGCCAAACACCATACCAGGGGAGGTGACGAAGACAAGAATCTTATTGAAGCCGAAGCGATCCCCGTGCATGTCATGCTTCAAGCTCACGCCAACTTCATCCCACGCAGCTCTTTGCCTCGTGCTCGCCCCGGTCTGCAACTTTCGGAGGGTTGTCAGGAAGCCACACAAGGACGGAACACGGGTTTACCTGGGATGATTTCATGAGGAAGTCAATGAGATCGGTCATGTCAGCGATGCATCTGCGGACTAATCGAGAGATTGGATTCAGTGAGTTGATGACATTCTCATCAAGCAACTCATTGTGCGAAAGCGCAGGCAAAGGCAGATCGACAAGCTCCGCTTCTGTAATGTATGCAAGAGCCTCGTGCCGCTCCCACAGGACGGATCCTTGCTGGAACAGGGTCAAGGCGTAGTTCTCCGACAGCAGAAGAAGTCTCAGGCCTCCAGAACCATCCTTACGAACATATGGATTGACGGCCATCATCTCGATACTGCCATTCTCCTCCTTGGACCAGATCGACGAGGCAATCTCATTCGTCACCAATTCCTTGGTCTTCAAATGAAAGCTCTTCAGCACCAACCCCTTGCTAGTGGGTTGAGCTTGTGCAACCAGAACGTCTCCATTCTTGTCGCTTCCATACGAGATCAGCGTGCCCGGTTGACCTTCGAATGTGTGCAAAACCTTCGCTGTCCCTTCATCTAGACTTGCAACTATGGCTGCTTGATTCACATAGCGCACAATCATCATCTCATCACTCTTCAGCAGCTCAACGGAAACCGCTTCCTTGCTCGCTTGCGATGCGACCGAGCTTGTCCATCGCTTTCCTGTTTCGGCCTTGAAAAAATGGACAGAACTTGAAGACGCTTGAAGACATGCCAGGACCCCCCCGTAGTTGGAAGAGACACTATCGCACTTGGACGCTCCCTCAATGGCCTTGCCAAAGTCTGCGATAGTGGAGCCATCTTTTGAATTTATCTTGGCAACCATGGGATCTCGATCAACCTTGTTCGAATCGACCGCAACCACCTGGACATTCTTGGCATCCGCGAACAGAATCTCCGCGTCCTTGATGTTGGTCTTCCTAGACTTCCACTCCCACCTTGAGGCAACACAAGTCAACAACCTCGACGTAATATGTTTCAAATGTATCACATTTTTCTTCCGTTCGATGTTGAGAATACTAGCACCATGTTCCCAGTAGCCACGATAACATCCTCCACGTCATCGCCATTCACGTCGGCGAATCTGATGGAAAACTTCAAGTCTCGTCGGCTGTCGTCAGCCTCTGAGTTGGTAGGCTGATCCCAAATCAAGACACCATCAGCTGCATTCCATACTCTGACAATCTTTCCTCTCCCACTCAACGAAGCCTAGCAGAAAGCAACTTCATTAGGAGAAACCAAGTTCAAAGCGCCTGGCTTAATATTACCAAGAATCTGCCACTGTATTCGATCGCATTGATTTCTTCATTTCCAAGACTGTGTCTCCACAGGATCGTGCCATGCTTGCTGTCCAACGCACCGATGATGTTGAGATCCTGTGGTGCATTAAAATTCAGATGACCAGACTAAACAAAGAATCAGCACTTACAGTTGCAAAGAATAGCCTGCGTTTGTGCGGATCAGGGTGAAACAACAGTGATGTGGGTTTTCCGATATTTTGTACATGGAAATCGTTCAACCCCGCCTGGAATTGCATAGTCAGTCCAGTCATCCCAGTAAATTGGTGAAATATCATACCTGATCTTCGTATAATGAGGAAACGAAGGGCAGGCAAATCAAACAAGCCAAGAGGGTAAACGATTGATAGGCCAGCATTCTTGAATGACCAGCAATCCCTGATCTTCCGGGTGAGCTGGATGCAAGAGACGTTACAGACTGCTCTGCAATAAGGCGATAAGTTCGGTAAAGTCACATGTTCTTTGAGCAGGAAGAGATCTACAAACATTCTCTCTCTGCCATCCGATCCTCCCCGGCCTTCCCTGTTCCTCCTCTTCCTCGTCCTCGTCCTCCTCGTCCTCGTCCTCCTCGTCCTCCTCGTCCTTACCTGCTGCTCACTGCATTGGCGTCGGCTCGTGGACAAGACGGAGGGGACAGGACAAGAGGGGTAGTAGACTTGGGATCTTGGTGGGGTTATCCAGTAGGGGTACTTTATAGGTCAAAATGCATTACTTTTGCACCGGTACTGATCTCAAGAAAGGGGTGGTCATTGAGGAGTCTTGCCAGACAAAATCCGATTAGGTAATCATGTTTCATTTTTAAAACTGTATTTTCACTGCGGGTACAAATTTATATACAACAAGTAGCCGTACAAATTATATAAAATCTTGGTACTGACCATATTTTATGATTTTAGTGCTGAACACAACTGCCGGCCCTTCTCATCAGTGCGGCAAGTTGCCTTGAAGTTGAGACGAGCAGCATGGCATGAGCCTGCTGGAGAGACTCGAGGGAGAGGGAGAGGGAGTGAGAACTGAGGAGACTCAGAAGCAGAGAAGCAGAGAAGCAGAGAAGCAGAGAAGCAGAGAAGCAGAGGGAGGGAGGGAGGGAGGGAGGGAGAGAAGGAGTGGGTGGAGAGGGGGAGAGGAAGGGAGAGAGAACTGAGGAGAGAAGGAGAGAAGGAGAGAAGGAGAGAAGCAGAGGGAGGGAGGGAGGGAGGGAGGGAGGGAGGGAGGGAGGAATGGGCCGCCCGATGGATGGACTCTGATGGATGGATGGATGAACGGAGAGACCTAGGGGAGAGGGAAAGAGGGGATCACTTCGAGTGAGGATTCTCCTTCGAACAGAGACACCAGACTCAAAAATCAAATCTGACAGATCCCGCAGGTGACGAGAAATGGCAAGGCTGTGAAGACTGTTGGTGTTTTGTATTGAAAATGAGCTTGAAACAATTTCCAAGTAGGAAGGTTTTCGATGAATCATTTGTTACGGACCACGGCACTATCCCAAACGAGAGGTTGGTGGGGAAAGTCTATGATTGTGAATTGGCTTGGGAAGTGCTTGAAAACAGGAGGACACAAGTACAAGAGAAAACATTCACCATCTTGACTGATGGTTTGAATGATGTTGCCAACAATGAGGCAAGTAGAATAGCTATCAACGCAGGGCTTAGTATTGATGCGAAGACCAATCTCCCGATGGCTATCAAACGGTATGGAAGGACGAAGTACTTGGAGTTTCGAGCTTACGTTCTCTTCCTTGTGGCGTTTACTGTGGTTACTTTCATTAAGTACGACTACAGCAATGGTAGCATGCTACTTCAAAGCGCACAGAAATCCATTTTTTCTATTCATTTTGATGCATTTGATAAAACCAAGACTTTTGAGGAAATCGTTGACGTTGACGATTTCTGGAACTTCTTCTCTGCAGGATTGATGAACTTGTTGTTTGCCTGCAAGTATGATCCAAAGACTATGGTGGTCAGCGATGCTTCAGATGCTAAGTCAGGCATCTTATACGTGCACGGTCAAGACCCACTGATCCAGCCAGTCCGGATAAGGCAACTGCACGTCGACAAGCAAAGTCCAATAACATGCCAGAACAACAAATTCATGTCTAGCGAGCTCGACGGCTGTTGGCCTGCTTACAAGGCTCAGTTTGAGAGCAAAGCTCCCCGGAGTGGATGGCCGGCTGGTTCGATGCTGCAGTATCAAACAGGGAGTCAGCTGAAAACGTTTCCATTTGGAGGGTACAACGCGACTATGATCTATCCCGGCGGTGGTTATGTGATTGACATTCCCTTGTTGACAAAGCCAGAAGAAGTTACAAGCATGATTGAATACCTCAAGAGAATCTATTGGGTAGACCAAGGAACTCGTGCAGTATTCATTGACATAGTATCCTTCAACAGCGTCTTCAGTTTCTATCTTTCTACTAGGATATTCTTTGAATTCATGCCGTATGGTGATGTTCGTCCTTCTTATTCTTTCAGGGTTTTCAAGGCAGCATATGTGTCAGGTCAACGAGTAGAGGTCATTCTATACTATATGGAATATGGATTCTTTGCTTTAGCGATGATGCACCTCCTACTTGAACTGAACACCTTGCGAAAGGTAGGTATTGAGATCCACTACAGCAATTACTATCACTTCTTCAACATAGTAATCTATGCATTTTACTTCGCTTGGTTGGCCACTAAAGTTAATCTAGAACAAACTCCTGGAATGCTTTCCCTCAACGAAGTCTTTACGTCCTTGGACAATCTTGACGTGAATGACTTTGAGTATGTCGGCTTCCTCTACAATCAGGCACAATGTCTACTTGCATTCATATCACTCTTTGGCTGGTTGAAGCTACTTGAATTCCCCAAGTACATAAGTCGATCAACAGAGCTCATCATTCATATTCTTTGGAAGTGTGGGCAACAATGCATTCCCTGGTTTTTCATTCTCCTTATCATCATTCTTGCGTATGCACAAGCATTTTATCTTGCGTTTGGCCCGGAGGTTGATGGCTTTGAAAGTTTCAATCAAGCTCTCTCCACTCTTGTTACGTGGACTTTCAACGTTATTTCCTATCGAAACGTGATATCCTTTGATCAATTTCTGGCCAGTGTACTGTTTATCTCGTTTCAGGTCACATACGCCATCATCTTAATCAACATGTTCGTCGTCACACTGATGCAATCTTACTATGAAATGAAAAACAAGAAGTATGAAGACTACATCTCCTCAGAGATCCGCAAGCATGCTAGAATTGTTCTCTTGAGATGGCTTCAGATTCTGTTAATGTTCATACCAAGTTTCAAGTTTTCAAGTGACAGCGAAAATGATGACGAGTTGATCGCAGCCAAAGAAATAGCAGAAGAAAATGCTGAACAGGAGAAAATGAATCAGATAGTTGAATGGAGTTGGCAAGAATTTGAGAATGTGATACATCAAGTCTCTATGATCGCAGACTCTGTGAAGGATTTGAAGGCAAAAACCAACAATGTGTTGAAACGAGAATATCAGACTGACGGCTTGCTCAACGGGAAGACCGGGGACTACCGAAGGATGTCGGTTTACTCGTTACAAGATAGGGACGGAAGAAGCCCTGATCCCGGTCCAACAATGGGGAACTCGATTGATAGAGAATATATTGAGGAGAGGAGTCCTCGATGAAAATAGGAAGTTATGTATCTTGTTGTAAATATGAATGTGTGATGTGTGCTCCTGCAGCTGAAGGTGTGTGTGCAGACCTCGCAAACAAGCACTTCACATTCATTGAGGAACCTCATGACGAGTTCCTGATCTCCCGGTTTCCAGATTGCATGGACAATCTTTTTACGCCTCAGGCTGTTCTTCAGTACCCTCGATAGGTGCTTCTTCAGCACGCTGAGGAGAGGACGGCCTTTCTTCCTCCCCGTCCCGTGGCTCCTCCTTCCGTGGCGATTCTCTTGGTGAGTCGCGTCGTGCTCGCGGAGAATCCTTCCGAGGAGATCTAGAACGATCACGACGAGGCGATCTCGACCGATCCCGGCGAGGGGAGTGACCACGTCGAGGGGAGCGAGAGTATCTTCCACCTCGGCTGCTCGTTCCTTCACGAGTCCGCATCTGGTCTGGCGTCTTTCCTGAGAGAAGAAATCAGCAAAGGCTACTCGATGCAGAGGATCGGTATACTTCTCTGCTGCGCGAACACCACATCGATCACACGTCCTTGAAATTCCCTCCTGTCCATGTCCTCCTTGGCATCACGAGCTTCTTCGTAATTGATGAACTCGACAAAAGCAAAGGGCTTTGGGCGCCTGATGAAGACATGTGAGTCATAACATACATGGAACGCAATTATATAATCAACATGGCAAAGACTCTAGGTGCTTCCTTCGAAGCCTTTTCATCGTTTGAACAAATGACAACTTCACATGGCAAGAGCTTTTCCTTCGTGACTCCATCCTTCTTTGAAAAATATCTTGTGTCTTGCGGCTAGAACAACTTTCTTCTTAAATCCTTGTATCTCACGCATCGAACTTCAATATTCTTGTCTCAACTTGCAATCTTCGCACATTCCATCTTCAGTAAACTTGAAGTCGGATGAGCCTATCTTGGAACTAGTCTTGAATTCTACATCACTCTTGAACTTCTTCCGAGAAATCTTCATCCTCAATGTTGATCTCGAACTTCACTTGCAACATCTTGGAGGCAAATGCAACAATCATGCCTTGGAACATGGAACTCGGTGGTTTTCTCACAACGAGCAACACAATCACAAAGGAGGGCGAAGGACTAACTTGGTGTAGTAGTCGATCGGAATGTATACATCCTTGACGGTACCATATCGTCCAAAAAGCTCTCGAAGATCTTGACCATCCGTTCGATCCCCAATGTTACGGACCTGAACCAATCACAACCTTTAGAAAAATACCGCCGCAGTTGCACTTCCTCTATTCATCATTGAGAATTCTGCTCATGCTTCAAGTACTTTGGTTTAATCGACCTCTACTTTCAACACATGATCCCTACTCACTCTCCCCAGAACGAAGACATCCCCAACTTACCAGCAGAGAAATCTTCTCGTGCTCCGTCCTCCTTGGTGGACCGCGGGGTCTTGACCTGTCTCTTTCTCTTGACCTGTCCCTTGACCTGTCCCTCCTCCGATCTCGGTCCCCTCGGTCCCCTCGGTCCCCTCGGTCCCCTCGGTCCCCTCGGTCCCCTCGGTCCCTCGACCGAGATCGCCTCCTTTCTGGCGACCGCGACCGCGGCATGTTTACCAGCACCCACCCCTCCGCTGAACTATTGGACCCCCTCCAGGGACCAAGGTACCCTATCTTATCAGCCTCATTCTCATACAAAGACACGGGTGGAAAAAGTACCCCACCATTCAAAGTGTTCGGGATAGTTCACCACCGGTGCTCTCCTTTCGCCCTTCTTGGCATTTCCCGCTCTCAAGCTTTTTGACCCCCTGCACGCGAATTCCATTACCAAAAAGTATTTTATATTTGTACGATATGAATTTCTGACAAAGATAGGATCTAGAAAGAATTTGTATAAACTATTTTATACACTACTGTATTTCCTAACTTAACTGTATGGAGATCTCGTCCTACCTTATAAAATTGTAGTAATATAAAAATAGTTTTTAAAAGACTGCCGGCGGGCCGCAGGCCGGCGACCCTGTAGCCGCCTTGTGATGAAATTCTTCAGAATTCAATTGCCTTCAGAGTAAATGTTCCCCTCAAATTTGAATTTATGAGCTAAATTCGTAAAAAGTCTTTTTCAAAGTTGAAAGTTTAGAGTACTATTTCAAGAAATTGCTGCAGCGAAATTGAAAATTCGATGCAGTGGAAGGGTAGATTTTATAGGTAGGGTGGGGCTTCAATACTGTGGGGTGGGTGGATGATGTCTATTTGGGGGGTCCACGACAACCAACTTTCAATTGCTCGAAGGTCATGGGGTGGGGTCCAATTTGTGAGTTCCAAGGGGTGGATGACCGTAATAACAGGGTGGTATGAACTTTTTCGTTACGATGGGATGGTGGTGCAGGAGGCAGGATGGTGGGATGGTGGGGACTTGAAGGAGGGTGAGAGAGTGAGAGACGCAATGAGACGATAGGAAAGGAGTACTCCAGGGATATTCTCCTCGCCAAACTGAGTTTTGCTGATTGATTTTCACTTCTGCAGGCAGAGGACTTTTTATGACTCCTGGGACCTGGCACTGTAAATTGCTCACGTCAAGCAGTTTCCTCTGAGAGTAGAAAGAAGGCTTGTTTGCAAATAAGGACTCGAAAAATATGAGCCAGCTCAACAATGATATTTTCCGTATCAAAGTTGTTGACTATCAGAATAAGAAAGTCCCCATACTGATGCAGAACAACAACGGGCCCTGTCCTCTCCTTGCCATCAGTGAGTTTTTGCCTTGCGGTGCAAACAAGTAGGTTATTGACTGAATGCATTTTTTCTAAGGCAATGTACTTCTCCTTCAGTCCAAGATACAGATACATTCAGATCTGGCATACATGGACTTCAGGCAGCTGATTCACCTTGTTGGGGACTACTTGGTCCAGTTCAACCCTCCGCATCACAACCCAGAGATGCAGGCGAACCAACAGCAGCAGATTGACGATGCCCTGTCCACTCTCCCAAAGCTTGGGCGAGGACTGGATGTGAACGTACGATTCCAGAAAGTGACTGACTTCGAATACACGGACGAGCTCTCAGTGTTGGACATGCTTGGCATCAACCTGTTCCATGGTTGGCTGGTGGACCCACAGGACGTGAAGACTATGGGAGTGATTCGGGACATGTCATACAACCAGCTGCTCTGTCTCCTTGTAGATGCTGACTCCAACCACCGTCCATCGATTCCTGAGAAGCAACCGGACCCAGGGGACACCTCAACTTCAAATGCTGCGCCGCCCGACAACATGGCGGGTGCGGTCCCTGAGAATGAGAACGCACCCTTGACAAGTCAGATTAATCAGAATGATGAAGATTTCAAGAAGTGGAGATCGTTGCCCTCAGTTGTGTCATGGTTTCAAACTCATACCTCGCGACACGTTTCTCCTGCTGCTTCAGAACCGCAACCAGCTCAGAAATCTCTTGAAGAGGAACCATCTCAACCAGATGTCCATGTGGATGATTCAGCATATTTGCAGAAATTGAAGGAAGCTCAGGTACCTTTCTTCTGTTTTTTGTTCTGTAGTGGTTCCCTGCTCAATTCTAGTACAGGTCGTGCAGACGTTCTTACAGGAGACTGCATCCCAGCTAACCTATTACGGCATTGAGCAGCTTCATGCAACTGTCAAAGAGGGAGAACTCTGTGTCTTCTTTCGCAACAACCATTTTTGTACGATGTGCAAGAAGTCCGGGGGCTTGTATTTGCTGGTAACAGATGTCGGCTTCTACGAAGAAGAAAAGATTGTAAGTTGAAGTGATACTTCCCTTATGGTAACATCAGCCGTGCTCAGGTGTGGGAGAAGCTCGTTGACGTCTCGGGCGACAGCATTTTCTACGACGGCAATTTCCAAGGATTCGCTCCTCAGAGCTCTGGCAGATCTCGAGGGAGAGAGGAAGCGCCGCAAGGAGTGATTACTCTGGACCATGTTTCAAATGTAGAGTGTTGCACCTGTTTGAACATCAGCTCCACCTTACTTGTTCACTTTTCTAGGCTCTTGCGCAGATCGCAAGCGTGCCAGAGCAAGTGATGGAGGCTGTCGAGAACGCCGTCAAGCCACAAGAGAACGTCAGAACTGTTGCCTCCTCCACCCCTGTCTCAATTGTCCAGCAGGTTTCTCCCAAGGCGATGACTGATCAAGTGCAGCTGCCCAGCAGAGAAGTGCCCAAGCACTCAGAGCAAGAGGACGCCGACCTTGCCTTCGCTCTATCACTGCAGGCTGAGTACGACGAGGAGCGACACAGGGAAGAGCAAAGGCAGCAGCAGCAGCAGCAGCAGCAGCAGCAGCAGCAACAGCAGCAGCAGCGAGTTGGTACGGCGGGGGCAAGACCAGCAGGAGGAGCCGTTTCTGCAGCAGCGAGACAACGAGCAGGACACAACGGTGGAGTTTCGCAGGAGCAGATGGCACAGTACCGGATGGCCCAACAGCAACGACACCAACAAACTGGTCAGGGGATGTGAGATGATATTTTGTTCTGAGTTTCGTTTCGCTGATTTCTGTGTGAAGGACAAATACAGGCCGACAGACTACCGGCAGTGCCAACAACAACAACAACAACAGCAACAAGTACTCATGATGATGCTTTTGGTTTTATTTGACAAATACGCAGGAATAAAACTTGTTCTGTGCAATGACAAGAATGCATGGATGGAATGGCGATGATTCATGGATGAAGGCATACAGCTCAGGTGTTGTTCGGTCTTGAGAGCTTTGAGGTAACAGGAAAATTCTTCTGTTCATGATGGTCGGGTGGAGTATGACAAGCACAAGGAAATATCTCACATTTATCAATTCCTCCATGTAGATACGAGAAGCAAATTTAATGATTCGATTCTTACACCAAAAGAGTATTTTATTCACTTGAAAATAGTGTGTCTATGGAGCTTTCATTGTACTCCAATAATCTATCTGGGCTGGGGAAACTTTCATCTTTAGCTTGTTAACCCCGTTGATCTCACTCGCATCAAAAGACAGCAACCGCATGCAAGAACGGCATCTCCTTGCGTCAAGTCTTCGAGTCTGAGAGAAAAAATAAAATTTGGGCAGCAAATGCAGGCGAGCCAACACAAGTTGGCCTTCAAAGCTAGACAACTTGAGCCGAAATGTTGGACAACAAGTTTCCATTGCAAGAGTCGATCGCTTGACGCAGCTGCTGCAGGGTCGGTAACACATCGTCTTCTCCTGCCAGTTTCTCAAGCCACGGGATCAGGAGAGGAAGCTGTTGATCGGTCTGCGAGTCAAACCTGATCAAGAATTCAGTGAATCTCCATGAGAGCAAGAAAGATGAAACCAGCTGCTGATGGGGATCGCATTCTCAGGCTGAAGCATGTAGGAAGACGGTGAGTTGTCCACCAGAATGACTTGCCGTGGGTCTCTTCCCTGTTGGGCAGGATCAACACAGAGCAAAGACATTCGAATGCAGCAGACGGACCAGTCTCGTCAAGTCCTTCACAAGAACACCGTTGGTGAAGACACAGTGCTCTCGGAACAATCGGAAATGAACGCTCTTGGGCGCACTTCTCTCCAGCAAGTCCAACACTGGGTTGGCATATTTGTCCAGACTTGCAGTAAACACCACAACCTCAAACAGTTTGGCAACCTGAAGGACCATGTCATTCGAGGTTTCTGATAAGACTAGGCTCACCCTCCGCATAAAATTGTCCAGACCAGGTCTCTTACATACAAAAACACGATGCACCGTGCCATCAATCTCAACCGGGACCACCCAATCAGCCCCAGGGACAGGTTTGAAGGAGCTGTGAACTAATGTCTCATCTAGATCTAAGATCAATGTAATTTTGAAAGGAACAAGCTTCGGTGGAAGAAGAAAGCTGTCATTGTACATCCTTGAAACGTCATCCATGTTTGGGTCTTGCATGCTGTAATCGTACTGAGAAGACTGCATGTGCCCGTTCTGCAGTCCGGCAGAGTGGTTGTATGCGCCATCCGGAGCCTGAGAAAGCTCCTCGTCAAGAAACGAACATGCAGAACAATGGGAGCATGCAAACCTCGATGACAACAGGTGAGAAGCATCGACATAGGAAACGCATCATAGACCATCGCTTCCTCTGTCGCTTCGATTCGCCCTCAGCAGCTGCAAGCACGTTACAACCCCCAGAGAGGCGCAAGTCCACTGGAAGCTCACCCGTCAGCTGCAGGCTACTCTCATGTCTCGCTCGGGCATCGTCGATGATAACATCGTCGATCCCCGCATCGATGATATTTCCGTCCCGATCCACCTGGGTGATAATCCCTGTGGGCATCATGTGCCCCTGCCCCCCCGTGGGCGCTTGTATTGTACAGTGATGTGCCGCTCAAAGATCTCAGGAGCTACTCCTTCAGATTGCAGCCTGCTTCTAGAAGACAAGAAAGATCTTTCTTCTCCTGGACAGGATATGGCCTCTCTCTGACTTCCCAGCACAACTTTTCAAATACCACTGCTCCAAACTCAACTGTGTATCTCCCTTCCTTCCTTGAACTCAATAGAGAAGCTCTAAAATCAACAACAAGATTCAAAACAGTCTCGTCGCGATGATCTCCGCATCCAAACGCTCCACCCACTGCTCGCTTCACCTAACTGCAAGTTGCCTTCACGAACTGAACCTCGTCACACTGAGTGCACGTCGATCCTGGATCCACAACACATGCTCATCTTCGCTAGGGTAACTTCAGCTGCTTGTTGGTGTGCCATCCTCGTCCTCATTCCTCCACATCTGTGCCATCGCTGGCGTCTCGCATGGCTGCCATGAAGCTCCCTCTGCTCATGGTTGGGCGATTTTAAAAACCATGTAGGCTTTAAAATATTGAGTGCACGGACATACCATTGAATCTAAAATATATATATAAAAGTTGGTATCCCCGGTACAGTGACCCAGTAATCTTTACAATATCTAAAGTTTTGGTACTAATTTTATTGACGATATTTAATATTTAGTACCATGATTTCCCTGCCTTTACAGAACTGGATTAAAAAGATTTCGAACCAGATTTCCGAACTGGTTCCGAAACCTTACCCTAACTGACTCCGTGTACATTTGAAATTACCTCGAAATATTTTCAAATTTCAGCTGCAGCCCGCCTTTTGATCCTCGGAGCCGGAGTCCACCGCCGCGGGGCCGGGCGGCGGCCGGCCCGCTGGCGGCGGCCCGGGGGCTCCGACTCAGGGTTCGGAGGCTCAGGCCGGGCCACCGTGACCGGTGACCGTCGGCCGGGCCGGGCCCGCGGTGACCGGCGTCGGACGTCGGCCGGCCTCAGTCCGTCACGCTGGCCGGGCCGCTCAGACGGTCCGTCACGCCGCGCGGCGCGTCACGCCGACAGGCTCAGCCTGTCCGACGTCCGAGTAGCCTAGTAAGCGCTAGCTGAACTTATGATTGACTGCCCGCCAGGCATGCGCGGCCTTGACTGCGGCGGCCCGGCGGCCCCCTACTCAGTACCGTGACGGTAGCAGCCTGACCGCCGGTCCGGGGCCGGGGTGACCGGCCGCCCGGCCCCGCGGCCGGGGGCCCGGCTCGCGGCGCCGGCCAAGCCTCCGAGCCGCACTGGCACCGTGCGTGACAGTGACTCTGTGACACTGGCCCGGGCCAGCCGGCCGCGCCTCAGGCTGCCAGGCTGCGGTCACCGGGTGGCCTGGCCGCGGCCGCGGCCCGGCTGGGGCCCGGGCCATGATCATGATAGCGAGAAGACTCGCCCTTGAAAGACTCGGCAGCAACTGAGAATTGCCGTAGTAGCAACCCCTCCCTCGGCTCGGATTCCGGCGGCGCGCCGGGCAGCCCCGAGTGCACCGTCGTGCGGCGCCTTTGGGCCTCAGCCCGGCAATCATGCCATGTGTGACTGCCGTCACGGTCACAGTGACGGTGATCATCAGTGACTACCGGGCTCAGTTCAAGTTGGCACTTAACCGCAGTGCTCCGACAGGGATCCCGGCATGATGAGGGCCCCCGCGCGGGGCCATCATCCGCGGCGGCCCCGCCGGCCAGCGATGTCGGGCGGCTGGGGCCGCCGCCGCCGCCGAAGGAACTTCAATGAGGTGACTGGCATAGTACCGGCCGCCGGGGGCCCTGGCACCCGCCGGTAGCCGGGCCGCACTTTCTTCATCATGCGGAGTCCGGACTGTACCGTACCGCCCGCGGCCCGGGCCCCGGGGGCGGGCGGTGATCATCGGATTCAGTACTGACGCCGTCACCGGGCCACCGGCGTAGTGACACGACTGACACTCAGTGCGGCCGGGGCCGCCGGGCCCGGCCCGGCAGCCCGACTGGCCCAGTGGCCCGGCGGCGCCGCACTCAAATCGTGTGAAAACTTGAAACAATGCATTCAATTTAAAATTTCCAGAGATTTTCATTTTCTGACAAGTAGGAGGGGCCCTTCTCCAAGTATTCCTGCTCTAGCGTCAGATGGACATTGGTTCACGTTGCATGCATACCTTTCTAGATGCCCAGAACTCGTTCTTGTCTTGCATGATCTCGGCTAAGATCGATCCTCCATGAAACACCTTTCATTCATCAGAATCGTTCGATCCGAATCACTTGAGTACCAGGTGCTTTCGCCGTGGAGGGTCTTCGATTCTAATTTTCAGCTTGGATGGACCGTCACTTTTGACAAGTTTCTGGTGCAAACTTCGCAGCTCCTTCTCGAGTCTTGTGGGCAGTCCTATCATTCTCTGGTCATTGCTTTTGAAACTTCTTACATTCATTGAGCAACCGGGAAGCATTGTTGTTCCTCCTGAGAGGACGATATGCTTGTAGAAGTCTGGCCGTAAATCCATGTCTGCAGATTGAATCGAGTCCAGCAATTCCTGCCGTGGAAAGAGACCAAGATCATGATGATTCAAAGAGGGAGAAGGGAGCAGGAAGAAGGAAGAGAGGTTTGGTATGGAAGAGGCGGGTAGTAGGAAAGAGGCTGGTAGTAGGATATCCGGTCATACCTCCGCCACACTCTTTGAGTCGCTCTCAATCAATGATGGCTGGAACAAGACCTGAAAGAGAATCAAGAAGAATAATTTACGATGCCAAGGTTTACCTCTGCACATTGGAAGCGTTCTTGTCCGATATTGATCGTTCTGCCATCTGGCAGGGTGTATGATCGCATCAAAACAGTAGTTTCTTCCTGTAGAATTGTGAGTGAGTCAGGCGAACAGGAGACACGCAGGGCCACCGCAAGTTTCTTCTCGACTGCTGTGTCGTAAGCAACATATGCATGCTGCTCTTTGATTTGACGAACCTGAGGAAACTTTAGTTTAAACTGAGTCAGCGATGAACTCATTCGCACCGTGTCGAAATCTGCTGTGCGATTGAAAACATACCCACGATGAAGCAGAAGCTTGATGAGATAGTCTGTAATGTTTCGACCAGCCATGTTGATTCTTCTCGTCAAATTTGGGAGTGTCATCCCTTCCCACACCTGACCAAGACATAAGAAAAGCGATCTTGCGTCAAGTCTCCAACCGGAATAATGTGCGTCACACCATCGCCTGAGTCAAATACGACGCCGGTCATGATACCCTACATGTATCTTAGTACAAGCTGGTGCACCATGCTGCCGAGTGATTCAACAAGATAAAAACAAACCTGAGCATAGAGCGTCAAGACCGCTTGCAAGCTGACATGCACCCCCTCGAAGCCGTACTTCTCAAACCTTACGACCTCTGTCAGTTGTTGATAGCATGTAACCCCGAATTGAACTTCTCACATGACTTGAAACAGTTTCTCCCGGTTTTGCTTCGGATTTTGGGGTGGTTCAGTCAACAGGATTCGCCTTTCACCACAATCTTCCACCTTGCAGCGAAAACATCTCAACAATCCAAGTTTCAAAGAGATTTTCTTACCCCTAGTCTTTCAAAGGTGTAGTCCCAAAGATGTATCATGTCATCCCAATTCTGAACAATTCCTTTGCATAGCATCAAATTGGAAACAAATGGAACAAAGCACGTACCTTTATCCACTGGGTAGGATATTTCTAGCATATTTCTCATCTCTTCTGCATCATCCCCTACCATAATATCCTTGACCTGTTTTCCTTTGACCTTTTCCTCAAATCGCAATACAGGGCGGCCAACCATACTGATCAAACAGTCAAAAACAGTAAAAGATTTAGAAAGGATCCCATTCAGGAGGCAGATTTCCTCCGGGAAAGAACAAGAAAAACAACGATCATGCCACAGCCTTATCTCCCCTCCCATACGTCAATCCATCAACACAACATCTAGGAAATCAAGCTGAAACTACACTGCTAATGTAACTATCTTCCAACCTCAATTTTCCTCGCTCACACTGCTCCAAAGCAAGGCAAACCTTCATACAGTTCTAACTCTACACCCATCATGTCCCGATCGTTCTCAGTCGTCGAGTCATCGTCAAAGATTACCTGGGGAAGATTGCCTTGGGAAAGCTGTCCCCTGCGAACCCGCACTTGACGAAACCCGTGCCATTGTCTACCACTAGCGCCGGCTTGCTCATTGCGTCACTCTACCCACCTACCCCCACTACCCCTCTCTATGAGATCAGGGTGGGGGTCATCACCCCACCCTATTCCCTGACGAAGCATTTTCACCTGTTTGACCACCCCCTGAAGCATGTACAGCTCTCTGGTCTGACATCATCTGCGGTTGGTTTTTCTCCGGGAGCCCTGGCAGGCCCCGGCCCGCCGGGTGTCGATTGCTGCTTGACGGGTACCGGTCTATTAGAGTCAGATGAAGGGGTGGTGGTCCGCAGGGTACAACAGGGGTGTTGAAGGCGCGAAAAACCAGGGGTGACCAGTCATACAGCTGATAATAGAATCATGAGGGGTTATGTTCCCAAGATGGGGGTGATAAGAAGCTATGTGCCATATGACCCTCTCCAACACGGGTACCATTGTACGTAAACAGAGAGAAATATATGGGTAGTGAGAGAATCGGATTGTAGGGAGGAGGTAGGGTCAATGAAAGAGGGGGTACTTGAGGCCAGGGTTAGGTTGGGTTGCAGGAGGAGGATGCAGCGGCTGTTTATGCGGGCAGTCGGAAGCAAGGGAAAAGCTTGAGGGGTGAAAGAAGAGAAGAATCTGTCGAAGAAGTCGTTAAGATCCTAGGAAGAAGAGAGTTTGTCTGGTGCTCAACAAGGTTGCACTGTTGGAAACTTCTCATAGCCCGTGGCAAAGAATACCAGTTTGTTGGCCATGGAGGACGACGGGCTGAGACGACGAGGAGCACATCATCATGAAAGGCCAGAGGTGGATGACGATGATCACGAGTCATCCTCTCTGCTGAGACATGCACCCTCCAGAGGTTCGCATGCAGAGCATGACAAGGAGGAGGAGAGTATTTGCACAAGTACAATTTCTGAAGGTGTGCGGAGCTTGAGCAGGATCACAAACCAGATTAAGGATATCCGAGTCGAGGATGTATATCGCTACTGGTCAATCTTTCAGAATTGGTTGTACGAGGTCCCTACCATGGCCAGAAGCTGGAGTACATATATCCCCGTCGGCAGCATTTCCAGCTTCAACTTCTTGAAACCACCCGAGCTTACTCCGGAACAGGAACAGCTATTGGCAGAGTTTGTTGAGAAGAACGTGGGAATCTCCTACACTCACGAGTCTCACTTTCATCTGCTCACAAAACTTTGGGAGCTTTCCTTCCCGAACGCCACCGAAAAACCCGAGCAGCATGACCCGTAACCCCCTCAACTTTTCTTTTACATTCGAGCTGAATTCCTTTGATGTGTGATAGAATGTGGAAGCGCATGGGGTTTCAGGGAAACGACCCGGCTACTGACTTTCGAGCTGCTGGCATGCTGCCTGTGCTCTGTCTCACATTTTTTGCTGAGGTTCGCCGTTACTGAAGTGTTGCCTTCTCATTGACTCATGCTTGGTGTGACAGGCATATCCTGACAAGTATATGGAGCTCTTAAAACGATCCAACGGAAAGAGTGCAGAAGAAAGCTATCCCTTTGCATGTGCCGCAATCAATGTGGTGTACATGCTCACGGACATTATGAAGCTGAAATCGACCACTGGGAATAGTGCATCTCTCCAAGAAGCTGCTAGCATGCGGGCTAAGTGAAGCTAAACTGCGCTATAGCTTCATAGCTGACAAGCATTACTTCAGTTTTGTGAAGATGCTTGAGAAGAACGAAAAGGCATTCATGGAGCTTTTCTGCGTTGTGAGTAGTCAAATCTGCTTTCCCATTGTTTTGGACGTACTTCGCGATTAAGAATGTGCTGCGCGATTAATCAGCCTGTTTTCCCAGGTATTCCTGTTCTTGGATAGCGAGTGGGTACGCACGAATGCAACGTAAGCGTTAAACTCTACATATTGTTGGAAATTTACACTTTACGATTTCACCCAGGTACATGCAGTTTCCTATAGTTCTCAAAACGACAAGAGAGAAAACTTGTGCTGCACTCCGGAGTTCGGGTGCAAAGAGTCCGGTTTCAGTAGCGGACATTATGGGAATCGAATTATTTGACGAGTAGAAGACGGTTTCAGATCTTTCGACTATTTACCATGGCCGATATCATAGCATTCTCTTAATTTTCTCGCTGCTACGAAAGCGTGGAATACATTTCATTATTTCCTTGGGGTATAAATGGATGGTTAGCTGACTTTTCTTCTCCACCAACGTGCCAATCAGTACAAATCTATGTAAAGAGCTGAAAGAACTTCCCTTTCTTCCCCCACATCTCTCCTCCTTCCCCTCCGTCTCCTCCCTCCCAACTCGTTCCAAACAAGTTCCTGGCAAAAATCTGCCCACCCTACCCCCAATCACACAAGTTGAAATCTTTGACTACCCGTACATTCCCACTTGAAATTCAGGCCGTACACAGGGTACACTACCCACCCGCCTTTTGAAATGGATTTCACGGTTCCAGGTGAGAGAACTCCATTTGCGAATGGCGATGCGGGGGGGGAGGAGGGAGGAGGAGCGACCGGCGTTCAATGCGAAAGTATGGTACTTAAATATGATGGATCAATTTTCCGAAGAGGAGAGGAGCTTTGGAAAGAGAGCCCTTCCCTTCCTGCCAGATAGAGACAGGTCGAGGAAGAGATCGCGATACGAGGATTTCTTGGACCAGCCACAGCAATCTTCCTCGTCGAGCTCGCTTGAGAAGTCGACAAACAGCAGCCAGACTCCCGCCCCTCAATCGCGCGAATATCAGCAGAGTTATCGGCCTCAAGATCCTCGTGCAGCTGCCGTCTCCTCAAGGCCCTCACATACCGCAGCCAGCAATGGACAGTATGTTGAGCCCACAACACAGCAGGGGCAAAATGCGGAATCGTCAACGCGCTCGGAGCATTACAGTGTACAGAGGAACTATCAAGGACCTACGAATCTGGGAGGTAATAGTGGACCCGGTCTCGGAGTGGGCAACCAGGTTTCAGAGCGGGCATATCAACGCGGGGATGAACGGTTCATGCAGGACGTGCGGCCGCAGCAGAATCATACCAGCCAGAATCATGCAGCACAAGATGGGCGATATACTAGGGCACAAGGAGAGACTGGTGATCGTAGTTGGTCGCAGGATATAGAGTGTGAATCTGACGAGAACGACTTAAATGGCGGTGTAGATACCCTGGAGATGGTGCGACAGCGGCCTTCTAGCAACGAAGTTGGCGGTTGGCGACGGAATGAAGTGAACGATCGTGACATGCCAGATGCCATGAGAATGGAGGAAGGAAAATCCAACGGTGCCTTGTCGGGACAAGGGGCTGATTTGCTCAGGAGGTCGGATACAGGAGAGGATGGTGCGAGGGTCCCTGGCAGGTTTCATGCAGCGATCGCCGGCCAAGCAACACGAGAGGAGCAGAAGGAGAAGACAGCTGAGCTAGGACGCATGAGTTTGAAAGAGGACGTGGCACAGAGAGAAGGGCAGCAGGCAGCAGCGAAAATGGTGCCAGAGCCTATGGGAGGCGGGAGGCAGCCTGCAGGGGCGGCGGCAAAGCAACGGACCGATGAAGGAGCAGGAGGGCAGCAGATAGGGAAGACGATGGTGACGAAACCAGGTGCAGGAATAGAGGGAGGGGCCAGCAGCCTGGAGGAGTGGCAACGGCTCCTAGTGCAGCAGCAGGAGCAGCAGCAGGGGCAGCAGGGGCATTAGGAGCAGGAGCAGGAGCAGGAGCACAGAAGTCTGTCAACGAGCGAGTGGTGCCGGTGGTGGCTGAGGCTACGGGAGAAGGAGAGCCTAAGAGAGAAGGGCAAGCGCAAGGAACGACAATGACAGCAGCTGCAAGGGCAACGATGGGAGAAGGAGCGCAGGGAGGAGTGCAGGAGGGGGGAATGGCGACGATGATAAAACCTGTGGCAGAGGGAACAGTGCAGCTGCTGCAGCAGCAGCAGTACCAGCAGCAGTACCAGTACCAGCAGCAGCAGTACCAGCAGCAGCAGCAGCAGCAGCAGCAGCAGCACCACTACCATCACCCGCAGCAGTTCCAGCAGCAGTACTACTATCACCAAAACTACCAGCAGCAGTATTACCATCAGTACTCCCAGCAGCAGCACTACCAGCAGCACCAGCAGCAGCACTACCAGCAGCACCAGCAGCAGCAGGAGAACGGAGCACGGGTTTTGACCCCTGCTCCTGCGGCAGTGGCAGCAAAGACAGGAGCGGGAGCCGAGGCATGGAGGGCTGAAGAAGCGGAACAGCAAGGAGGGCGGCATCAGGCAGAGTCGTTGGCAGTGCCGGCACATATAAAGGCTGAAAGGCAGGGGCAGGAGAGGGGGCAGGGCAAATCAGTGGCAGCAGAGACAGAAACACAGGGACAGATAACTTCAGGCCTAGCAGAAGTGGAGCAGAGAGAAGGGAAGCAGCTGGGAGGGGCGGCTGCGAAGGCTGTGGAGGCAGCAGGAAGGCCGGAGGCAGCCGGTCAGGATCCGGAAGTGACGAGACCAGCAGGCGCAGGATCACAGGGAGGGTCTCAGATGGCGACACCAGGGGGAAAGGCAGTAGGAGGATCGGACGGTGGGGGACAGCAACAGGGAGGAGGAGGAGGAGGAGGAACAGCGGCGGCGGCGGCGGTAGCAAAGACAGCAGCAGCAGCACAAGGGGTCCAACCGCAGCAGAGGAAGGGGATGGCAGCGGCAGGGGTAGCAGCGGCAGAGGCACAAGGGGGGACGGGGGCAGTGAAAGCAGCAGGAGCAGCGCAGGGAGGGCAGCAGCAGGGAGGGGCGACGGCGGCAGGGGGAATACATGGGAAGACGCAAACGGAAGCGTCGATGGCAGGTAACGCAGGAGCAGCAGCACAAGGGGCTGCAAAGCTGGAAGGAAGGTCGATAAAGGTAGAAGGAGGGGCGCAGCAGATGGATACAAGGGCGGTAGATCGAGCGAAGGCAGGAGGAGCTGGGGCAGAGGAGCGTGGAGGAGGGGCAGGAAAGGAAGGAGGAGAATCGTCGCAGGGAGGATCAACGCACGGGCAAGCATCTCCCTCCAGTTCTGAGATGACGGCAGTGAATCCGGGAGATGCTGGTGGAGAAAGAGCAAGACAGAGAACAGAGAAGAAAAGGATAACGGAGGAGGCGGACAGAACAGAGGCGGACCCCTCCAGTAGCCAAGCTGCTTCAAGTCAGAACATGATCGAGGAGGAGAGGAGAGTCGAGGGCTCGTCGAGGGATGAAACCAGGACGGGGAGGGAGGTGGACGCGAGGTACTTGTATGCTCCCAACAATTCCATAGGATGACGATGAGATGGCAGCGGAGGGCAGCACGGAGGGCTGGAGAAGGACGAAGGTGACGGCTCATTGCGCGCGAGCAAGAGGAAGACAGGAAAGGGATCAGCGATAGCTTGCGACCGAGCCTGACTCTTTTTTATCACCTCAGATTGCCAGCTCATCATGAATGCGTTGCTTCAAGAGCGGCTCGACCTGAACCCCACCAGAGATGTTACAAGGATGGTCCGGTGGGAGGAGGTGTACGAGCTCTCAGCTGGGGCCCTGCAGGAGGAGATCGAGGTTTGTGCTGGGCTGGAGGGTCAGCTGAGAGTGTGCTGAAGTTTGCGGCAAGAAATCGAGGAGCAGGCTGGCCAGCACGATTGCCCAGTACCACACGAGTCAGTTCCCCTCTCAGGTGAATTGTGCGGGATGGTGGGGAGAGAACCTTGAGGTTGACATGTACCGCAGCTGCAGAACGCGATCAGCGCAACCCAGAGGATGTCGGAGGCTATCTGGAGCAAGGTGACAGCAAGGTTTGACACTGTGCAGTGTCCAGGCTGTCTGAGATTGACAGGAGCAATGTCAAACTTCCAGGTGGGCGTCTGCTCTCAAGTCAGCCCAGCAAGCGGCTCAGGAGAAGTTCTCACCGCTTTCCTCGTGCTGGGACTCTGCTCGCCTGCTGGTAATCCCTTGCATCCTTCTCCTCCTTGCAACCTGAAGTTGCTGCTCAGAATCGGATGCGACAGCTCTGCTGGAGTCTTTACTTCCGGCACGAAGGTGGAGTAGGACGAAGCGAAATATCCACAATGAACGTGAAAGAGGTTCTCGCAGTTCGCCTCGTTTCTTCCCTTCCCACCCAACGCCTTCTTTTTCTCCTCTTTGTCCTTGCCCTTGTCTTTGTCTTTGTCGTCCTCTTCCTTCTTCTTACAGTCCTCCCAGTCTTCATCCTTCCACTTCTCTTATCCTTCTTCCGCCCTGCAGGAACCGGAGCAGGAAGGGTTGAACACAAAGGGAGAGGGCGAGGAGGATCAGCAGCTGGCAGACCCGATCGAAGAACTTCTTGCAGAGTGTGGAGGAGCTGTGATTAGCCATGTGGAGGTAACTGAAAACACATGCACTATGCTCCTCTCCTCCTCTCCTCTCCTCTCCTCTCCTCTCCTCTCGTCGCTCCTCTCCTCTGCTCTGCTCTCGTCGCTCCTCTGCTCTGCTCTGCTCTGCTCTCCTCTCCTCTCCTCTCCTCTGCTCTCCCACCCCCCCTCCGCCACTGTGCCCCCCCGTCAACTTCTTGAAGGTCTCCCTTCTCTGCCCGATCTCACAAGCGCGGATAAAGGTCCCTGTCAAAGGGAAAGACTGCCGTCATTTGAACGTGAGACAACCCTTGTCCTCCCTCCATCCCTCCCTCGGTCCCTCCCTCCATCCCTCCCTCCATCCCTCCCTCGGTCCCTCCCTCCCTCCCTCTCTCCGTCCCTCCCTCCCTCCCTCCGTCCCTCCGTCCCTCCCTCCGTCCCTCCCTCCGTCCTTTCCTCCTTGGCTGGCTGCCTCTCCCCACCAGTGCCCATTCTCACGTTGCTTCGCTTTCTCCATTCCTGCCTTCCTCCTGCTCCTCTGATTTCGTTGAGCGCAGTGCTTTGACAAAGAGTCTTGGACCAAGTCGATGAAAGACAGGGAGAAAAGAAATGCCCGTTAGTCGTCTTGCTCCAATCTTCCCTCCCCTCTCTCCCCTCCCCTCCTTCCCTTCCTCCTTTCCCCCCTCCTCTGCCTCTCGCCCTCTCGCCCTCCTCTCCCTCACGTCCTTTCCTCTAGAGTCTCACTTGGATTTCCTACAGCATCTGCCAGGTAGAAATCGAGGAAGTGGTGGAGGACGAGGAGTTTCAAAAGATTCTGCAGCAAGTTCGTTCCCCTCCCCCTCCCCTCAACGTTTCTGATCGCCACCTGGCAGGTACCCGATGGCATAAGCTCCTTCGACATGTCCACTCGCTCAGAATTCTCTCAAACGAGCCAGAAGAATCAAGGTGCCTCCTGCCTCCCACCGCCACGACCCTCCTTGCGACATCCTCTGCCTCCTATCCCCTTGCCTTTCCACATTCTCTTCCCCCCCAGCTCCTCTGTCAATTTCCTTTCAAATTTCTTCTTCCGCTCCTCACCCCTTCCTCTCTCCTCCTCTAGCTCATCGCCCCCCCTCCTTCCAGCTTCTCTTCCCCAGAGTCATCAGGTGACCGCTGCAGCAGAATCTGCGCACGATGTGATCGTGATCGACGACGACTAGCATCCTCCTCCTCCTCCTCCTCGTCCCTCGCGTCTCCTCTTCCTCTTCCTCCAATCCTTCTTCCATCTTGTTTATAGTACATTCATGTAATTTACTCTCTCTGCTCATGGTCGGAAGAGCATCAGCGACAAGGAGCAGGAAACCACGAGGACGGAGGACGCGCTCATCATTCCTAGCGATCAGCTTCAGCAGCAGGCTCCTCCTCCTCTCCCTCTTACCTGCACAGAGCCAGGGAGGAACGATAATGGACGCAGAGATCGCGAATAATCCAGCGGCGACAGGAAGCGCTACAACCTGTGAAGAGTATGAGCCAGGGGGACCCTCACTGGACCTCTCCTGCTGCTGCTGCTGCTGCTGCTGCTGCCCTTGCTCCACCACCTCTATTTCCTCAGACTGTTCCTTCCCCTCCTCCTGTCACTCACATTGTACAAGCAAGCCCAGACAAGGTTGAGAACAATGCGCCTCATCGTTGCGCGAGCAAGGCGGAAGGAGGAGAGGAGGAGCCGAAGGTTGCTGGCTGCGAGCACAAGGTCGGAGGACTGCATGACCTCCTGCCGCATGCGTCATGGCCGTTATCCCTCCTTCCTCCTCACCTTGCTCCCTCCCGCCACGGCCACCGACAGGTCCGCCTGAGCGAACGCGGGGATGTCGTTGATACCATCTCCAGCCATGGCGACCCGAGCGCCTTGCGCTCGGAGCTGGGAAACCTGCTGGGACTTTTGAAGGGGAGAGAGTCCGCCAAGGTGCTGCCGGATGCCAACCTGCTGTGCCACCTGCTCCACCACTAGAGGATCGTCACCGGAGAGGAGGAAGACGTCGATCCCCAGCTCCTTCAGCCTGCTGATGACTTCCTTCGCCTCCTCCCTCACCCTGTCAGACAGCGCGACTGCCATGCGCGGCCTCCAGCGGAAGCTCTGAAGCTCCTCCTCTTCCCTTCCCTGCTCAACGGCGTCATCGGCTGTCAGGACCCACACCACGGATTGTCCGGCGTTTCTCCAGGCAGGAGGAGGCGACGCGGGGCAGTGAAGGTGCTCGAGCAAGCTGCTTCCTCCTATCGCCATCACCGTGCCATCTGACATCCAGCAGACGACTCCCTTCCCCACGATGCTCTTCCTCTTCCGTACCCCGTGTGACGTCACCTCATCATTGCGCGCAACCCTGGCAGCGAACGCCTGGAGTGCTGTAGAGAGAGGATGCGAGACGTTCACCTCGCATGCTGCGATGCTGCGCCACATCGTCCGGCAGCTTTGAGGAATCCCCTGCTCCCACCCATCCTCCTCTCCCACCTTCAAGATGTTTCCTCCCTCCCTACCTCCCCCCTCCTCTCCCAGCAGCAGCAGCCCCTCCACGTTTGGCTTCCCTTCCGTGATCGTCCCCGTCTTGTCGATGCAGAGGAGGGAGACTTTGCACGCCTCCTCCACGGCCTGAGCGCTGCGGAACAACATCCCGTGCTGAGCGCCAACGCCGACGGCGGCGATGAGAGCCATGGGCACGGCGAGACCAAGGGCGCAGGGGCAGGAGACCATGAGGACGCTGGTCGAGAAGAAGACGGCCTGGAGGAGAGGAGCAGGTTGGTCGAAGATCAGAGTGGATGGAAGAGTTCCAGAGGAGGCCAGAGAGAACCAGGAGGCTCCGACGAGAATGGAGCAGCACACGACCAGAGGGACCAGGAGGGAGGCGACGCGATCGGTCATCCGCTGCACTTGCGCCTTCCTTGTGTCCGCAAGATCCACCATGCTGAGGAACTGAGACAGTGTCGTGTTGATCCCTGCCCGCAGCACGCGCACTTCCTCCGTCCTCGCCCCTCGATGGATACTCCCAGCAAGCACAAGGTCTCCTCGAGACCTCCGCACGGGCCTGAACTCTCCTGTCAGCATCGATTCGTCCATGATAGTCTCCTCTGCCAGCAGAATCCCGTCGACAAGAAGCTTCTCCTCCGGGCTGACTCGCACGACGTCCCCGGGCTGCAGGAGCTTTGGATCCACGCGGAGGGCTCTTCCTTCCTTGTCTACCAACTCCACTGCAGTCGAGTCGACGGAGCAGAGGTCGGCGATCCGCCTGATTGCGTGCTGCTGCGCGACTTTCTCCAGAAATCTCCCGAGGAGGACGAACTGCATCGTCATGACGACAGTGAGAAACATCGGGTGCCCCATGCTGGTCCATGCGCAGAGGGAGGAGTACGTCATGGTAGAAACGCATCCCAGGGCGATAAGCACGTCCATGTTGGCGTATCTCTGCTTCAAGCAGTGCCATGCAGATATGAAGAATTGCCGCCCGACCGTGACGAGAGCGGCGCATGATAGGATGATGTCAAAGCTCTGAGCGGGGATAGATCGGAACAAGTTGGGGAGGAGACTGACAAGGTTGATAGTGGTGATGAGGAGCAGATCGTTGAGCGACTTGTTGAGGTTCGTTTGCTGTTCTATCTCCCTCAGGCTCGACGAAGCTTCAGTGTTGGTGTCTAGCAAGTGAGCTGAGAACCCGTTGGCTCCAATCAGCTCCATCACTCGCTCTATCGGCAGAGCCTTGCTGTGTTTCAAGAACAAAGTCTGCAAAGGGAACGAGACGGCCAGCTCCACCTCGTCCGTGAAGTTGGACCGCAAGTTCCTCTCCAGCCTCATGGCGCAAGACGCGCACCTCATGCCGTCCACCTTGATCCTCACGTTGCTGGCGCCTTTCTCAGAGGATGCGTCTCCTCCTCGGATCCGTTGGGCGCACGCCGGTCGACCATGGCGACGGGAGGGGTTCTCGTTCACTAACAGCACATGTGCGTGCTTGCCCTCCAAGGCGAGAGAGAATGAGATGAAGCGAGAGACAAGGAGGAAGGCAGGCTGAAGGCGCAGGAGGAGGAGAGGACAAGGGCAAAGAGGAAACCCCGAGAGAGTTTGCTGGATAGTTCGAAGTTGCCTGTCATCGCTCCTCTCAATTCCTTCCTCCTCTTCCTCCTGCTCCTGCTCCTGCTCCTGCTCTTCCTCCTGCTCCTGCTCCTGCTCCTGCTCCTGCTCCTGCTCCTGCTCCTGCTCCTGCTCCTGCTCCTCCTCTCTTCTTCCTCTCCTCTCCCCTCCTCTCTTTCTGCTTCTACGGAGGGAGTCCTACTACTAACAGCGCTTCGCCTCCATTTTCCTATAGGCTTTTGGTTCCTGCAAATGTCAGACGTATTGAAATAACACAATTTTCGCAGGATATCTTTGCACTGGACCAGTCCGATCTGTCTCCAACGCATCTCCGTCGAAATGCAAGGCGAAGTCGAAATGATCTCCTTGATGTTCACTTTATTGTACATGATATCTCATTACATGCAATGATGTACATCCGCCCGATGATCGTGCAGATCAGACATGATTTGCAAGGGCGTTGCATTTCACATTTTCATCTCTTCCCATCATTTCTCTACCTTCAGTTTTGCTGTCTTGGCACTGCTGCTGCAATCGTCAGGCCACTTCTCCGTCACGTCCAACTGTACCCGATGTCGTCGAGCTTCGGCGGTTTCTCGGGAGAGAGAGGAGGGGGGCCAGTAGGAGAGGAAGGGGTGATCTGGTTGGAACAGCCGCCGTCATGCATGTAGGACTTGAAGATCAGTGCGATGTTACCAGAGTCGTCTCTCCAGCTTCTTTCTTGACATCAACCTTCTCCTGCTTCTGCGGTGGAAACCTGAGGAGGGAGCATACAAATTTCGCCTCTCACCACTTGCTTGCCCGCCGTCTGCAAGCTGAGGGGGGCTGGCGCGATGGTTTCATCCATGCCAAAGCTCTCGCAGAATGATCGCCAGATCCTTTGGCACCGAAGAATCACGTGCAAAGTTGCAGCAGGGGGGGCGGGCTGACTGGAGGAAAGGGGGGGGGCAGATGAAGGGGAGAGGGGAAGTGCAGGAGCGGGTGGGGGGTGGGGGGGGGGACTTGCCCAGGAAGGGAATGGAGGAGGAGGAGGAGGAGGAGGAGAAGGATAAAGGAAGGAAAGAAAGGAGCGGGAAGTTGGGCACAACTCACTTTCTTGCAAGCTCCAGGTCCCTGTAGGAATATTCAATCGTCACGCCATGATCCCCGTCCGTCTCGACCTGCCATGAAGAGTCAGCACAGGAAGCTCGAACTCTCACCCTCCCACCTTGACTGATCGTACATTGAGCGCATTCACCTTCCCGTCCACGGATCTTGTCACCGGAAGCTCCCACTGGCTCTGTCAAGCACATTCTATCGGATGCTGGAAGGAAGAAGTCAGAGGCCGACCTGCACGAAACGCTCGAGGATCTCGAAGGCTCCGTCGTCTATCAGCTCACTGATCATGTCCTCGTCCACTTTCATGTTGTGGCTGGTGCTCAACATCAGCATCGTCGGCTTTCCAAGAAAACTTCACCGGAACGACAAGTCACACTGTGGCATATTGATCATCTGGCTTGTCTCAACTTCGTCCAAAACCTGCACCCAATGCATGAGACTGGAACAGGACAACGGAGAGCAAACAAACCATCATGTTCTTGGGATCTTTGATATACAGAACTCCCTGTAAGATGAGAATTAAATTGCAGCGCTATTCATCAAATGCACAAGGATACAGATAGAGCCTGTGTTGACGTGGGAGCCAGGGCTCGTTTGGTGTAAAGTGCTGAATATTCCTCTTCTCTTCTCCGCTTGCCCATCAACCTGAACTATGGGTCACTTTCTACTGCCCACCCTGGAAAACGCGAGCACGTCGCTGACCTAGTCGATAGCTGGACAGGTACCCCATGGAAAGTAGTGATATAGGTAGTCGCCCCGTTGGCTGGGTCGTAGCAGGGTAACCCGAATTCAGTCTTAATCCTCTCCTTCAGGGCCTCCATCTTGTGCCTTTCGCCATGAACCAACATCACGTTGACGGGATCGACCTGCAAGAACCCTTCAACAACCGGGAGCATTTGACGACTGAGATTGCCTGCTTGATCAACGTCATGATCCCCTTGGCATCGGCATGGGCCGAGAAGCTAAGGTGTTTGATCTTCAAGCACATCAGGCATAAACCCCCCATTCATTGCTCAAACTCACTTTACAACGCACGTGCAGTTTTCCCCCGCCCTCGTCCCTGGGCATGTCGATAATCTGCGAATCAAGCAGGTTAATTTACACATCACCATCAGCCCTCCCGGAGCGAACCTGAGGCTTTCCCCCGTTACTCAGGACCTTGCGGGAGGAAGCAGAGGGTTAGGAAACCAGCAACGGAATCAATCTCATCACCTTGTGGCCCAAAGTCCCGGCAACGCAATAACCCGGCATGATAACGAGGTTCTTGTCAGAAGGAGCCCATTTCTTGAAAACCTCCATCGAGAGACCCCCGTGCAACATGCCGGGGGTAGCAAACAAGACCATCGGCCCGGGCCGGTCGATGAACGCACGATCGAACGGTTGAATGTGCTGGAAGTCGAAGACGTTCCTCTTGACGAACGTATCCTTGATCTTCTGATTCGTCCATGAGATATACATCTTGTAATACAGATTCGCCTTCTCTGTCAGACCAGCCGAGAAGTAGATGGGAACCTTCAAGCCCGTCCTTTCCCAGAACGCGTCCAGCAGCAGGCAGAGCTCTTGAGCTCTTCCTAGCGCAAACACCGGGATCAACACTTTCCCTCCATTCCTGACACATTCTGAGACTTGATTCAACATATCCCGCTCTCTCCATCGCTTCGACTCCCTGATTGTAGTTGCGTAGGTGCTCTCGGTGATGAGCAGGTCCGGTCGGAGCTTGTCGCAGCGCGCTGACCCAAGATGGCGATCGGGCGTCATGTTATAGTCACCCGTGTAAAGAATAGATTGCTGCCCGACCCGGATATAGAACATGGCAGCCCCTAGCACGTGTCCGGCATAGTATGGTCTGATCTCAAAGTCCTCTTCTATCATGATAGTTTCTTCCAGTGCGCAGGGAGTCACTTTCATCATACAGTCCTTGATCTGCTGAGAGCTGAACATATCCTTCTCCTCTACACCCCGCCTCTCCACGCTGATCTTCCTGTAATCCTCCAGCAGAATCGGCATGATGGCCTTGGTTGGGTGAGTTGCGTACATGGGCCCATCGTAACCCAGAACTTCCGTGAAATATGGGAGAGATCCACAATGATCGAGGTGGAAATGTGAAATGATGACTAGATCGATCAATCCTGTAAAGTTCCCTTCCTTCGAAATGTAGCTGCAAACGCGAGGGTCAGATCAGATTCCTGTCAATGAAGGAGCAAGGCTACCGGAAATCAGGAAATCGTCGTTCGTCGTTGTATCCTGTAGATTCATTCATAACGAAATATCGAACATGGCTTGCTGGCAAACCTGGATGCATCCCACAATCCAGCATAATATTCTTTCCTCCTATCGTCACGAGTATACAACTCTTCCCCACATCCTGGAAAAGGAAACACGCCATCAACACGATACATAGGCAGCACATGACGAGAGACTTCTATCATGCTTTGATATGTTTGTTCCGAATAGCAACAGTGAGTCTTGCCCACCCTCATTTCCACGATGCCTCATACGTCGGCCCAAACTCCTTCCCTCCCAACTTCTTTCCCTTCTCACTCTCTACCTTCTCACTCTGACTGCACCATGTTCACTGTAGCGATATAGCTCACGCATGAATCATCATTCTGTATGGCCGTCCTCTCCTCCTCCCCCTCTCACCTGCCCGGCGCCGAGCGGCGTAACCTTGATCTGCATGATGCTCTGTTGCCCGGTCCACCAGGCTACCCACCCCTCTACTCCCGTACTCTCCTCACTGAATCGTAGGGGGTGGAGTACCCTACCTCCTCAACTTCGTGTTCGACTACCCCTTCGTTTGTGCTTTTACTTTGCGTTACATTGACTGTTATTGATGAACACCCCACCCACCATTATAACTTTTTGGATAATATCACCCCTTCATTTGCCTTCAAATCATCTCATTTATAAGGGGGTAAAAAATACCCCACCCCCTCGATTGGTTTGTTTCCCTCCGTTACCCCTCGAGTACTCTTAGGGAAGGGGGTGTAATCGATGGGGTGGGGTGAAAATGGAAGTGGGGGTGATGTTGAGGTAAGGGTGTTACATATCGCTACACACATGGAGTATTGCAATTTCACTTATGAAAATAAATATAAAATAGCAGAGATATGCAGTCCTTGGTATATGGTGATTGTTCTCTACACCTGGAGGGTGGGTAGAAAGCTGAGGTTGAGAAATGAGGGTGGGTCGAAACTCCCACCCTACTAATTCCAGCCTCAAGTACCGGTTACCCCTCCTGAGAGGTCTCATAGTGATCCGCCGGTAGTGCATGCTGACGGTAGAAGAGAGGAGGAGGGACGAGACAACGGAGCGTCTTCCTTCCTCTTAGGTATGTTCCACTGTCCTGCACACGAAGTTGGTTTGGTTTTCTGTGCTCGCCCCCCGCTTCTGTGGGATAGCTCATGATACAGACATCGTAAAAGTCGTATTGCTTCCAGCACGCTCGACGAAAAACTGCCTGGAAGAAAAACGCCTGTAAATTTCTGTTTGAACCCTCACAACGAGATTTTTCGAGTCATACACGGGTGGACACCTTAGGCTGGTAACACCATCTCGATCATGAGCAAGGACATTAGGGCTCGTGATCGGGTGTAGACACTGGACTCTGAGTTTGTACCCGGAGTTGCAATGGCGCCACCTACCAATGTGCATGCTTCAAACAGAGCGCTGCCTAACACGACTGAGAAAATTCTCGTAGATCTTCGCAGCAGGAATGAGCACACGCAGAGGAAAGCCATGGGGGAGCTGCGGTCTGCGGTGGAGATGGAATCAAGGCAGATGTCCAGGGAGGAGTTCAGTGGGTTCATAACGGAGCTGAACAAGAGAATATTCGACCTAGTAAAGAGCGACGACCCCTGCGAAAAGATGGGCGGAATCAACGCGATGGATTCTTTGATCGACTTTGAATGCGAGGAGACGTCTACTCTGATCACCAGGTTCGCAAACTACCTGCGCCTTGTGCTACCATGCAACGATGTTGGCACTATGATAATGGCGAGCAAAGTTCTCGGTCACTTGGCACAGTCGGGAGGGACTTTGACAGCTGATTTCGTTGAGTTTGAAATGAAGAGGGCTCTTGAAGGCTTGAACACTTCAAAGCGCTCCGAACATCAGAAGCTAGCGAGTCTTTTGGTATGCAAGGAGCTAGCTACAAATGCGCCAACGTTGTTCTTCATGCATGTTCCGTCGTACCTGAAATCTATTTGGGTAGGAATCCGCGATCAGAAGCAGATCATCCGCGAGGCAGCCATCGAGAGCTTGAGAGCGTGCATGACCATCATAGCGGAGAGGGACTTTGTGGTGCGGAAGAAGTGGTTCACGGCCGTTTACGAAGAGGCTGAGAAAAGTTTCCACACAAACAGCATAGAAGGAGTCCATGGATCGCTCCTTGTGATGGGTGAACTCTTGAGCCTGCCCAACATCGCGCCTGATATACCAGCAAGCGCGACGTTGTCAGCAATGTGGGAGACCACTATGGCGTATAAGGACCACAGAGACGCGCTGATTCGGCGCACAGTGATTTCCATTCTTCCCACTGTGGCCAAGATCGACGAGGAGGAATTCAGAGCTGCGTACGCCGAAGATTGCATCAAGTACCTCCTCGCGACTCTGAAGAGGGGCAACGAGAGCTCGGCGGCCTTTGTCTCACTGGGGGCCATCGTCAAGGTTGCAGGAGCGTGGGTGATCGAGTCTTTTGTGGATGACGTCATGAATCTGGTTCAAGATGGAATCACTCCGACCCCTCGTAAACCTTTCTGCTTCGAGGCCCCCCAGTGCCTGGCATCGCTCACCACGGTGGACTCGAGCCACGTCGTCCTCAATGAAAGGATGCCAGAACTGATAGAACAGATGCTGGCCGGGTCAGAGGGCAACCTAACTCCTGCGCTGATCTCTTCGTTGTCTCAGATCGGGAAATCGATGCCATTGCTCTTGCCAGACATTCAGATGAAGCTCTTAGATAGCATTTCTTTCACCCTACAACGAACTCCGTATCAACCCTCTGGGACTCCCAACTCAAGGCGCATCGTCCCTCTCCGGTAATAGCTTGTTCAGCTCCCTCTCTCCTCATTTTCAATCTCATTCGCCTACTTTTCATCTTTCTTGCTGAAATTTGAGACGATTTCTCCCCCAAAATCGCACGCTGACATTCTTGTCAGGGGAGGAGTGATGAGCGTGCATTCTGGGACAGCAAAAGGGCGACAGAATGCTGTCATTCAAGCTCTGCATGCCTTGACGTCTTTCGATTTCACGGGCAACCAGCTCTGCGAGTTTGTCAAGGACTGTGTCTCCCAGTACCTCGACGATCAGAGTAGGATGGTGCGACTAACGGCAGCGCAAACTTGCAGCAACCTGCTGCTAAGGCCAGGAGAGACGGTCCCGAAGCGAGGGCGGACTGCCATAGTGGTCTCTGAGATCCTGGAGAGGCTGCTCGTGACGGCGGTCAGCGACTCTGACCCGCAGATCCGAGTGATAGTCTTGGAGTGCCTCGGCCCCCGCTTCGACTACTTCCTCGCTCAGTCTCACTGCATCGACTCTCTCTTTGTTGCCCTCAACGATGAAGTCTTCAACGTGCAAGAAGCTGCCATTCGCATCCTGACCAGGCTTACTCTCTGCAACCCAGCCCACGTGTTCCCTGGCCTTAGAAAGGTCTTGATCCAGCTGCTCACCGCCCTTGAGTTTGGAGGGGAGGTTTGACCGTCTGTTGCCGAGGAATCTTGCTGACCTTTGTTCATGCAGGACAAGAAGGAGAAGAGCACAAGACTGCTGCAGCATGTCATCCTTGCGGGACATCATCTAGTCAAACCATACGTGTCATCGATCCTTGACGCCATCCTCCCAAAGTTGCAGGACTCGAACCCGACTGTCGCTGCCAACGTGCTCAACACAGTTGGAGTCCTTTCGCACGTCGGGAGCTACGACGTGCTGAAGCGGAAGGACGACATCTTCTATCTCATGATGGAGGCGCTGCAGGACCAGAGCAACACGAACAAGAGGAGGGTCGCTACCAAGACCCTCGGCTTGCTCGTGCAGAACACTGGCTTCGTGGTTGAGCCCTACAAGACGTACCCCAATCTGCTCTCCATCATGCTAAAGAGACTTCAGGCTGAGCAGACCAACGAGATCCGGCAGGAGCTGCTGAAGGTGATGGGAATCTTAGGAGCCGTCGACCCGCACATCCTCAAGATGCGACAGACGAGAAACAGCAGCGGCCTTCCCATCACTTTCTCTGCGGAGAAGTGGAGGAGGGAGGAGGAACTCCCTGGCCCCTCCACAGACGAGTACTATCCTACAGTGGCCGTGTCAAAGCTGGTCAAGATCCTCAACGACCAGTCGCTCAGCAGTTACCACCAGATGGTAATCCAGGCCGTGATGTTCATCTTCCGAACTCTCGGGCTCAAGTGCGCGACCCTCCTGCCCCAGATGATGGACCCCATTCTTAACCTGCTGCGATCCCATCAGCAGCAGCTGCGAGATTTCCTGTTCCAGCAGCTCGGACTCCTCGTCTCGATCGTCAAGCAGCACATCCGCCCTTACCTACCCGGGATCTTTGAGCTGATCCACGAGTTCTGGAACCAGCAGTCTCTGCAGCCGCAAATGCTCTTCCTGATAGGGGAGATCACATCAGCGCTCAAGGACGAATTCAAGGTCTACGTTTCTCCTCTCATCCCCAAACTCCTCGGAGCCCTCAACAAGGAGAACGCAAGGAGCAGACCGATGACCTGCCAGAAGGTGATGTACGCCCTCGAGCTCATGGACGCGAACTTGGAGCTCTACTTGGATGTCATCATCCCTGCCATCGTTGCCATCGCCGAGCAGGAGGACTCGAAGCTGGATGTAAGGGTAGCTGCGATCCAGTGGATCGGGAGGATGAGTTTGAGGCTGAACATCTCGGACTTTGCCTCAAAGATCATTCACCCTCTTGTTCGCATCCTCGAAGGCCCGATCGACTCGCTCTACAAACCAGCCATCATCACCATTTGTGCGCTGATGAACGCGCTGGGCCAACGGTTCTTCCTCTTCGAGCCCATGTTGACCAAGATCATCGTCAGGAAGCGCGTCAACGATGGGGTTGGGAGATACCAGATGCTCCTCGAACGGCTCAGAAGCGGCGAGGTCCTCACGCTGGATGACTACCCGACGGAGGAGCTGGGGACTCTTGGGAGCAACTCGAGCTCGTTGGAGTCTGTACTTGACACAGGTCAAGTGAGGAAGATCGCAGTCAACCAGCCCAACTTGAAGCGAGCATGGGAAGCTTCGCATAGGAGCACCAAGGAAGACTGGGCTGACTGGATGAGGAGGTTTGCTGTGGAGCTCTTGCGAGAGAGCCCTTCCCCTGCTCTCCGATCCTGTGCGGCCCTCGCGCAAGTGTACCACCCTCTTGCTCGTGAGCTCTTCAACGCTGCGTTCTTGAGCTGCTGGATGGAGTTGTACGAGAGCTACCGGGACTCGCTCATGCGCTCGCTGGAGATCGCTTTTTCCCCTGAGAAAAGTCCCAACATCCCGCCCGAGGTGCTGCAGACTCTGCTCTCCCTTGCCGAGTTCATGGATCACGACGAGAAGCCTCTTCCCATCAAGATCCCGAAGCTCGGGGCCGTTGCCGAGAAGTGCCAGGCGTACGCCAAGGCGCTGCACTACAAGGAGATGGAGTTCTTGGGGTCCCCTCATACCGCCATCCAGTCGCTCATCTCCATCAACAACTTCCTGGGCCACACAGAGGCGGCCAACGGCCTCCTCGTCCACGCGCAGAAGTGCCTCAACCTAGAGGTGAAAGAGTCCTGGTACGAGAAGCTTCACAAGTGGGAGGAGGCTCTCGACGCCTACCGCCAGCGGCTCAAGACGGAGCAGGCGGCGGAGGCGCAGGAGGGATGCATGCGGTGCTTGCAGGCGCTAGGGGAGTGGGAGCAGCTCAAGGACATGACAGAAGCGGCATGGAGCTCGGCTCTACCTGATGCTCGCTCTCGCATCGCCCCGTTGGGAGCTGCCGCTGCCTGTCAGATCGGGGACGTAGAGCAGCTGGCCATGTACATCGAAGCCATGGACCCCAAGTCAGTGGAGGGCTGCATGTATAAGGCGATGTTCCTTGTGCACGGGGACGCGTTGGATGAGGCGCAGGAGAAGCTGGAGGTGACGAGAAGGCTGCTGGACACGCAGCTGACGGCCCTCGTGAGCGAGAGCTACGAGCGAGCATACAAGGCCGTGGTGATCACGCAGCAGGTGACGGAGCTGGAGGAGGTGCTCCAGTTCAAGCGCGCAAAGGCCATGGACGCGCTGCCGGCCTGCGAGCACATCCGGCACATGTGGACTCAGAGGCTATTCGGGGCGCAAGCGAACGTGGAGGTCTGGCAGAGCCTGCTGGCCATCCACAGCCTGGTGATCCCCCCGCGGGAGTACTCGGAAGCATGGCTCAAGTATGCTTCCCTCTGCCGCAAGACTGGGCGGAGCAGCCTCTGCTACAAGGCCCTTACCAAGCTGCTCAACTACAACGAGCAGTTGCAGCAGCTGGAGTCTCCCTTCTCCCCCTCCGTGGACCCCGAGATCGGGTTTGCATGGCTAAAGTACATCTGGTACACGGGGCAGCGGGAGCAGGCTCTCGTAACGCTGCAGGAGTTCATCAGGGCACAGCGAGGGTCGCACACGCTGCAAGCCCGCTGCCACCTCAAGGTCGGCATGTGGACGCAGGAACTCCACGAGTCGCCGCAGCAGAACGACTTCGGGCTCATCCTCTCCGCCTACCGGAACGCCACCATCCTGAACAAGAACTGGTACAAGGCCTGGCACCACTGGGCTCTCTTCAACTTTGACATCGTCTCCTACAACGAGAACAAGCAGCAGCGCAACCGTGCTGGCGGCATCCCCTACGTGGTCGCGGCGGTCAACGGCTTCATCCGTTCCATCGCCCTCGGGGTCTCCAACGCTCGCGGGCACGTCCAGCAGGATATCCTCCGTCTCCTCACCCTCTGGTTCCGGTACGGGTCCATCGCAGAGGTCGAACGCGCACTGGCGGAGGGGTTCAACATCCTCCCCATAGAGACCTGGCTGGATGTCATCCCCCAGATCATCGCGCGCATCAACTCGCCCGACGCAGTGATCCGCAACTCCATCCACAACCTCCTCATCCGCATCGGCAAGGCGCATCCTCAAGCTCTGATCTACCCGGTGACGGTGGCAAGTAAGTCGCACATCCAGGCCCGGCGGGACGCGGCCAAGAAGATCCTGAGCGAGATGGAGGGGTTTGCCCCGCTGCTGGTCGAGCAGGCGAAGCTGGTGAGCAAGGAGTTGATCCGCGTGGCCATCTTGTGGATCGAGATGTGGCACGAGGCGCTGGAGGAGGCGAGCAGGCTCTACTTTGCCGAGGGGAACATCGATGGGATGTTTGCGGTGCTGCGGCCGATGCACGAGCTCCTGCAGAGGGGAGCGCAGACGCAGCGGGAGCTGGAATTCCAGCAGAAGCTCGGGCAGAACCTTGACGAGGCCAAGGAGTTTTGTGACAAGTACTGCCAGTCGAAGCAGGAAAAGGACCTGCAGAAGGCGTGGGAGAACTACTACAACGTCTTCCGCACTATCAACAAGCTCCTCGGCCGCATCACCTCCATCGAGTTGGAGCACGCGAGCCCGGAGCTCAAGGCTGCCAAGGACCTTGAGCTCTCGATTCCCGGGCAGTACCGGCCAGGGGAGCCGATCGTGTCGATCCAGTCGGTTGAGGAGACACTGTCGATCATCACGTCGAAGCAGAGGCCGAGGAAGTGCACGATGATAGGCTCCAACGGAAAGCCATACCAGTACCTGCTCAAAGGGCACGAGGATCTACGGCAGGTGAGAGGAGGAGGATAAGGAGGAGGGGGAAGGGGCAAGTGGGGGGAAGGAAGAAGGAGCAGGAGCAGGAGCAGGAGCAGGAGCAGGAGCAGGAGCAGGAGCATGCGGAAGAGTAGAGAGTGGGGGAGGAGGACGAGGACGAGAAAGACAAAGTGATCAGAGGGCGGAGATGAAGGAGAGCAGGGCAGAAGCGAGAGAGTACAGGTATGAGTTTGGAGACAGCGGCTGATGCGGAAGGGTACCAGAAGCGAGGAGTGCTTGCTAAGAGGGAGGGAGACGGGAGGGGGAGGGCGGGAGAGGTGAAGAGCTTGAGCTTCAGAAGGAATCTCACGGTGGGGAACAGGACGAGAGGGTAATGCAGCTGTTTGGCCTGGTGAACACGCTCCTCCACAACGATCGCGAGTGCTCGCGCAGGGACCTGCAGATCGTACGGTACTCCGTCATCCCGCTCTCACCCAACTCAGGGCTCATCGAGTGGGTCCCTGACTGCGACACGCTGCACATCCTCGTGCGGGAGTACCGCGAAAACCGAAAGATCCTCCTCAACATCGAGAACCGCCTGATGCTCGCCATGGCCCCTGACTTCGAGAACCTTCCCGTCATCGGCAAGGTCGAGGTCTTCCAGCACGCACTCACCAGCACCACCGGGCAGGACCTCAACAAGGTACGTCTCCTTCCACTCCCTGCCCCTCTCTCCAGCTTCCTCTCTCTTCCTTCCTCTCTCCTCCTCGTTCTCCTGTCCTGTCTCCTCACATCAGGTTCCTTCCTCCTCGCTGTTGCGGTGTTTCCTGCACGGCGTCTCCAGCTCCTGCTTCCTGCTTCATCCTCCTGCTCCCAGTCTCTCCTTGCCCTGACGGAAGGAGCAGGTGCTCTGGCTCAAGAGCAACAACGCAGAGGACTGGCTGCTGAGGAGGACCAACTACACGCGGTCGCTCGCTCTCATGTCCATGGTCGGGTACATCCTCGGGCTCGGCGACCGTCACCCTTCCAACCTCATGCTGCACAAGTACACGGGCAAGATCGTCCACATCGACTTCGGCGATTGCTTCGAGGTGAAATCAGCTGGACAGCATGACAATTTCAAATTTTGCTCGAGGGTTTGAGTCGGAGAGAACCGAATTCCTGACCTTATTCCTTCCAGGTCGCGATGCAACGAGAGAAATTCCCGGAGAAAGTTCCGTTCAGGTTGACCCGCATGCTAGTCAACGCGATGGAGGTAAAGGCCTGCTCGCTTACCCCCTCCTCCCTGCTCCTGCTCCTGCTCTTCCTGCCCCTTTCCTCCTCCTCGTCCTCCTCGTCATCGTCATCGTCCTCGTCATCGTCATCGTCCTCGTTCTCCTCCTCTTGCCCTAACGTCTAAATCATCAACTGCTTATTTTCCTCGGGCATACGCCCCTTCTTCCCGTCCTTGTTCCTCCTTCCTCCTCTGCCTGAGCTGAGCCCTGCAGGTCTCGGGGATTGAGGGAACGTTTCGCTTCACTTGTGAGAGCGTGATGAAAGTGCTGCGGGCGAACAAAGGTCCTCCTCCTCCACCATCGCCACCACCATCGCCACCACCGCCACCTCCTCCT